AAATAATATTCCATATGTTCATAAGAAGTACAGCAAAGTAGAGCTGGTAGTAAACCTCGGATGTTAAAAAATGGTAACCCATTGATTTTGCAATGACAGTGACTTTTTGGCGGGAAGTCAAATTGAGCGGGTGTTTTAAATTTTCTCCTTTTTGATTTTTTTATTTTAATTGTAATTTTATTGTAAATATTGTATATCTTATTGTAAATACCTAAATAATAAATCAAGCAAAGAAAATGAGTGATAGTAGCGACGGGGGAAACCCCGTCGACCGTGGAAAAGTCAACGCGGCAAAAAACGGAAGATGTCGCCGAATCATTTAATTATATCCGAGGACTATAAAATGTATACAAAACCCAATTACAAAAGACAGTTTCCTGAAAATCATAGTGTAGATTGTGTTGTCTATGTAGAATCTACAGAAAATGAAAAAGTAGGGAATAAAAACCCCATTACTTTAACAAAGTTATTCACCGAAAATGTGAAAGGCATTGCAGGTGTAGTAAACGCCTATAAAATAGGTGTGACCTTTCGAAAGCCCGCACCAGCCAATAATTTTTTAAAAATGGACAATTTTTTAAACAAGTATAAATTCAAGGCTTTTGTACCAGCATATATCACAGAAAAAACTGGTATCATAAGATACGTACCGACAGACATGTCCAACGAAGATATTTATAAAAGTATTAGTTTGATACCGAAGTGATATCCATCAAACGTTTTATGAAAAAAGTAGAGGGAAAACTATCTCCATTGGGCACTGTAGCCGTCACATTTGCAGCTACCACTTTACCACAATATGCCTACATACAATTATTTAGATATCCTGTACACACTTATATTCCACCATTAGTCCAATGTTACAAATGTCTGAAGTTTAACCATTCAGCTAAAGTATGCCAGCTCACAGATGTGCTCATCATGTGCTGGTCAACACTCATACAAAGAATGTGATGTAGAAGAAATCGTTTGTATCAATTGTAGTGGTAACCACTTAGCAATTTCGAGAGATTGTCCCATTAAAAAGAAGAAAATTGAAGAAAAAAGAAGTAAATATGTCAATCACAAAAATAGTACAACCCCAAAAGTATATTTTAGAGAAATCTTTAAATGTATATAATTCACAATTTAAACAAAATGTAAATAATAATAATACTGCATTCAATGCAGATCAAATTGTAAATAATGAAATTATAATTAATGCATTAGTTAAATCTCTTGTTGCTCTGTATTAAAAAAGAGAAAATGTCAATAACTAATAAGACAATAAAAGAAATATTGTTGTCAAATTTAATTTAATTATTTAAATATAGCCCAGTTTAATATACAAAGCTTACAGAGTAAAAAAGCTCTGTTGCAAAAATACATGAATGAACAAAATAGAGTCTCATTAATGAGACATGGCTTAAAAAACAGTAAAATTCCTAAATTTACATCCTATAATTTTATTCCAATACACACAATGGATGTATTTTAATAAAAGAAAATTTTAAATATAATATCATAACTACTACTTTTTATGAATCATTCAGAATATATGTATTGCAATAGAAACATCCATATTACTATGTGTGTACTATGGAAGATTTGATACCAACAAACTGAAAAAGTTCTACTTAGTGCTCCTATGTCTCATTATGGGTGAAGAATTTTGTTTTTGTACAAACAAATACAATCTCATAGATGAACTTTATGTGTGTTAAATGATGGTAGTCCAACCACCATTCAATCACCAAACAGGCAGGCATCAGATAGATATAACATTAGTTAGTCCCCGTTGGTCCTCTCTGTGAGTGGAAAGTCCATGATGATGGGCAGCTATCACTATCCAACTCACGTAAGTTATGATAACAGTGTATGAGGTCCGACCTGTAGAAGAAAAATTTTTCATAATAAAGCAGACTGGTCGAAATATTTTTCTTTATCAGGAATGTACATAATAATGTAAATAATGACACACCATTACAATTTTATAATAATTTTGTTAATATTTTATATGACATAAACAAAAGTACCAAAATCAAAGTTTAAACAAACTATACACACTTTAAGAAAACGTATGCCTTGGTGGAACAAAACATCATAAGAGAGCCCTTTTACAATATAGAGTTACCCCAACAATTGTTAACTTCATAATTTATAAAAAAGTTGATGCTAAAAAAAAAAGAATTCTAAAGGAACAACGCAAAGATTCCTGGCAAGAGTTGTGTAGTAGCTTCAATAGAATGACCTATTTCAAAAATATGGAGTTCCATTAAAAAGTTTAAAAGGATAGGTACATCTTCCAACAAAAATTTTAATGATGACTGGGTACAAAGTTTCTTAGATATGTTTCCATCACAATGCAATGATGCAAATTTAGTTGATATATTGAATCAATCTGATAAAAATGACAGTGACTCCTTTCTCAACAGACCCTTTACACTATAATTGATTAAAATATTAAATAAAAATGCTACAAAAGACTATTAGATATATCAATAAACTTTGGGAGAATTAATAAAAATTGGAAAACCCAGTGTGTTAATTTTGAAACCTAATAAGGATATTAACTGTGCATCATCTTATAGGCCCATTTCCTTGTCATCGTGTCTAGGCAAACTATTTGAAAACATGTTAGTACGTTTGGACTACTTTTGAAACAGAATAAATTGCCAGATATTCAGTTTGGATTTGAAGTGTAACTCTTATAATTAAAAAAAGCAAAATTAAGTCATTCCAATGTTGTGTGTGTATTTTTAGATGTTAAAGGTGCTTTCGATAATGTAAATATAGTTACCAGCTACATAATTTAAATTTCCCCTGCAAAATATTAAACTGGATTTTTAATTTTTTAAAAAACAGAACTGTTTATGTTAAGTATAATAATATCATACATGGACCTAAATATGTTAACAGGGGAACAATGCAGGGAGCAACCCTGTCCCCTCTATTGTATGGCTTGTATACATCTGAAATCCTCAATTATGTGGATACTACAAAAGTTAACATACTACAGTTTGCAGATGATTTGCTTTTATACACTGAGAGTCAAAGTTTGCCTTTGGCTATAAATAATATAAATACTGCACTAAATCAATTACAAAAGTATTATTCAAATATTCTAAAACTAGAAATCAGTTCAGAAAAAAGCTCTGTGTTAGTATTTAGTAGAGATACATTCACACAATCTAATCTTAAAATTATGTATATATATTTTTAGGTATAGTTTTGGACAATAAATTAAAATTTGATAAACATATAGATTACATTTGTCAAAATGCAATGAGGAGCATAAATATTTTAAGATGTTTAGCAGGGACTTACTGGGGCTCTGATCCCAAAACACTCAATATACTGTATAAAAGCATAGTCAGAAGTCATTTTGATTATAGTAGTTTCTATATGACTGCTAGTACCACGTTGTTGAGGAAATTAGATGTTATACAAAATATAGGGTTGAGAATCATTAGTGGAGCTATGCGTTCCACGCCTATAAATAGTATGGAAGTTGAAAATTGTATACCTCCATTGTCTCTAAGACGTTTGCAACTGGCAGAAAGATTTTGTATAAAGGAATTATCTTCCAGTAATAGTATTGTGCTTAAAAATATTTTATATCCTGCACAGCTTTCTCAGTTAGTTGTAGGTTCCCCCATATCAGCATCTGTTATTATTTCAGGATCATTACCTGAAATTTCAATAATAATGACACATGTTAAAAATGCTACAGGTGGAATATATATAAATGACAAATGGCCAGTATACAAATGTCCATATGATTCACTAATCTGTTAATTGACACTACATTTCATTTAGATTTAATATATAACAAATATGACTTTGCAAATTTTTAAATAAGAAATCAGAATTTTATGTTATTTATACCGATGGTTCTAAAAATTTAAATGATGTTAAAGCAGCTTATTATGATCCACAAAAGAAATATACTAAATGTATTAAACTATAATTGCAGCATACAGCCGAAAGTTATGCTATATTAAGTGCTTTGTTATATGTTAATAACCTTGTAAATAATGTAAATATACTAATAGTTACTGATTCAAGAGTGTATTGGAGACTTTATCCAGTGGCAATTGTACATATAAACAAAATTATATTATATATGAAATAAAAAATAGGTTATTAACTTTAAGTAAAAATAAGAATGTATATCACACAGTGGCATACCTGGAAATGATAGACTTGGCAACTCGTCAACAATATGATGAAGATCAGACAGACATTTTGAAAGTGCCATTTACCGACTACTACCAATATTTTAAAAGTAACTTACGAAGAGTGTGGAAAGAGTACTGGAACATAACCACAGAAAATAAAGGAAAATGGTATGCAGAATTACAGCCAGACTTATTTGGTACAGCAAATTCAAATATTACAATAGAAAATTTATCACTATCATCAATCGTCTACGTTTCGGCCATTGTTTAGTTCCATCCCATCTCAACAGAATTAAAATCACAAATGACAACAGATGCAACCACTGTTTCAAGATAAATGCTGACATAAACCATATTATATTTGAATGCCAAGTTTTCAACATACAACGGTTGATTCTTGTCAGTGACATTAGTGACATCGCAAAGGAACATCACAAAATTCCCCGCCGCGTTCAAGATTTGCTATCTCACTTTGCATATTTTATTCCAATATATAACTACATTGTACATACTGTGGAAAAAATTTAATATTAATGAATTATTACTAAAATTGTACTGTCTAAGCTTATATAATAGTTTATTTCTTACGTTTTGTATTAAATTCATTATAAAAATGTATTCGACTGAAGGACTTGTATCCATGGTCATGAATAAAGCATTATTAAAAAAATTAAAAAGCAATGACAGTTGTTCGACATTATGGTTAGTATCAAGAATATTACGAAATTACTGGATTTGAAAATACTACAGACAAAAGTAGTGTCATCTCTTTTTCTCTCCAGTATTCTTGTAAACTAAACAAAACTATCGTCCTCAAAATATACTATATCTGTTGATATTAATTAAACTGTGAATCGAAGTATCAAGAAAAATAATTAATATTTTCTTTAATTCTCCGATATATTTCACGTTATCGATTTTATCATTTCTTTTTAAAAAACACAGTCTTATCTAAACTTGTGAGTGTTATCGACTTTACATATACATTTTCATTTTACTAATATCAACCTGCGCGAAAATTACGAAGAATCAAGAAAGAATTTCATCAGCATTTCCTTGGACAAACTATCTCTGGTAATTGAAGAGAATGTCTGTACAATGGACATTTATTGCAGGGTACCTGTACTTCGAAATAGCTGTAGTAATACTAATGATGCTGCCCATTTTTAGTCCTAGACGCTGGCACCAGTTCTTCAAGTCACGTTTGTTTTCCATGTTCCAATCCCATATAGGTGTCTATTTCTACATATTCCTGGGCATTTTAGGAGTATTCCTGTTGGATGCTATCAGAGAAATGAGGAAATATGCACATTCTGGTGATAGCCATGTACATTTAACTAGTGAAATGAAAGGGAATGTGAAATTATTTAGAGCCCAGAGAAACTTTTACATCACTAGCTTTGCTATATTTTTAACATTTGTCATAAGACGTCTTATTACAATGCTGATAATCCAGGATGAGCTGCGTTTAAAGGCTGAAGCTATCATTAGGCAGGCTGATGACACAGTCAGATTGGCTAAAGATACAGTTTTGGCTAGCACAATAAGAGCATCGCAGTCACAGAGCTATGAGGACATGAAGAATGATATGGAAAATGCTCTAGCTTCATTAGAGGAAGAGAAAGAGAAAACAAAAGAATTGGAGAATGAAGTGAGAAAATGGAAGTCCAAGTATGAAGAGATTGTGTCTAATGGACAAGGTGATAAATAACTCTCTTGTTAAACAATGTGTAATTATTTGATTCTGTGATTATAATGTGACTGATTATGCTTTATTTGGTGCTCGTTTGTAGTGAGATTAAGAATGTATTATGTTACTAGTCAATTTTAATTGTACATAAATTTTGGTATTCTAAATTGCCATATAATGAAAATAGACTAGTGATACTTTTTGTCTATCAATGTGTCAAAAAATGCTTAACTGAAATTATGTTTGTGGGTTTTTATCTTTGTCTTTTCAAGTCTCAATTCTGACAAATAAGTATAAAATCTGAATGTGACCATAGGACAATTAAACAGGTTGTTAAAATGGTAAAAAAAATATTAATCTGTACTAACTAAAGATCTTTTTTCTATTGTTATGCATTTGTCATTTCAACAGTAAAAATTTTTAAACTAATATATTCATAAGTGTTCCTTGCTATGTATAACTAATTGTACTTTCTTTTCGATACTATTAAGATTGATCTTAAGTGATTCAATAATTCATGACAGTATTTTTAATATTTTGTTTTGAAGTGTATCATACATAATATAATTAAATATTCCATCTTTTTTGTCTTATTACTTACAAATGGTGTAATAGTACTGAAAATAAATAAATACTGAATAAAATAAGTATTAATGGTATACAGTAAGTACATTAAATATCTAAGGATTTAAGATCGGTGGTTTAATAAATTGAACAATAACAAAAATCCTGGACAATTCATACACCCTCATCTAGTAAGCCAAGCTTAGAGTCTATATTTTGGGTACATAGACTTCTTTGTATATACATAAAAATGTCCAGGCATAAAAAAAATCATACTCATAAATAAAGATTTTTGCATCGCGCTCGGAATTGTACTTGCAACCATTAGTAGCTATACGAGTAAGTACGAGTGCTAAATCTCTGTGGGTTAGAGAGTCAAACTCATTTCATTTATGTATATCGTTTATTTTTAAGTAGAGTGACTACTCGATAATAGATGGTGAAAAAACAATAATTTCGAACCCGTGTAACCAAGCTTTTTAATATACAATCGAGTTTTTATTCCGGTTAAACACACGTGGTTTGTATTCTCTTTTTCTAATTTTAATAAATTCCAAAGTTTTACATTGTACACTAAGTATAAATAAATTGAAAAACGGTTCCTAGCAAGGAATGAGAAGTGATTTCCTGTTAGGCTGTTAGATCTTGTTCTTAGGTATTCGTATTAGGATATTGGTATTCTGTGATTCGTATTCTGTTCCACAAACGTCATTATGGAGAAAATTGACATTGACAGTTAACTGCTGATTTGATTTGGTTTTTATTTATGTTTTGCGATTTATATGAAAATTCTAACTTACGATTTCTAATAGATTTTCATATCAATTTAAATAAAGATACATTTACAGTGGAAAATTCTTCACTAAAATCTTTCCACCGTGAACATTAAGTTGCTCAAAACACTGAGCAAGTAAGCAAGCACATAACAGATTGTTATTGTATTGAGAAATTTTGCTGACGCGAAACACCGTTACTCATTATTTATGAATGTGGGAATCTTTAACATAGTTAATCATAAGGTAACCATTATATTTTCCAGATGTTATATTTATGAACTTAGATTACGTATTAACAATTTAGTATTACTTAAAACTCAAGTTTTATCTTTTCTACATAACATGTCGACTTTAGTTTGTTTTTATTTGTATTTTTTATCATAGGACTATTTAGCTATTACGTTTAAATTACTATTATTTTTATGTATAATTCATGTACACAATTATATACGAAAAACAATATTGCATTATATATTATATTCATGTAAGATATTTATTAAACAAACTTATTCCTCCCACATTTGGAAACATATACTTAATGAAATGTCATATCTAGTGTGGCATATAAGGCAAGGATGGTGATAAAAATTTAATGTTCATTAGTGACCAAAACCATGATCTAAACCGTTAAACTTAATTATTAATTTTGAGTTTGAGTTATTCATTACAACATTACTACTCAACAATGTCCATGATATTCCTATCTCATCCAGTCATGTAATCATATAAAAATGTATATTATGTATACATATACATCATACCAGAATAATACTAGTAACACTCTGCTTCCTTTGAAATTTGTACATGCATTTTTATCACATTAGAAAAATATGAGTCTGTAAGACATTGCAGTTGGCCTTGTATTAGCTATTGATTTAGTTCTCTGTAGATGTAAGAATTGTTTAAAACACTTAAGTATTTTTTATTTCATCTATTATAAATATTCATACAAAAAATATAATCTTTTCTCTTTATAATATTAGTATATGTATATTGATAAATAAAGAAAAGCAAATTTATGATTTAACTATATTTTATTTATGTTTTACTCATTACATATATACTCAATAGAAATATTGATGTATCTAAAATTAATGCATGCATGTTTATACTGATAACATCATACAAACCTATACACAACACAATTACCTAATGTAATTAGATACTGTAGGTATTCAGAGTGATTTCATTTAATACTTTTAACAGCATTCTAGGCAGTTGAGTGTTTTTGTTCCTTTCAACTTGTATACCTTAATTATTATTGTTTTCATGGGATGAAGTTATTAATAATTTCTTCAAAATTTTTTTTTTCCTTTTGCATTTTGCAATCGGTTTACCAACCCTTTAAGAGATTTGTTATGGGACTGTTGACGGGAGAGAACTGTACCTCTAGTGAGAAAACTGTCTCATCGGTGAATGAAATCCCATGCATGGAGTCTCTTAAATCTTCTGCATTGCAATGGGTCTCGTAGTTCTGTTGCAAGGATATTAGTATACGCCCCTATACAATCTCTGTATACTAAAATAAATTACTTGGATGTTAAACCAGTTACAGGAAGATTGTTCGGTTAAGTAAACAGATCTCTGTATTATTAATTTGCTAATTGAGGTGCTCACCGCCTACAAATCAAGTAGTACTCAACATATCTGTTTGTGGTCTTGCGACTAATAACCAATTTAAATAGAAATAATTAAAAAGAAGTTAAATTGAAATAAGAACTAGTTTGCAGTTCTTATATTATAGCCCACTCATGCATAAATGAAATATATCCTTTGGAAAGTATACACTATATCCTGAGGAGATAAATACCATTACTACTAAGAATAACCTTCAATTCTTGTCCCTGATGAGTCTACATACAAAATATTGAAACTTGGTGAGTACAATAGATCTATGCAGGCCGCAGTGCTGTTAATAGTCCAAAACCCTCAATTTATTAATTTTTCGCCATTTTTTGTACACACACTAAATGCTGTGTATTTTCCTCTTAACATATTTCTTTTTTACAGTCATTGATAAGCACCTTCTTTCATCTTTTGCTATATGTTGTGATTTATAATTTTAGAATAAGGAGAGTGGCGGCATGTACGAGGAATGGAGCTCGCTGCCGCTGGAAGGCGGCGGGCAGGGTGTCCTGAAAGCAGTGGGCGGCCGCGATGTGGTGCTAGCAGTCATGAGACAGCTGGCTTCCCATGAGCCCAGTCCACTTACAAGTGATGCAGAAGTTAGTTCCTTTACAAAATAGTATTTTCTTTAATATCATCTACTTTTATTGTGGTTGTCATTTAGGAGATGGTTTCATGATTTAAAATAAATAACCCTGGACAATTAACACAGTGCCATCTAGTCCCACGATAAGCAGAGCTCCTGTTATGGGTAATAGATAACTGATATTAAAATTTAATATTTTTTTAAAATACATAATATACATAGAAAATAGACTCAAATAATCATACTTCTGAATACAAATGTTTGTGCGAGGAATAGAACCCGCAACCATCTGAAGCAAGGCGGTGTGCTAAACCACTAGACGTCGCCGCCGTCAGATAATAGTTGCAAATTCAAATTAAAAAATAATTTATTTATTTAGGATATTATAGCCGCTTATGAACATCAAATTTTTATATTATAATTTTGCCTTACCATCCAGTTCAGTATATAAATTTAGAAGAACTTGCAAGAAACTGAATTGAATTAAATTTTGCAATAATGATTATTATGTGAGGTGTAACACCCGCGGTGCGCAGGTGGAGTGGGTGCTGGAGGTGGTGCGGTTCGGCCTGGCGCTGCCGCTGAGCGAGCACGAGGCGCTGCGGGACTGCGTGCGCGTGTGCTGCGCGTGGCTGGCGCCGCTGCTGCCGGCCGGCGCTCCGCAGGCGCCGCCGCCGCCCGCCACGCCGCCGCCCGTGCTGGCGCAGCCGCACCGCTACGCGCGCAAGCTGCTCCGACACCTGCAGAACCTCTTCCTGCCGCGCCCCGACGAAAGTGAGCGCTCGTTTTATATGATTTTCCTTACCTTACCATCGCAACTAATATCTTATTGTGGAGCAATAAAGAAAATTTCTCGCAAATCGATTTATGAAGAAAAAGTTGATCCTTATTATTTTTTTTACAAAAAAAATGTTGTTTTGTTACAAGCTCTCTCGTTTATATACCAAATGGAGTTGGGTAAGTTTATATGGAAATTTTTAAACACTCTAAGGAATGTAAAAATGAACTAAGAAATATTAATGAGAGGGATCATTGAAATAAATCAAAAGTACAAAAATAAATCGTTCAGCTTTATCCGGCTCGAAGGCCCTCAGGCGGGCCCTTTAATCCGGAACAGTAATTATAATAATAATGTTTATTTGCCTGAAATAGTGAACTGTTGCAATTCCTGTTTACAATAAAATTAAAAGATATTCGAGACAAAACGCTATACAATTCAGAGGCGGCAGTGACTCCACCCCCTCTGCTATTCTGTTACAATCTTTATGAGATTAATTATTGGAATATAAAAATCGAGTACAATAAATACAAATGTTGATGTCGATGGCTGAATAGGCGGCGACCTGATCAGCAAGCAGGCGCTGCTGTGCCACCGCGTACTGCGGCTGGCGCGCTCGCTGGCGGGCGGCGGAGCACTGGGAGCGGCGGAGTGGCGCGCGCTGCTGGCGCTGCTGCTGGCGGCGGCGGCCGCGCTACTGGCGCCGCCCGCGCCGCACCACGCCGCCGCCGACCAGCTCACCGACCGCGTGCTCTGCGTGCTCTTCGAGGTCTGGATCCTCGCCTGCCACAGGTACCACTACACTTTGTATGAGTGGCGCGCGCTGCTGGCGCTGCTGCTGGCGGCGGCGGCCGCGCTGGCGCCGCCCGCGCCGCACCACGCCGCCGCCGACCAGCTCACCGACCGCGTGCTCTGCGTGCTCTTCGAGGTCTGGATCCTCGCCTGCCACAGGTACCACTACACTTTGTATGAGTGGCGCGCGCTGCTGGCGCTGCTGCTGGCGGCGGCGGCCGCGCTACTGGCGCCGCCCGCGCCGCACCACGCCGCCGCCGACCAGCTCACCGACCGCGTGCTCTGCGTGCTCTTCGAGGTCTGGATCCTCGCCTGCCACAGGTACCACTACACTTTGTATGAGTGGCGCGCGCTGCTGGCGCTGCTGCTGGCGGCGGCGGCCGCGCTACTGGCGCCGCCCGCGCCGCACCACGCCGCCGCCGACCAGCTCACCGACCGCGTGCTCTGCGTGCTCTTCGAGGTCTGGATCCTCGCCTGCCACAGGTACCACTACACTTTGTATGAGTGGCGCGCGCTGCTGGCGCTGCTGCTGGCGGCGGCGGCCGCGCTACTGGCGCCGCCCGCGCCGCACCACGCCGCCGCCGACCAGCTCACCGACCGCGTGCTCTGCGTGCTCTTCGAGGTCTGGATCCTCGCCTGCCACAGGTACCACTACACTTTGTATGAGTGGCGCGCGCTGCTGGCGCTGCTGCTGGCGGCGGCGGCCGCGCTACTGGCGCCGCCCGCGCCGCACCACGCCGCCGCCGACCAGCTCACCGACCGCGTGCTCTGCGTGCTCTTCGAGGTCTGGATCCTCGCCTGCCACAGGTACCACTACACTTTGTATGAGTGGCGCGCGCTGCTGGCGCTGCTGCTGGCGGCGGCGGCCGCGCTGCTGGCGCCGCCCGCGCCGCACCACGCCGCCGCCGACCAGCTCACCGACCGCGTGCTCTGCGTGCTCTTCGAGGTCTGGATCCTCGCCTGCCACAGGTACCACTACACTTTGTATGAGTGGCGCGCGCTGCTGGCGCTGCTGCTGGCGGCGGCGGCCGCGCTACTGGCGCCGCCCGCGCCGCACCACGCCGCCGCCGACCAGCTCACCGACCGCGTGCTCTGCGTGCTCTTCGAGGTCTGGATCCTCGCCTGCCACAGGTACCACTACACTTTGTATGAGTGGCGCGCGCTGCTGGCGCTGCTGCTGGCGGCGGCGGCCGCGCTACTGGCGCCGCCCGCGCCGCACCACGCCGCCGCCGACCAGCTCACCGACCGCGTGCTCTGCGTGCTCTCCGAGGTCTGGATCCTCGCCTGCCACAGGTACCACTACACTTTGTATGAGTGGCGCGCGCTGCTGGCGCTACAACATATAATAATATATCTCTGAACATTTCACACGAAGTCATCGAGTCTCGAGCTAAGCAGAGCTTGTGTTATGGGTACTAGACAAACTGATATAAATAAATAGATACTTTTTGTGTCATTACCTAAATAATATACATAGAAAACACTCAGACCTATACAAACAATCATACTCATTGATACAAAAGTTAGTAAGGTGCATGGAATCGAGACCACGACAATGAAAAGACTTGAATCATACACGTTATTACGTGCTAAAGAGTGATCACAAAAAATAAAAAAAAAATAAAAAAAGTTAAATTCAATGCAAGGTTTTCCCGCACTAAATCACACGCAGCAATTAGGAGTGATCAACTATAATGAATGATAATCTTATTCATGTCAGAATTAAAAAATCATCATTAAAAATTAAAAAATATCTTTATTCATGTAGGTCTGTTATAGATTCTTATGATATGTCAAATCTACCATCAGCTCGGAATGATTTCGAGATGAGAAGAACTGACATGAAACTCGGCTCGTATGCCTTTCAAATAAATCTTGAACATGTTTACAATACTACAATGTAATAAAATATGATTAGTGATAATCTTATAGAAGTAATAATATAATTATTATCCACAGATGTTTTCCCTCACCTCCACTGTGGCGTACACTGCGCGAGCAATGCATCAGATGGAGACACCGGGCCCCACTGACCGAGCAGTGGACTCGCGCATCGCTCTGTCTGACTGCCAGGCTGCTGAAGCACATGTATGGACCCACATTCCCAGCCATGCCTATAAGTAAGTATATGTTGTAAGAAAATGCTACGATCCGCACATCATCATCATCATCATCATCATCATCATCATCATCATCATCATCATCATCATCATCATCATCATCATCATCATCATTTCAGCCCAGAAGACGTCCACTACTGGATAACAATACGTGCATAAATCTGTTTTACATATATATTATTCAAATACAAGTTCAAAAATCATTTATTCATGTAAGACATTTTAGCCGCTTATTAACGTCAAATTTTTATTATTACATTTTTTTCCCTACTGTCCAGTTCAGTATATAGATCCAATTGAGAAGAACTGGCAAGAATCTTAACTGAATTACTAATTTTTTTAAGAAGCCAGTTTATTTACAATGCGTATTTAAATAGGTGTCTATGTCTAACATTATATGGAAATCGCGTGCATGAACTACTATTGTCATGCGCGCTCGTCATTCAAGTAGTCATTTAGTGAGTAATAGACTTTGTTCAGTAAATATGATTTAACAGATGTTTGTTTATTATCTAATGATTGTCAAGGTGAAGAGGATTCAAACCTGGTGCCGGCCGATATGAGCGCGGAAGCTGTGATGCAGAGCTGGTACCGTATGCTGCACACCATCGGGAACCCAGTCGACTTGTGTCGACCACACGTCATCAGCCAGACACCTGACTTCCTACAGGTGGGTTCTAAAACGACGTTTATCATAACCCGCTAGACCGCTGAGGTCGTTACTTTTTTGTTCTGCGACTTTTGTGGTAATTATCACACCACTTTCTATCCGATGGTCGGTTTTTCGATTCATGAATATAAACAATGTGTTCATGAGTATGTATGTATTGTATGGATGTTGTCTATGTATAATATATTATGTAGGTATAAAAAATTAAGTATTTATATCAGTTATCTAGTACTCATAACATACTCGTAAGCTCTGCTTACCCTGGGTCTATATGGCGTTTTGAAAGTTGTCCAGGCATATTATCTTACTAATATTATAAATGTGAAAGTTTGTGAGTATGGATGGAAGGTTGTTTGTTACTCTTTCACGCAAAAAATACGGAACGGATTTTGAAGAAACTTTGCGCTATAGCTTATATGTCACAATGATACATAGGCTATAATTTAAAAAGATATCAAGGAAGCGAAACGATAAATGTCAAGTAAGTGTGATGTAGATGAAGTTACATAGATAAAGCTATCCGGCTCGAAGGACCATGTCTGAACTTGTTATGATAGGAAAGAAGAAAGAAAGAAAAATATTTTATTCAGTGCAATGTAAAAAATACAATATAAACAACAACAAAAAATGATAGGTAGCGGACTGTAGTTAAGGTCTTAAAAACAATGAAATTGTTAGGCGGTTTGTGTGTTCCTTTATTCACATCGAAATCCTATTACAAGAATGTGGAAGTGTTGCCAACACGGTAAAACAAAATGAAAAAATTATGTGAATGAAATGTTGTGGTTTCCAACACACGGATCGGCTAGTTTTTATAATATTTGTCTGTTTGTTACTGGGCAGTACTCGATGTCGGGGGGAACGCGAGAGCCGTGGCAGCATCCATGCCTGGCGGCGCTGCCGGCCATCTTCCACAAGGCCATGCGGGGACTCGCCGCACACGTCGACGCCTTCCTCGGTAACGTACCAACACGCCTCATCTCACACCACCTCACCTCGGTTCACCCCACTACACACCACTGCACATACTTGGTTTAATAAATATTATTGAATTGTAAAGATAAAATATCTATTTGGTATAAGCCTCGCAATAGCTGCCTGTCCACGTACGCTCTTTCTCGCGCTAATCGTCTTTCGCGAGAGTGTGCATGTAAATAGCTGTCTTTACACGACACGTTAATTAGAGCGGGAAAGCCAGCGCGCGTAGTCATGAGTGATTGTATTGCATTTAAGTATTTTTTGTGTTCACTCATTCCCGCGATATAGCATGTATGTGTCTTGTCATTTCACTTTCTTTTCAAATTTTATTTAAAATTCTAAAATACAATTGAAGAACGCGAAAATGCGCGCGTGGCACTTGCGGTCTCTCTTCCGTTCTTTTTGCCTACATTTATATGCACATTATTTTCTGTGAAAGCCTAATCGCCCGTGAAAGAGTGCTTTTTACTATATTTTTAAATATGAAATTCTATTTACAATGTCAGTTACAAATTACAAATTATAACAAAGACCAATACCAATATACTTTATGTTTAATAGCACATTAATGTGCACTGCGTTTCCAATACTAAAATAATACACTTTTAGCTTGAATCGGGACTGTATATTTATTTAAAGTATTGAAATTTTGCACGTGCGTTTTTTTTTTTAGTATTATCTACCACACAACTTGGAATCTGTAAATTAGTTCTACATTAGCGTATATTGTATAATACACAAAGTACCTACACTATTCATATCTGCCAAACACATAAACATTAAATAATTAGCTGTATGTGAAACACGTTAAATTTTAATAGTGCACGAAATACATTGCAGATAATATATATGTATGTATTTCAAATTCTATTGAGTTATACATATATATTTTAATTATATCACAGACAAAAACATATTTGTTTAATAAATAGACACACAACATATAATAGATACACGTACAATATGTTGCATGCCTGTAGTTGTGTTTTGTTTAAGCCTACATTCATTGTGTGAACGACGCTTAAGAAATTCTGGTTTCTTACAGACTCAATAGCATTATTTGTGTGTATTGTTTGTATGCAAATATGTTTTATATAATAAGGTCTAATTTAAAAAGTGCTCAGTAATCAACGTGTTAAGGTTTCTTAATGCTCGGCAACGGGCACGAAACACCCCTACGGTCTTCTTACAAAAATCTGTCAAAACTCGTGCGAAACGTGGATTAATGAATCTACGTTTAAAATAATCCTGTGGATTAATGGATTTAGGATTATACCAATTCTAAATGTGACCACCTTTAGAATTAGTTCTTCGTAGATTTCGATATATTCGATTATCGATGGAATATATCGAAATCTACCAATATTACGATTACAGAAATCACATAATCGAATAAATCATTCTAATAAAATATAAATCATATTAGACCTTCCCTCAATGGTATTTCCGCACCGATAGTACATTGAAACCTTCAAGAAAAGAGCTTATTCCTTGTTAAAAGACCAGCAACGCAATATCCCTGGTGTTGCGGGGGGTGCTCATGGGCGCCGGTAATCATTTGAGCCGTTGAACACGTTTATCCCCTGTGCTATATACATATATAAAAAAAAGACAATTGGATTAATTTGGTAAAGTAATGTAATTGTGTAAAAATTCATGATTTTTACATAAATGTCATTATTATCGCCTACTACTTCATACCTGAAAATCTGAGCACTATTTCAGTTAGACCTCCACTGACATTTAGTTCATTTCTTTTACTGGGTTACATATATTTTTTTCTTCTTTTATAAAAATGTACAATTCTGTATTGCACATTTTTATAATATATTTTGTATTATATCTACTGATTGAATCTTGGTTATAAATCTGAAAATACATTTTCTATTCAAGAGAATTATTAAATTCTTAATTATTTGGTATTAAGTCTGAACTTAACGCAATTTAAAAACGAATTCTAAGCGATTTTATATATAATTAACAAAGTTGAGTTTAAAATTTTAATGTATTTTATTTAGAAATGTAATTAAATTGCGTATTCTATATGATCTTACTACTTTTATCTTTGACTTTATTATTTAAAGGTGGTTTGGGGATGTAGATTGCAAAATGTGATACCTACAATGTGATTTTACTATTATACTGTTATTTTTTATTTGTCTGTCATTGTCTAGGTGTCGCATTATGTGTTATTTCCTCATGGTGGCATTTTACATGGCTATTCGTATTGTTTATTGGATTTTTATGTTATTATAAAATATTCGAATATATAGAGTAGAAGCTTTCAGACAGTGCTCATTCTGCAATATTGGAGTATATAGATTTATAGATGTGACTTGGTTGCGACAATCTTTACTTATCATTGTTAGGGATTCATAAATAGAATTTTGTGCTAACGATACGGTCACGTTTTGACTGATCGGGCTCCGTGAAGACGCTGGTTATTATGTCGAAATATCGTGAGCTCATAAATAATATTATCGCCTATGGAAAGTTACACTCAATCTTGAGGAGATAAAAACCATCGCTCTCAAGAATATCTTTCAATTCTTGTCCTTATCGGGCCTAAGTAGTTAACTTTGAAAAGGGGAATGTATGTAGATCGCAGTGCTGTAGGACTAAATCATCTGGAAATAGCCCAAACATTAAATAAAAAAATGCATATTCGTGATATTTAATACTGAGCTGTTCGCCATAACTACTATATAAAAACATGATATAAAGTCATTATTATACAGCTTAAGTTCTTGTACCATTGATGTTCATATTGGAAAATACCACTGTCCAAATTGAGTGAGTGCTCCTCAGAGCTTACACTTTGTATATATTCAGTCTTTGTAAGACGATTCCTACCTAGTATGATTCCATGTTTAAATTTGCGAGTACGAATAGCCATGTGTTTGATGTGCGGGGCCAGGGCGGGGCGCAGAGCGGTGGTGGGTGGAGTGCGGGGGCGGGGGCGGGGGCGGGGGCGGGGCGGGGTCCGGGGGCGCGGCGGGGGGCGCGGGAGGCGCGGAGGGCGCGTGCGAGGAGGACACGCCCCCGGCGCACCGCCGGCTGGCCAAGTCCTTCAGCGTCTCCACCGCGCGGCCCCGAGACAAGCCGCCCGACAAAAGTACGTCGCAACATATTGTCTACAGATAGTTTAACACAGGGATGGCTAACAGGTCGATCGCGACTGACAGACTAGTAGATCGTGGCAAACCAAAAAATATAAATACGTAGACCAGACTGCGCAACAAAAGTCGTAAAAAAGGTTGGCAATCTCCAACTACAAACCTAATTAATGCTAAACTAGTGGAAGATGCTCAGACGCAATACTTACACTGATATAAAGATAAATAAGTACCTAGTTACTAAGAATAATATTCACATTTATGTTTATTCTCTTAATAAAATAAAAAAAAAATATTCCAGTTTTGTGTAATGAACTGTTTCATTTAAGATTTCTATAAGTATGTAATTGGTAGATCGCAGGATTTCAATAAAATATTCGGCTAAAATGCTAGAGGACAAAGACACCCACACAATCAGTTTCTACAAACTTTAGTAAATGAAACAACTAAATAAATTAACTTCGAACTGAATCTGCACAAAGTCTAATTGGTCTATTTTTGGGTACACTGGTTTTTTGGGTTGATTTGATAAATATGTGTGTTGGGATTAGGTATGTTTAAAAAAAGTGTTGATTTTTTATTGCCAATGCTGCTATTCATAGAGTTGGTAATGGTACGCTGATGCACTGTAATATTTTCACTATGTATTTGTATATTACAGATGATTGTAGGCTGTTTATCAATCTTGGATTTATAATAGAGATTTTTTTGTGTACTATTGTGAACTACGAGTAGGTATACATATTACAAAAGTACATGGCGTTTTGGTTGTTCAAGAGCAGGAATTTCAACTTTTAGACATAACAATTTAATTATTATATAAACATTCAATTAAGTAATATTAACATTACTAAAAAAAAACAACGGGTGAATTTTTTGACTTCTGGAACTGTTGCCAAGCAGAATTACAAAATAATATAGAAAAATGACTAGTGATTATAAGTTCATTGTTAATATATTCTACTTAGTTTTTAAGTTTATATAATATAATCCTATGTAAGTTGTGGCAATGTGGTACTTTTACTCACCGGTCGGAATTTAATCACCAATTGAGAAGATCCTAACGTTTGTAAGTAGTAAGTAGTAGTGGTCCGGTTTCCGCACTAAATATTTGTGGTCATACACATGCTAAAAGCAGCGGAATAAAATAAAATAATACAAATCCATTGAGCAATGAAATGGACATCCGCAAATAATGCTTAATTCGATAAAATATGTGAAAGTTAGTTGGTATATGTTTGCTGAAATGCCGTAGGTACCCCTCGTACGTCGCTGATCGGTCTGACGGGCAGTCGGCCACCCAGCGTGGCACCAACCACGCCGCCCAACTCTATATCCTCGCAAGGTTAGTCTTATTTTTACATTTACTTAGTTCAATATTTGTCTTCTTTCGCCCTCCGAAAGTAGACAAATATTGAAGTACCTATTTTTTTTTTAAATGATAATGAAATGGCGCTCCCCTGCTCCTCCCCCTGGCCTGCGCTAACGGTTTACGCTGGCGGGGCACTAGTGGAGGATGATAAGATGAGCGTGAGGTCAGGTGAGATAGCCCATCGTGACAAATTCACCAAGAATTTATCACGATGGTTTCCAGGAGGAACCGCGTGGAGGTCAACCTGACATGGTGCATTGCTAGTAATGGGGTCATTAGTCCACATTATTAATCCCCTCCCCCCCTTGAAGTACCTATTAATATCTAGACACGCGGCAGCGTGTCAAGCCGAGTTTCAAGTAAACTGGCAAGCAGCACCGTGTGTATATTTACACGAACCATTTGGAGCCACTTTTGACCCCCTCATAACTCAAAAACTCTTTCACACAAACCTGTCAAATTTGGTTCATATATTGAGACTTGCGAGATAAATATGTGTTCCAAATTTCATAAACATATCTCAAACGGTATTTAGATATTAATGTCCAAAAATCGTCATTTTTATCACTGATCAACTATAGATCAAAATTATAACCCACTTCCAGATGACCTAGGAAGTTCAAATTTGGCATGCAGATAGGTAATTAGGTGAATATAAAGGAAAAAATCTGAAACTGGTAAATTGTTATCATTTTACTACAATTTTTCACTTTAATTGATTCTATTTCAACTTATACTGGACGAATACTAAAATTCTATGAAAACGTCGATAGCCACCAATTGACATTGATCCCTGGCGAAAATCTCATCTTGTACTGGACAGATAGTAATATTGTATGAAAACGTCGATCATTACCAATTTACATTGACCCCTTCACATCAGTGTCGATAACTAGCAAACTTCAAATATTGCATTGAGCGGTAAACACTAGTTGCTATAATTTAGATTCTGTCTAAAATATACTGTACTTATAACTAGGAGTATAGTCGAATTTCGTATTTATTATGTTATTAACTGAGATTTGGTATTAATTATTGTTTCAATATTTAGCGCACATCGATAGTGTAAGATCATTATTTTTATAAATAATTATTAAATAATAGGCATATCGGTATAGGGCGCCGCGGCGCCGTGTGGGAGCGGTGCGATAAAACGTTGAACTAACCTATACGGTTGGTATTTATGCTACGAAATTCATAGTTTTCTTAAATTATACTTATATATTTGTGGTTATATTATTTTAGTAAATACGTATGGTATAGACAATAGTTTAAACCAAAAATTAATAATAATTTTAGTACAGTTATAAGTAGGAATGTATAGTTAACTCGAGAATGAGAACTCATTGGTAACAAATTGTTTTCTTGAGAATTCCATAGATAACAGTCAATTTGTTATATAATCGTCTTTATGAACTATAACGTGTCAATACGAAGTTTCAGATATTAAATAATGTATATGTTGAAAGAGAACAATTCCGTATTTGCTTAACATATGCTATTACTATCTACAAATCACAAGGCCTTAGTTTTGGCAGTCCTCTTCTCAACATAGGCTCCTCTATATTTAATAAAGGGCAGGTTTACGTTGGACTCTCCAGAGTTAAAACCTTAGATGGAGTACGTCTTAATAATTTAGATCCAAGTCACGAGAGCTCTATTGTAGAGTACAACCATCTGTGGACGTTATACCGCCCCGATTTGCCCAAAAATTCCTGATACTGAATTGGCATTGCACTTGAACATTTAAAAGTTACAAGAAAATATAGAAAATAACACAAAAAAAAGACAATTATACCCCGTAAATATACGAAAATACAGTAATTTATCAAAAATAATTTAGTATTAATTTAGTTATAAATAAGTACCTCGTATAATTTATGTACAAAAAGTAATGATATCCCATCAAAAACATAAATGTGAAATGATAGCCGAGTTTAATATTTTGATATATGCCTTGATTGTTGACTTCTACGACAAAAGAGATGAGATCTAAATGGGTGCCAAGTTCAATGGTCTGTCCTGAAATGTATTTATAACAATATAAAATATCATTTCTTCTTATAAATTAGGATAATATACTGTAGCCTAAGGTCTAACTTGGCTAGTTTTCATATACGAAATATACTGTAGCCTTCGCAAGTTCTAAACATGTTACTTGTCGGTTCCTATTTTAATATTAGTAGTAACTAGCAATCGAAAGTAATAATTGGTATATGAGAACTGGCCAAGTTAGAACTTAGGCTACAGTATATTATCCTAAGTTATAAGAAGAAATGATATTTTATATTGTTATAAATACATTTCAGGACAGACCATTGAACTTGGCACCCATTTAGATCTCATCTCTTTTGTCGTAGAAGTCAACAATCAAGGCATATATCAAAATATTAAACTCGGCTATCATTTCACATTTATGTTTTTGATGGGATAACTGTTAAAATAGATTGATGGTAGAATGTTCAAAATAGTAGTTGAGCAGTTTAGCACACTGGCTTAGTTCTGCTGGTCTGATGGTTGCGGATTCGATTCCTCATACGATACAAACATTTTGTATTTATGAGTACGATTATTTGTATCTTGTTGACTTAGTATAAATTTTACTTAGTAAATCGGTACCATTTTGGATGATACGACTTGTATTTTTCTGACAGTATGTGAGACGGAGAAGCCGCCGCTGGCTCCACTGCGGCCGAAGGTCAACTCCATCTTCCACCTATTCGGGGAGTGGCTGTTCGAGGCCGCGCTTATTGGAACCACTCCGGCATACAACAACAATCAACGTACGTATATATATATTGGGACAACTAAAGTTTATCATAGAGGTCTAAGATACGGTTAAGGAGGAATATCTACCCTCATATTTTGTTTAATAATGACCACATTCATAAACGAAATAGTGTTAAGCAATAAATATTCATTTAATTTCGCACATGACTCTTGTTTTTTTTATTTAAGAAATTTTATTAAAGTATTTTAATGATATAACGATGGACGCTTAAACATATTATTTACTTTTTTGTAAATAAAATGTTTAGGCTACAAATTTTTTGTAAAATTCTATTCGTCTTGACAGCAATAGATTCGCTCTCCCACCGCGTTAGGTTTAATATTCCTAGCAACATATGGGCACGCCAAGTGTTACCTTAGCAGGATTTCAATAGCTGAGAATGCCTTTGACTAAGAAGTAAGAACAGAAGAACAGTTGAGAATATGTATTAATATTTATTTTTGTTTTCAGAACGCGCAGATGGCACTCCACCACCACCTTCAATATCTGATGCGCAATACAAGCTCAATATGTTGAGCTATCAGGCAGGTTAGTTAAGTTTTATATCGTTTTATGCACATACTTTTAAAGTAGGTACATATGGCGTACCTTGTGGCATTACCAGTCAACCATGGGTGATGCAGGGAATAATTGTAGGGGGTGCAAATATAAATTAATAATATAATGGACAATACAGATATAAATATATATGAATAAATAGCCACATATTTATACACATAGGTACAATGAAATATCATGTACAGCCACAAATTATAGAAGAAAAAAAAAAAAAAGCAGTGAGAGAAACGGGACACAAGTAAGGTTACAAGTTCAGATAATGTTCCCGTAATTTACGTTTGAATGAAAATCTACTCGTTTTATAAAATACAATCACAGTTTATTTTAAATGGATTGGAAAATATTTATAGGTTATCAATCAGTGCAATTAATTGATATTTATCGTATTTGGAAGTAAGCGCCAAAAAAGTTTGTTTTTTTTATTATCATTACCAAATCTGAAATGTTTCTTTGCCACGAGTTGTGTACGTGCGTTGACCAATAGAGATGGTATGTGCGTGTACAGGACGCGCAGAGGCGCTGGGCGCGGTGTGCCGCGTGCTGTGCTCGAAGCAGAGCCGGGAGGAGGTGCTGGCGCCGTACTTGGCTCGCTGCCTGGCGGCGCTGCGGCACGGGCTGCGGGACCCCAACGTCGCCGCCGCCGTCGTGCTCAACGCTCCAGACATTTTCAGGTCAGAGCATATCTAATTGCTAATGAAAATGCTTTACGTCCGACGGTCGCGGGTTCGATTCCTCGCAAGGCACGAACATTTGTTTTCATGAGTATCATACTCATGTTTGTATCGGTCTCGGTATTTTTTATGTATAATACGTATGTATTTACGAAAAAAAATTCTATGTATTTGTATCAAATATCTAGTGCCCATAACACAAGCTTTAGCTAGCTTATCAGCTTAACTTGGGTCTAGATGGCGCTGTGTGAATTGTCACGATATTATTGTTACTATTATTTTTATTAAAAAAAAATAAATACGAATTTTGGTTTTAGATTGGATTTAGACGGAGTTTTGGTTCTGGTACCGGATTACATAACAACACTAGACCGTATCCTCTCAGAGAGGGAGCCCAAGCTAGAATGTGGTGGTATAGACAAGCGCGAGCTGCGTAAGGCCGCCATCAGCGCGCTCCTGTCGTTGGTCGCCTTCCCTTACCATTATAGAGGTCTACCTGTTCCGGAATTTCCTGGATGCAATGAATAGTGAGTCATTTTAATATTATAATATAATGATCTTGTTTTTAAATGTGTATTCGTATCTTTGTATTTCGTACTAGCTGTGCCCGCGATTTCATCCGCGTGAAATTTTAATTATTCTGATATATATTACTGTCCAAATATAAGTGTTTGTATATACAAAATCTGTTCAGTAGTTTTTTCTTGAAAGAGTAACAAACATCCATACTCACAAACTTTCGCACTTATAATATTATTAAGACAATATATCAATAATAAAAAATATAATCATCATTCAAATAACGTGGTAAATAAAGCTTAAACGGACCGGTGTACTCCACGAAATGAGTAGGCGTGTGAATGTCGTCGGTCCTTCGAGCCGGACGTGTATGTGTGTGTGTGTGTGTGTGCGTGTGTGCGCAGCGCGGGCACGTCGCTGGGCGAGCTGACGCGCGCGCGGCTGGCGGCGCTGTGCGTGGCGGCCGTGCAGGTGGAGTGGTCGGCGTCGCTGGCCGCGCCGCTGCTGTCGGCGCTGTACCTCTGCGTGCGGCACCACGCGCCGCCCGAGACGCGCGCCGGCCCCCCGCCGCTCGGCGACGCCAGAGGTACGCCCCCCTCGCCCCCTCCTCGCTCCCCCTACCACCCTCCCGTCAAATACGTCATTCACGTGTTGAACATAATAAATTGAAGGATATGAAACATTCAATTTATTATATTCAAAGCTTATCGCCACCTAATCTGTATATAATTTGGCCGTATTGTGTAGAATGTCGAAGTACTCTGTGCAGTTTTGTAGAATAAAGTGAGAAATGACGTATCTGACACCTCCGATCTGCCCTTTCGATGTCACGGCCACCACATGTCTACTGCCTTTTTCCTCTATCCTAGTTTCTTTGTACTTCCCTGACATCTCACCTCGTCCGTCCTTACGACTGTTTCCTTAACTTACTAAAATGAATCAAACAATAGTTCACGATAAATAGAGTTGGCAATTGATTTACTTTCATGACAAATGAAATACTTGGTATACCAAGTACACTTTGACGTACGACGTACTACGTAGCACATTCGAAATTTAACAGTAATTATACCGAATTAAAAGTTTCTCGTACAATAATGATATAGATGTATTAAAATAAACACAAATTATATGGTACATAATTAAGCTTAAAATTAGAAAAATTGCCAAGTCTATCCATCGTAAACAGTACACTCACCGTCACTACAGTATGCATGTTCAATATAACGCATACCACTCAATCAGTCTTAATTCAATTTGTTAAAAAAATAACTATGATTGTTTGTTTTGTAAATATAATACTCACTACACCATACAGTTTTAGAAAATGAAGCAGCAGTTGTTCATACGGTTATTACTCTAAAAAATGTTATTATATCTTGTATTTTGAAATAAAATCCATTTAATATACATCTAATCATCGAATCGGATGAATGGCAATTTTGTTTATCATTGCCATCAATGTAAAAATTTTCAAATTGTATATAAAGAAAGAAAGATAAAGATAAAGTATATACAAAACATACATTGCTATATAGTTCTATAAATATTACTATTTTGTTGTGATATGTATAATTTGTTGGTTTCAATCCAGGACCAACAAAAAGGATTTGCAGTCATAAACAAATTGTTTGTATATGTTGTGTTTGAACAACTGTGCTCCAAATATACATATTTTTCAACATTCACATATCATAATACCATTAGCTTTGTAAAAGTGATAGAAAAGATAAGATTTCCACCCGATGATCTCCACGCTATTTATCTCATTCGATGACACACGCTACATTTGTTTTGCTATTTTCTTAATAGATTCGTACAAACTTACATCACTTACTTAATTACGTAAAAAAAAAGATTAATTTAATTCGACTTCAGTTACTATTAATTCCACGCTGTAGGTAGAGTCATGGTTACTTCATTGAAATAAAGTTTCAGGTTCAATTTCGAACAAGTCAGTTTTTTTATAGTAAATGGCTTGCATCTGGAAGTGGCTGTGGCTGTGATTACTGCATATTTATTTTAATTGTAATAAGGTTAGGTACAGGATTATAGTTATTTAACTTCAATGCACACAATACAAAAGGTAATAGTACAATGTCCGGACTTAACACTATATAGGATTTTCTACCAGTCAACCATAGACTGCAGAGAATATTTGTTGTTTATGTTATATTTGTCTACTATAAAATTGTAAATTAGCTACAAAATAGCCAATCATATACAATAATGTAAGTTTAAATTAACACGTTAATACCCTGTTTATACCTAAAGTTATTATTATTGTAACAGGTCGGGTATAAATGTGTATTATTGTCTATGGTTGCACGTTATAGCGCGTTCAGATAGCGGCAGCGCGACGGGCAGCGACGGACATTCCTCGCTGGAAGACTTTGCCGCCGACGTTAGAGAACTAGATCCATCATCACCTGTTTTCGGTAATTCACACTTTATTTGCATGCACATAAGGACGATATTTGATAAACGTAACATGAACAAGTTAAGGAATTGGTGTATACAGACTTGAGATTTTTTTTTTTTATCAAGTTACGTCCTAATTTGGAAGACACTGTGAGTGCTTACATTAAGAGTTAATGTTTTTGGTTCGCTTTTATGTTTTATGTACTTGTCACTTCACGGCTTGCTAATTTTATGTTTTACATTATCGAGTATTTTAGAATGACAGCAGTAATCTACTCACATTTCGAATATATGTTAGTAAAAACAACAAGAAATAACGCTTAATCGGCTGAACTGATTTGATTAATATCCGCCAAAGTATATTGAGAAATAAAACAGCAGAATTTGTATCTTAGTTGTTGCAGGAAAAGCCTCGAAATATAGTTATTTCTGATTGATTAAATGTGTATGAAATACATGTAGTAATTAAAAATAATTAAGTACAATATCTGTTGAACTCTTTCCTCAAAGTTCGGCAAAGTCCTCAAAGTCGTATTTCCCAATTTTTGTAACATTTTTTATTATTACACTATTCATCATAGCGTGATGTTGATAGACTATATTTTTAGGCATTTAGAAATAACGTGACTTTCTATTGATAAAAGAATTTTCAAAATCGGTTTAGTAGTTCTAGATCTTTTCTCCATTGTTAGTTGTCCGTGATTTTACAAGGATAATAATTAATTAAAAAAAAACACATTAAAGCAATACGCATAAAACAATAGAAGAACCCAAATTTTGCGAAAGTGGGCGGTGGCATGTTCTCTCTTTTTCTCTTTGTCCACTTTAATATGTTTAACCCGAGAATCTGCATTCTCTTTTGCGAGAATGCGGATTCTCGTGTGAAAATGCAGATATTGAAGTTGTATCATAATGTATGTACGTGGTGTGGCATATTCAGGAGCGGCGCTGGTGGTCCGCGCCACTTACCTGGTTTGCCACCGGCTGATATCCTCGTGGAAGGGCGACCTGCAGGTGTCGCTGGCTGCACTGGAACTGCTTTCCGGGCTCGCTAAACTGCACTCAGCCAAGCCAGGTATGTAATTCGTCTTCGTCACTTTAATACTATTTAAGTTATATAATATTTTGATACAAAACTTTATTACTTACATACTAGTTGTGCTCGCAGTTTTGCAGCAGAAAAGAAAAGAATATGGTAGAAAGAAGGAAAATTGTATTATAAAAATTACTTAAAATATTTTTTTTATAAATTACACGCTTTCAGAATATGTTATTGGTGAGTTTTTTGCTATTTTTAATATTAATTCCATATCTTTAATTTTTTAACTCCGCCTGGTTAGATTTGATGGGTTTGTCTTTTTTTATACCAAATAGGTAAAAAAACCCAAAACCAATTTAGATAATAAAAAGAAATTACCACGTAAAAGATAAAATTACAGAATATGGAGTCACGACACTCGTCCTCCGGAATGACAACGTATAAAGTCACGAAAGTCACACGGTGACTTGATGGTCGGGGTACTGTTCATGTACATAGACGACGGTTACCACTTGTCATCAGGTGGACAGACAGATTGATGTCATTGTACTTATATGAATGTGTGATTTAATCTTATTCTATTACTTAACCAGTTGATGGTGTATTTAATATTGTAACTAATTAATGATCCTTCGAGCCGGATATGAACTAGCTAGCTATGTTTATACACTTTCTTGTGATGAAAAAGCTCTCCAAATGAACGGTAGATTATAAAACTATGACTATTCAAAAGGGTTTAAATTAAGTTTTTTTTAATAAAGAGTTTGTACTGTATTTACAGAGGCGACGGAGCGGAAGCGCGCGGTGCGGTGGGTGTGCGACTACATCAGCGTGCAGTGCGGGCGGCCGCCGCCGGCGCACTCGCGCGACCTGCACTCGTGCGTGGTGGCGGCGTACAGCTGCCTGGCCGCATGGCTGTGCCCCGCGCTGCTGGCCGACGCCGCCTGCCTCGCCGCGCTCATGGAGGTCGTCGAGCTCGGCATCTCCGGCGCCAAGAGCCAGCCTGGTACGTACCTATCTCCCACATGGACTCTTATACGATCTGGATGCTATGATGTTGTATAGATGATAAGTTTCGCACTAGCTAACTTGATTTATTGAATACACGTATGCTTGAGCGTAAGCTGTATATGTAATGTTTGCTTGTGTGGACTGATGCTTGCTTGTGTGTACTGACAGGAAAATGGTATGTTTGGGTGTGATATGCATGTGCAACGGTGTGTAGATACATACATTACAGTCCAAAGATTATAATAAGAAGAATTGAACGTTTTAGTGTAATATTCTCTTGTATTGTGCAGGGAAACCAGGCGAGCAACCAAAAATGAAAGACGAGAAAGAATTAAAACCGGTTTCCATGAGAGTGCGGGATGCGGCTGAATCACTGCTCATGCTTATTTTGGAACAGGTGATTTAAACAAAATAGTAGTGTTACATTTGTCTGTGTTTTTTTATTTATTTAATTCTTTATTTATTAAAGTCTCATCTTAAACTAAGTGGCTCGACATCACCTGAGAGAACGTGATCATCTACATCTCTTATAGCTTAATGATTGTTATTAAAATGTTCAGTATTATTTTAAGTAAGTAAGTAATATGTGTTCTTTAGACGGGTACGACCGCCGGCGGCGGCGGCGAGGGCTGGTGCCGGCTCGACGAGCGGTGGCTGGCGGCGCTGGGCCACGGCAAGCTGCGGCACTACGTGGCCGACGGCTCCGTGCTGCTCTCGCTGCTCGAGGAGCCGCTCGCCAACAGCCAGGAGCCGCAGCCCACGCTCATCGGTACGTGCTCACCACACACAGATACACACACACGGGTACGAGCGGTGGCTGGCGGCGCAGGGCCACGACACTACTTACTTAGTTCTAAATTATCTGAGAGTATACGTCGAACATAATGGATAGTAACGTGCATGTCTGTCCTGCCGTGTGCAGTGATCATCCGGTGCGGCTGGGGACGGTACGCGTGGTCACTGAGCAGCCGCGGGGCCGCGCGCTGCGCCACGCGCGGGGGCGGCGCCGCCTGCCCGCGCCCCGTCGACATGCTGGGGCCCGCCCCGCGCCCCGCGCCCGCCTGCCTGCCCCTGCCGCCCGCGCCGCCCTGTGCCGTGTGAGTATCGCCCCGTCGACATGCTGGGGCCCGCCCCGCGCCCCGCGCCCGCCTGCCTGCCCCTGCCGCCCGCGCCGCCCTGTGCCGTGTGAGTATCGCCCCGTCGACATGCTGGGGCCCGCCCCGCGCCCCGCGCCCGCCTGCCTGCCCCTGCCGCCCGCGCCGCCCTGTGCCGTGTGAGTATCGCCCCGTCGACATGCTGGGGCCCGCCCCGCGCCCCGCGCCCGCCTGCCTGCCCCTGCCGCCCGCGCCGCCCTGTGCCGTGTGAGTATCGCCCCGTCGACATGCTGGGGCCCGCCCCGCGCCCCGCGCCCGCCTGCCTGCCCCTGCCGCCCGCGCCGCCCTGTGCCGTGTGAGTATCGCCCCGTCGACATGCTGGGGCCCGCCCCGCGCCCCGCGCCCGCCTGCCTGCCCCTGCCGCCCGCGCCGCCCTGTGCCGTGTGAGTATCGCCCCGTCGACATGCTGGGGCCCGCCCCGCGCCCCGCGCCCGCCTGCCTGCCCCTGCCGCCCGCGCCGCCCTGTGCCGTGTGAGTATCGCCCCGTCGACATGCTGGGGCCCGCCCCGCGCCCCGCGCCCGCCGGCCTGCCCCTGCCGCCCGCGCCGCCCTGTGCCGTGTGAGTATCGCCCCGTCGACATGCTGCCCCTGCCGCCCGCGCCGCCTGTGCCGCGCCCCGTCCCGCGCCCGCCCCGCGCCCGCCTGCCCCTGCCGCCCGCGCCGCCCTGTGCCGTGTGAGTATCGCCCCGTCGACATGCTGGGGCCCGCCCCGCGCCCCGCGCCCGCCTGCCTGCCCCTGCCGCCCGCGCCGCCCTGTGCCGTGTGAGTATCGCCCCGTCGACATGCTGGGGCCCGCCCCGCGCCCCGCGCCCGCCTGCCTGCCCCTGCCGCCCGCGCCGCCCTGTGCCGTGTGAGTATCGCCCCGTCGACATGCTGGGGCCCGCCCCGCGCCCCGCGCCCGCCTGCCTGCCCCTGCCGCCCGCGCCGCCCTGTGCCGTGTGAGTATCGCCCCGTCGACATGCTGTGCCATTTGAGTATCACCCGTTCCCGCCCCGCTACTGCCACCAGATCCCGCCACGTAAGTACCGCCTCATCCAGCGCATGCTGTCCCCCGTGTACGTTCAACAATAGTGTTCAGTTCAAAAATATTTAATATTTAATATTTTTTATTCACCAGTGATTCTGCATTTCCCACTTTGGATTCAGTGTTGAGGCAGCTTAACGACCCCGATGCTCCGATATTGTTCAAGCTCCTAGAACAGCAAGCGAATATTGAGAAGCGAGTGAAAGAGAACGAAGACAATGTTGTAAGTGTTTTTATTTAATTATCTGTTTATAACGGATGTATATTTTGTAACAAAATTGTATATTTGTAGATATTGGTATAAAGTTTGTATACTTGTAGGAGTTGTAATTTATTCATTTCTTTAGGTACCAGAAGAGTACGTCCCGCCCGAACCCGTGACCGAATTTCAGACGGCGAGATTATTTCTCTCCCATTTTGGTTACCTAAACATCGGCGGTGATAAGAAGGTAATATTATTTCTTAATATTTTTAAAATGAAAAAAATACGCGCTTTTACGCGCGAATCGGCTATCAAATGGGAGAGTGTGTGAGAAAGAGAGAGAGAGAAAAGAGAAACGACCAGAGCGAGAAAAAACGCGCGCGGGCCGGCATTAATTACCATTGCAATATGCAGGAGTGTTTGTTTAAGGAACAGTGACCTGTTATTGTCCTCATTAATATTTTAATGTTTTGCCTATTTAGATCTAATAGACGTTTTGTGAGTCGTGGGTTTGTTACTGGAATTACCCTTGATTGTTTGCAATGAATTATTTAGGTCTATCTTTGGTTATGTATTTTAATGGATCTCTGGCGAATCCGAGTTCGAATATGCGAGAAGGGAAGCGGTAGAGGCCGCATAGGGCCCGCTACCGCCATACTAGATCCTTTTTTCGCTAGCTCGTCCGCGGCATCGTTACTATGTGATCCACCGCGCCCTTTTATTCATTGGGTAGTGACTCGATCGTGCAAAGATATTCTATCCATGAGTGACACTTGTTGCGGGTAAATGACACGATGTTGTTGATAGTTTTTTACTACAGGCATATGAATATAAATAAAATGTTATTTTGGTGTATGTAACCAAAATAACATTTTTCACAATTTTTGTTTGTCTGCTTGTTTGTTCCGGCTAATCTCTGAAATGACTGGACCCATTTTGACGGGACTTATGGGCAGATAGCTAATACAATAAGGAGTAATTTAGGCTACTTTAATTTTAGAAATTAAAGTTATATTCCACGCGGACGAAGTCGCGGGTACAGCTAGTCTGTAATATACATCGTCTCGACCGACAACGTCGTATCATTTGCCGGCAACATAACTGGTAGCGTGCGGTCAGGGCGGCGGTCCGCGGCTGACGGCGCTGCGCGGGTGGTCGTCGGGGCTGGCGGCGGCGCTGCGGCGGCTGGACGGCACGGGCGCGCGCGCCGCGCTCACCGCGCACGTGTTCTGCGCGCGCGCAGGCCGCGCCGCCGCCGCGCACATGCTGGCCGACGTGCGCCGCCCGCGCCTGCTGCCGCCGCCCTTCCTCCGCATGCTGCGCGGGTAACCCACGCTACACTACTTCAGTTTTTTAGGACCACTCTGATCCCGTCGACCGCATCCGGCCTTCGAGGCTTCACCGGATGGGAGGTGAACGTGAACACCTTCACCCTCAGTGGTATGCCGTCATTTTGTGTGTTTTGTATTCGCTCGCAGTGCACGACGTCAACTGGTAATGAGTAACTACACTACTCGTTTTTGGTTTCGGAATACTCTTAATGCTGTTGGCAGCTGGCCTTTACAGCTCCGTACAATAGGGTAGGTAAAGTTGGCACTCCAATCCTAAGGAAGGACTTGTGGAACATCTAAAGACCAACTCCCGAGTGAGTGCAAATGACACGCCAAACCAAAGGAAGAACTTGTAGAGCTAAGCCAACTCCTGCCTGACTCCGGATACCTACAAAAACTTCTTTATAGACGAAATGTATTGAAGTTTCACTTCTACTATATATACCAACATAATATTTTTAAACGAGCCATTATATAGCGCCTTTATAATTTTTAGTTGCTCAGTTACCGTTACGTAACAGCGCAGCGTGCACTCGTTCACTCGGTGCGGTATGTGGTGCAGGCTGGGGACGGCGGTACGCGTGCGCGGACACGGCGGGTGGGCGGGACACGCCGCGCGCAGCTACGACGCGCAGCCGCCCGACCTGCAGCCGCCCGCGCCCGCCCTCGACGACGGCTCGCCCGCCGTCTACGACGGCCGCCAACAGGTGGGCACGCTAGCTCGTAGTGCGGCGCGGCCGCAGTACGACGCGCAGCCGCCCGACCTGCAGCCGCCCGCGCCCGCCCTCGACGACGGCTCGCCCGCCGTCTACGACGGCCGCCAACAGGTGGGCACGCTAGCTCGTAGTGCGGCGCGGCCGCAGTACGACGCGCAGCCGCCCGACCTGCAGCCGCCCGCGCCCGCCCTCGACGACGGCTCGCCCGCCGTCTACGACGGCCGCCAACAGGTGGGCACGCTAGCTCGTAGTGCGGCGCGGCCGCAGTACGACGCGCAGCCGCCCGACCTGCAGCCGCCCGCGCCCGCCCTCGACGACGGCTCGCCCGCCGTCTACGACGGCCGCCAACAGGTGGGCACGCTAGCTCGTAGTGCGGCGCGGCCGCAGTACGACGCGCAGCCGCCCGACCTGCAGCCGCCCGCGCCCGCCCTCGACGACGGCTCGCCCGCCGTCTACGACGGCCGCCAACAGGTGGGCACGCTAGCTCGTAGTGCGGCGCGGCCGCAGTACGACGCGCAGCCGCCCGACCTGCAGCCGCCCGCGCCCGCCCTCGACGACGGCTCGCCCGCCGTCTACGACGGCCGCCAACAGGTGGGCACGCTAGCTCGTAGTGCGGCGCGGCCGCAGTACGACGCGCAGCCGCCCGACCTGCAGCCGCCCGCGCCCGCCCTCGACGACGGCTCGCCCGCCGTCTACGACGGCCGCCAACAGGTGGGCACGCTAGCTCGTAGTGCGGCGCGGCCGCAGTACGACGCGCAGCCGCCCGACCTGCAGCCGCCCGCGCCCGCCCTCGACGACGGCTCGCCCGCCGTCTAGGATGGCCGCCAACAAGTGGGCACGCTAGCTCGCCCTCGACGGCTCGAAAATTTTATTATATTTCTCGGCATTAATGCTACCATAGGTTGCTGGTTCATCCGGCTCGAAGGACCACAATGTACTAGACTCCAGAAGCATATACAAATTATAGATGTACCAAGGTTAATTGATAGCTTATCGCTTTACCATAAATACATGATATAAACAAAATTTGATCATTTGGTTTTTTAAAAATAACACAGCCATCTAGTATTTCTTTACTTAACTATTGCGACCAATGTTCCGTATGTAAGTTCTTTGTATATTAATTATTATGGTGTTACTTGATCAGATATTGTACTGGGCGGACGCAACGAATGAGATCGCGTTCATAGTGCCGTCCGCGGAAGAGACCGACACCGAAACTGAAGACCGACAGAACGACAGCATCAAATCCGACGTGGATGGCTCTTGCATCTCTGTTAGGTAAGGCTCATTATTTTATAGGCATAGCCTTAGTTTAGTCACTTTCTACGGTCTCAATTGCGGTTGAAAACGTCGTAAGACTGAATATAGATAATATAACTAATTTTGAGTATCAATTGGAAATTTTTGAACAACTCTATAATGGAATGCACGTATCCTAAATCTAAGAAATGTTGAATATAAAAAATGTTGCTTAATTATAGTGTTTTAGTATCTCAAACTAATAGTAATAAAAAAATGTCTCCGGACCGAAAATAAATGTTAGTGTGAATTCGTCGGTTATACCAGGAGCTCAGCGAGCAGCGTAGGTGGTGGCGGCGGGAGTGGCGCCAGTGGCGGCGGAGCGGACTCGTGCTGGGACGTGTCGGGCACGGGGACTGGTGACAAGACGCGCGCACTCTCGCTCGACCTCGACCAGAACTCCTCCACCCTAAGTGGTATGCCCTCATTCTGTTATGTCTTATTACCGCTCGCATTGCAACGTCAATTGGTAAAGATTACCTACGAACAGCTAGTGTTTCCAACACCAGATCGATGCTGTACTAAATATTGCTTGAGAAATTAAACAATATTGCGCATACCAAATCTAAAAGTGGAAAGTACTAAATATATGGTTACACATTTTTATACTCTAAATTATACAACCAGCTTTATTATTTACAGGTAGTGGAAGACGCAATAGAGATTTCACGACGAAGATACTCATCATCTGGCTAGAGGACTTCGAGGACCACCTGAATTTGCAAATAGGTTAGCAATTCAAATAGGTCAACTAACATTTCATTTAGAGAAATGTCGAGTATCCAACGATTGGAGAATCTGTGAACTAGTTCGTCTTTGAGAACACTCTTTCAAACTACACTTGCACTCTTGATCGGCAGACGAGCTGCTGCGCGAGTGCGAGACCGGCGTGCCGTGGCGGCGGCACGACGTGTGCGTGCTGTGTGTGAGCGCGCACCGCAGCGGACTCGTGCGAGTGAAGGCGGCGCGCGCCTGCGGGGCCCTGCCCGACGGCGCCCTGCTCGCGCCGCACCTGCTGCCCGACTGTCTGCGGCGAGCCGCGCTCGACGCCGCGCGCCGCGCCCGCCTGCACACCGACCTGTGAGTACCGCGCCCCGCGCCCCCCTCACACCCACCTGTGAGTACCGCGCCCCGCGCCGCACCTGCTGCCCGACTGTCTGCGGCGAGCCGCGCTCGACGCCGCGCGCCGCGCCCGCCTGCACACCGACCTGTGAGTACCGCGCCCCGCGCCCCCCTCACACCCACCTGTGAGTACCGCGCCCCGCGTCCCCCTCACACCGACCTGTGAGTACCGCGCCCCGCGCCCCCCTCACACCCACCTGTGAGTACCGCGCCCCGCGCCGCACCTGCTGCCCGACTGTCTGCGGCGAGCCGCGCTCGACGCCGCGCGCCGCGCCCGCCTGCACACCGACCTGTGAGTACCGCGCCCCGCGCCCCCCTCACACCCACCTGTGAGTACCGCGCCCCGCGTCCCCCTCACACCGACCTGTGAGTACCGCGCCCCGCGCCCCCCTCACACCCACCTGTGAGTACCGCGCCCCGCGCCCCCCTCACACCCACCTGTGAGTACCGCGCCCCGCGCCTGCCTACACACCGCCTTATTTCCGATGATCGCGGATACGATTCCTTGCACGCTAGAAAAAATTCTATTCATGAGTATGATTGTTTGTGTCGGTTTGGGTGTTTTCTATGTATAATATGTTTGTATTTACGAAAAAAAAAGATCTATGTATTTGTATCCGTTATCTAGTACCAATAACACAAATTTTAGCTAGCTTAACGTGGGTCTAGATGGCGCTGTGTGAGTTGTCATAAGATTATTAGATTATTATTACATGTTCTACTATCACATCATATGGTATATAATTTAACTATCCATGGTGTAGGTACCAGCCGCCGCACGTGCGTCGTCGTCACCTCATACAGGAACTGGCGCAGAATTACAAGATGGACCTCACGGAGCCAGAACTGCTCGAGTCACTGTTCAAACCACCACCATAAATACCACCCTACTTTTTGAACCCGAAGTGTGTAAAGAGTCTAGTATATTTGGGACCTCTATCTAACCTAATTCAGCCCCAAAACAGCGTGGAGTGTAAAGAATCGTCAGCTTTGGTTGAGGTACCAAGTCTTACCTATTTCAGCAAATAAGCAAGTTACTTTATGTTACAGCTAGGCTTGTCAGATAGCTAGGGGGAAATCAGGGATTGTCCCAGAATTTCGCGTCTTGTCCCGTGTCCAGTAATTAGACTTTATTGTTCCGAATTCTGAAAGCCTACTTGTTTAACAAAATAAACAAATTTTCCTTTTCAAATACAAACATAAATGCTTTCAAAATATTAAAGATACTTTTACTATGGCCACGTCCCGACACAGTTGTCCTAGAATTGTCCCGGATTTGATAAGTTTCTATCTGGCAACCCTAGTTACGGATGAAAGGTGAGATGAGGGAATGAGTTTAAAGGAAGGTATCATAGTGCTTCGGAATGGCAACACATATGTATCACGAGTGTGACGTGATAACATGATGTTTGTGGTACAGTTCATGGAGGCGATAGTTAACACTTATCAATTTGTTTGCCATTCGAATTACATAAAAAAATGACTATACTTATTTATGTATAATTTGAATATAGATCTATGAAATTATTTAATGTATTAATCTAATTTAATTTTTAGACTTTAATTTTTATGAATAAATTATTGTAATGACATTCCCGTAACTTATTACTAATTATATAAATATTATTTACTTAACATATTTAGTAAATGTTATAATAAAAATATTAAGAATATATATGTTTTTTATTCTCAATATATATAAGTGTAAGTGAGCAGAAAATATGCAATCTATTCTATGGGAATGACGTCAATTGTAATTAGACTAGGAGCCCAGGGGACCCCATTGCTAGTAACATCATGTCAGATCGTGCCGCTGCACCAGCCTACAAGCCATCGTTGTGAAATTCTGGTGATTTCCCATCATGCCCTGACCTCATGGGCTTCCTGTAATTCTCTACTGGTGCCGCCAGCGTATACGGTTAGTATAGTTGGATGCACCATTCCATTTTCACCCATTGAGAAAAAATACTCGGATGATGAAGCCGGCTACAGAACTAGTATCATTACTTTATTTTGTAAATTAATATCTGTTTCATGATATCTTATCTATCTCCCTCCTGAACTAAGGATATTTATTAATTTTTTTTATCATTAGTAAATTCATCACATCTGGATTGGAGTCCCGGGCAATTACGGATTCCTGTATTCTTGCTGCGTGGGGTCACAGGCCCTATTCGATTTAGACACGTAAATGGCCATCGAACTTTCGCTCTACTTATGATGATACCTATTATTATATCTCAATTTTGGTGTGCCAATTTGTTGGATCGATTACGTGTTTAGGTACTTACTCTGTGAAAAGTATTTAATCACTATGTTTTCGACGGAATTGAGTCCGATCGACTTGACATGACACTAACGAGGGCTGAATAAAAAAATTGATTGACTATTGAACCTTTCTATTAGAGTATTCTATTATATATTAAATTAATACAGCCTAAAAAGTAATGAAAAAAATTCTTCAAGGCGATATAGATCTTTTCATTAATTATAAGTTTGTGTTAAGTCCATGTATGTGTCCAGTATTCTATTATATAAAGTCTCAAAAATTGTGCTTCCGCAGAAGTTTTAAAAATATACAACTGAAGTTGCATTTACTAACTTTGACCTTAAACAAGCAATTGTCAATTGTTGACGATTACAAATAAATTCTAATTTCAAAATATATCTAACACGAATGTTTGACTGATTTGATATTTTTGACTTGAAAATTTACAATAGAAACATTTTTGTCATTGTGTTTTTGTAGGCTTATTATATTTTTACACATTCAATTTAATAGTATATTTTAATTTTGATGTTAAATTGTTCGAAATCTATGTTACGGTAGACATGTTGATCAATCGCGAGTCGGAGGAAGGGAGGGCGGGTGAGGGTCCTGAATCCAATATGGCGGTAGACCACACATATGAGTACCATACTGCCAGTGAACTGTTCGAAATTATGGATCGTGATCAAGACTTTGATTCTAACGATATCGATGGTAATAATCTATATATCATATTTAACGCATCATCTATTTTAAAATTAATTCCAGAAATGATATAATATGACGACCTTGGTGATCTAGCAGTGTTAAAGCATACGGCCGTACTCTTGGTGGTCGTAGGTTAGATTCTTAGCACGGTACAAACATTTGTATTCATGAGTATGATTGTTTGTATCGCTCGCGGTGTTTTTTTTATAGATGATCATGGAATGGTGCACCCGCCTGCGCTAACGGTTTACGCTGGCGGGGCACCAGTGGATGATAATATAAGATGAGCATGAGGTCAGGTCAGTTAGCCCATCATGACATATTCACCATTTATCACGATGGTTTCCAGGGGGAACCGCGTGGAGGTCAACCTGACATGGTACATTACTAGTAATAAGATCAGCAGTCCACATTACTAACAATCCCCTTCCCCCCCTCGCTCGGGGTGTTTTCTATGTATAAAAAATGTATATATGTATTTATATCGGTCTAGGTCTAGTACCCATAACATACAACAGATACTGAAATAACAACCATTCACGATTATGACGAATGTGCTGCCAGCCATCAAACATACCCAAGGTGCCCAGTAACCTGGCCATCCACTAAGTTTGGTGATCATGACGAAAGAGACTGGATCTCGTTACAGCTTTTGTACTATATTACATATTTATTTATAATTTCAGAGAATGAGGTTCTAACAGCCAACGAATTGATTACTTTATACGAAAACATAGATGTAGGAAGTAAACTAATAAATACTGCTATCGATATAAAACGTCCAAATCAACGAGTTGAAACTATCGTCTACCACGAAGACCCTGACTCGGATAGTTCCGATCTCAGCGATATCAACAGCAAAGAGGATTTAAATAATATATTTTCCATTAACAATACTATGCTCGACCTCCTAGATAGCCCACCATCTCTACAAAATGATCTATGCCAAAAACTAGGGAATTTACAAATACAATCATCTAATTTAAATACTGGCTACCATAAAAACTTCCTATTCAAAGATCCATACATTAAAGAGCAACTCAAGAGCTTAAACGTAATGGCTAATTGTTATGGATTTGGCGGTACAGGAATTCCAACGTCATTATTAGATTACATTTGTTGCAAACGCTTGGAGGATGATTACAACTTTTATATGGATAATATTATACGATATGTAAATTATACTATAGAGCATCTCAAAAGAATTAGCAATGGCGATTATCTTACGGATAAAGCTAAGCAGAAGTGGAGGGAAGTCGAAAGAAATAAAACTGATAGTTTGGAAAATAAAAAAGTTCTAGCTACATCTACAAGTATACCCCTCCACGTTGAACAAAAAAATACTGGTTGCCAGTCCACTTGGGATGAAATATTTCATTCTGAAATCGACATTAGATCGCTATCCAAAATATTGGAGAAAAAGATTGTTCTAGAAATTCCGAAAATGATACGCGGACCTGACATACTGTTTAATCAATGTTACGCAGATAATTTAGTTATTAGTAGCAAGAAGGAAAAACAGTGTGCATTATTAGAAACTAAAGAAGAATCAAGAGTTGAGGTCGTGTTGCAACTGAAACGATCAGATTCAGGAAAAGTTATAACTAACCTCAATTCTATTATGATACTACATACGACGCCTGTACTACATACCGGTATATATATTTTATAATAAACTGTAGTCATGAATGATAGAATGTTACAAATAAGTTTTATATTTCAGAACCTGCGTCAACAGAAGCTTTAACACTGTTAAATTCTGACGATCAAGCAATGACCAAAGAGTGTGCCGAAAATAAAGATGATAAAATAAAAATTATTGAACTAAATGACAATGATGTGGAAACAAACCAAGACACGGAAAATGTGTTTATAGAAAACTTTGTCAATAATCAAGAATATATTGAATGCGATACGCCTACGCATAACATTGAATATACTACTACTGATAAAGAACACAAGATTTCATCAAACCCTCATAGCAATCAGGAATCTAATGAGTCTGGTATTGCTCTCAGAGAAATATTGCATACAAAAGCAGCTAATTCAAATATTCACAACATTATTACGCCTGATGAATTGCGTTTTACAATGCAAAGACTCAATATACAGTCTTCTTTACCCGAGGAAGCGGGAGAAGATATGCAAAATTCATCAGTTAAAATGAAATCATCTACAAGGATCAGGATAAAATCTCCATATGAAAATAAATCTTACATAATAGAAGAAAAGAAACGGCGAAAACTCTTAGAAATAAGAGAAAGACGCGAAAAAAAGAAAATGGCATTCGGTGAACACTGTAAAATCACAAAACATAGGTATAATAAAGGAAACATAATGCCTCAACCCTCAAGTTCTGTAACTAAATTGTCTATAACAAATAAATCTTTTTATAATTCTATTTACGGTGAAAATATACACATAGACAGCAAAATAAATTTAGATGGTCGTAGAGGGAAAAAAAGATCTACATTGGGAGATAATGAAGAAAAATGGGAAGGGGAAAATAATTCTTTAAATTTATCGCAGGACGGAACTAGTAAAAAGTATATTAATAGAAGTTATTACTTAGATGATGCAGTGACGGAAATGCAGATGAAACGACATAATGCAGTGGCAGAGATATGTTCAACGTCCACTTCTGCCATATCCACTGATTTTGGATGTATACTCTCCCAAGCAATCGCCCAACCAGATTCTAATTTTAATGACACAGAAGAAAAATGCATAAGCCACTTGGAAGTGGGAAGGTATTTATTTTATCCCTATTAAGCAATAAATAAAGTGTAAAATGCAAATTACTGGGTACTACAACTACGAGTATAAAACTTCAGAGTTGGCAGCGCAAGTTATGCTTTTAGTCTTGCAAGCAGACTTAATCTGCGTTGGCTTTATGAAAGATGGTATGTATGACTGCCACTGTATCAATGTCACTAGTTTATTTGTAGTCATATCGATAGTGTAACGTATTGCTATTAATGAACATAATTTCTGATTACACAGTGACCAAAGTGTCTATATTAACGAAGAATCTGAAATAGACTTGAATTCCTCGGGGAGTAACCTGAATATAGTTCCTGCAAATTCTCCTAAAATTAATGAAGCTGATGATAAAACAGATTTAAGAGAAATAACAACGTCGACATCTATAGAATGTAGGAAAAGTATAGAGAAATTATATGACCTTATGAGCAAACTCAGAAAATCGGAATCAGATGAACGTAAATTCAATAAATGTAAAATAATCCATTCCTCAACCCATACAGAAGAAAATAAATTTGTAACTCAAGGTATTTCTTTTGATGAAGTTAGTGACAGTGGTACAAGTTTTAAACATCATATGATATCTTCTAATGCAAGTTACATTAAGAAAATCAACAATCCAAATGTATCCATCACAAAACACGTAAATAATAAGAAGTCAAAAACCCTATCTTCAGTAATACCTAAAGTAATAATCAGCGCAAAGTCTCAGACTGTAAAATGTGAAAGTGATAAAAATAAAAAGGATAAAAAAACAATTTCTGTTGGCCCTTCTAATGTTGTACCCGAGAATCCTTTAAGAGCGATATCGCAGCTTCTTCATGAATTTGACAGCGTTCAAAAGACAAGACAGAAATTTCCAGTGCCAAAGCAAAATAAAAAGAATGAAATTATTCCTACCGATAATCGAGTCCCCTCCCGTCAAAGTTATATTAAAAGACGTTCCCGATTTGATCAGCATTTGCGAAATAATGAACAAATTGCTAAAAATATTACTTCTGTAGTATTTAAGGATGTAAAACCTATTCCTCCAAAGGAACTTCTAGGAAAAATACCCAATCACCAAGTACCAATACCGATTCATGAAACAAACGTTGAAAAGTTGAGTAAGAAAAGAATGTCTGACATTATTGACGAAGCAAAGGAAGCGAGGGGTGAGGCAGTACGAGGCCCTTCTAAGCTTACAAGATTAAATACATTGGCGCAACCAAAAAGATCTTATGTGCAAGCACAAAGTGAAGAATACCAAATCAAAAATGGGAGGAATAAGATGACAGACAGATTACAACGATTGACGAAGACTCCTGCGCAACCAACTCTCGATAGAAAGATAGCATTTCCTATTTTAAGAAATGTGCAAAAGCGATCGGGACCAGAGATAATAATGCCCGTTCACATGAAACCGCCACCGCCGTCAATGTCACCTTCTTTAGGTGTGTAAAGGTGAATTCTTTATTATTAATCTATTATAATTATATTTATTAATCTGTAGTTTATTTATTAAATAAAGAAGATGGAGACGTTACTGATGTAATTCCTAATATTTATTTTGTAATATTAAGCAGAAAAAACGACGAAACTACACTTCTCGACTAACCCTATTTCTGGGAGAAAAGTCTTACAGCCAAAGATGGAAACACTCCACAAATCAAGTCACGTACCCGAATCACCTGAAGCACTGTGAGTATTATGTTTACAATTTCTAGGAATGATTCTTAGCAATCTTTCAGTCTTTTTTGTAATGTATCTTCCTTCTTTATATAACAGGAAAGTTAAGATGGGTGTCGAATCTTACGTGAATAATCATTACGAACGTGTGTTGCCAGCGGTGGTAACGCCAGAATTGCAGATGGCAAGCAGGTCACGGGTGCCAGTAATTGCGAAGGATACTGATCTAGGTACTAATACTACTTAGTCATTACGATTTTTATTTCACTCGTCTTTTGTATATGAATAAATGTAATTCTGTAATAATGTGTCAACTCAAAATGATGTTACCATTTATGTTGTAGTATCTGTCACGTCATCATCATCTGCAGAGAAATCAACGGTACTTGGACGTAAACTTCATAACATCATACACACTATGATAAATTCTAGTACATCGGAAGGTGCCGCCCTATCTGTGAAACAAAAAACAGCTTCTGGACTTATTAAAGATACTGACGAATTGAGTATCATTGATAACAATGCTAAAGAAGAGGCGAGATCTTTACATTCAGATTATCGTATTGATGTTTTTCAGGACAACAATGTGTTAACGGCTGTTGAAGGCGTTAAAGATCGTATACGAGATGAATTCATCCTTAATAATATAAAAAACTGCAAACTAAAAAAAGTTGGGAAATATGATATACAACCTTTTAATTCATATACTGAATTACAGCAATTGGAATATGCTTTATACCGCCGACTATCAATTGGAACACTTAATAAACGCTTAAGAATCAATAATTTGACATTGACGCCTAGACAGTCCATGCGTCAAGTAGTAATTGTACAGTCAGGAGATGCAAATTCCATAGTATTAAATACTTCCACGTCACAAAATTTACAGAAAACCAATTCTTATATAATTGAGGATTTGAAACCTTTAAATATTTTAACGTCTTCACAATTAGAATGGAGATGTGGAAATATCCCGATGCAAATAGCAACTGTAGGCTACGCATTTCCTAAATATCAGTCAGTCCAATGTAACTCGAGTGTTCTTAGTAAATCTTTAATTAATATTTCCAAAAATGAAACAAAACATCTATCAAATCTTAAATTGCAAGAAGCTAATATTTCCTCTGAAATTCCAATTAACAAAACAGAACAAGGAGTTCAGGTCGAAGTTTATGAATTACCATTTGCCTCCATACCCGGCAGAGAAAAGTCACCAAATGATATTATTACAGAAATTGAAAAGCGTAATACATTTAACAACCAAACAGAAGACTACAAAAAAAAATATGACGTTGTTACTAAAAAGTCAGAAAATATCAACTGTACAACATCACTAGATATGCTAGTAGGTTTATTGAACGAAATACAAAAAATAACTTGTCAAACACAATTAAACGTTGATGATGATGTAAAAGCTAAACAACCTGAAACTGTTCTTAATAATGCTGTCCCTATAGAAGATGTAAGGATAGCTCAACCCCTTAATATGGTTTCTGTAGACAAGCTAAATCATTTGGAATCGAGCTCTAGTGTTAGGTCTGTCTATGTATCTAATACTAATGACATCAAACAGAAACAAATTAATTTATTATACATGGACTCCAAAAGTACGCTATGGAAATGTGAATATGCCGATAAAGAAGTAAATGTTGATATAACTGAGAAGGACTTTGTAAATACCTGCACTGATGTACCATCCAGTCTTTTTCCTATAACTTTAAATCATAGTACCAACATTACTGATTCACTGATAGGTATACTAAGCGCGCCATCTAATCAATCGATATTCTCTCTTAAGGACTATCACGTGTACACTGAGGATTCTGCCTTTAACTATGAAAAGAAAATAATAGAATTATCCAGTCTTGTAATTAATAGCGATTCACTAGTTGCATGTCAAGATACTGAGGCTTCAGATAAAACTAAAGAGAAATTAGCTAAACCAATTATGAAAATTGATGACGTGGCCAAAATTAAATCTTTTGACAAGACATTGGCAAAGGCATATTCTATTAATAACTCAGAGATTGACCCTCTTATAAAAATTAAAAGAGACATTTTAGTAACTGTATACTCTATGTTGGTAATAACTGTTTTAGCTGCACTTTCATTTCCTGAAATTCTATATCATACTTGACATACTTACATATATATCATATCTTTATGTTGTTTTGTGAAATTTTAAAGTGTTTTGCTACTATTTTGGTACAATATTTATTGAATATATTTATGGTTTTAGTATCTCGTCTTTTATTATCTTTACGGTTCATGCTAATAATATTACAAATTCTAAAATGTGACTGCCCGTATGCTTGTTGCATTTTCCTTTTATCTAAAAAACAAACATCCCGGGTAACGGATGGTTATTAATGGATGAACAATCATCTATTTAGTTCCGAATCCGGCTAGAAAAACTAAAAAAATGTATTGCAGAGAAACGGATGATAATGTTATGTCCAGGTAGCAATATTATTGTTTATTGCCTAAATTTATGGGCACGAAAATTTTAAATATTACAATAAAAAAACTAATGTCTGGGTATGCTCTCAAAAAGTAATGCCTTCGTGAACTACAGAAGGCTAATCGGGGCTATAAAAAATATATTCATTTTTTTCATTGATTAATTTCTAGGCGACAACCGTTAAACTACTGAAACACTTCAAGGTGTCACTGTTAGTAGGTAGTACTTTTTTTTTTTATAACACAGGGGACAAACGAGCATGCGGCTCACCTGATGGTAAGTGATAACCGCCGCCTATGAGCACCCGCAACACCAGGGGAATTGCACGTACGTTGTCAGCCTTTTGAAAAGGAATAAGCTCTTTTCTTGAAGGTTTCAATATCGTATCGGTTCGGAAATACCATTGCTGGAAGGTGATTCCACAATGTGGTTGTGCGAGGCAAAAAGTTTCTAGAAAACCGTACTGTGGAAGACCGCCATTCATCCAGATGATCAGGATGGTATTTCAGTTTCTGGCGGGTGGTACGGTGGTGAAACTCAGCAGCTGGTATTAATCCGAACAATTCCTCAGAACACTCCCCGTGATATATGCGGTAGAAAATGCACAGAGATGCAATATCTCGCCGCAAAGCCAATGGGTCGAGTCTGTCACATAGACGTTGATTACCAATGATTCTGGCTGCTCGGTTCTGAATGCGGTCAAATGGAAGTAGCTGGTATTGTGGTGCTCCGGCCCAGAGATGAGAACAGTATTCCATATACGGCCGGATCTGCGCCTTGTATAATTGCAAGCGATGGGCCGCCGTGAAATACCGTCTCACTCTACTGAGCACACCAAGCTTCTTTGAGGCTATTTTAGCCTTGTCCTCCAAATGACCGCAAAACTGAACGTCACTGGATATATCAACGCCAAGGACCTCGAGATTAAGCTTCACATCAAGGAGAGTGTATAGTTAGCTGGATCTGAGCGTTCTCCCTTCTTAGGGATCGGATGAACCAAAGCCGTCTTCCAAAGAATACTTAATCTAATCACAATTAATTGCCTAATTATTTATTTTTCTATAGAATTGAATTATAGTCAAAAGCTAGTGTTTATTCTAATTTGTAAATATTTATTATATTAGTTATGATAGATTTTATTACTGTACATATATAAAATAGCAAGTCACAACATGCTGAAATGAACGACACAACATCCTAAGATGTTAAGGAGACCACTGGTTTTCCTACGTACTTACCACAGATAACATAATATTGTACCTACTGAGGTACCTATATATTATCTGGGAATCAGAATTCTTAGTAAGGGGCAATACGTAAACATATAGTACTCAAAACAAAATAAGGGCCACTAATAAAATAGTATTATAAACAAACACTACTATTGTTTCAAGTGGTGCTCCTTATTTTGTTTTGAGTAGTATGAATAACATCAATTTTAGTTATTAAACCACCAGCGCCTCTCTTACACAGCTGGCCACATTTTAATTATGACAATTTCGTGGTGTCTATACTGAAGTTGAATTTATAATATATTAGCTACCCGCCCCGGCTTCGCACATGTGTATGTTTATATATATAGTTTTTAGCAGTAGATAGAGTGATCCAAGATGAAGTTATATATGTTCCTCTTGGATCACTCTATCTTCTGCTAAAAACTGTATAAAGATTCATATTCATTCATTCAAATTTTATTTTTATAGTAGACAGGTAGAACAGAAATGGAACCGTAAAGTATATTAAAATATTTGACATCAATATTCGTTTGTGTTTGAATTGATATTGACGAAACAAAAGGATCAATCTGACTTTTATTTATTACTTTGTTTGGTTTCCTTTAGAGTGTGTAATATTATCTATGGTTTGAACTATATAATATTATGTTATCTGTGGTTTGAACTAACTATTTGTGATCTGTGCTTTCGTTTTCCACTGTGTTTTAAACAAAAAAGAAAGAGTGTTTTGATTTGATTTGAATTGATATTCGCATATTGTTTTTAATTTTGTAATTTATTTGTGAATGATTATTTCAGACTTGCCGAATTTAAAAATAATCAAAATCAATGGCTTTTAAATTTAAGAAAACAAAGGTAAATAATAGATATCTGGTTTTATTCATTGTAATATATTTATAACCTCTCAGTGTACTGATAGAATGTGATTTATTCATTCATTCATTCATTCATAATTTAAGAGCTGTGCCCTTGTCGGTGGAGCTCCCGCCACGTTCCACGGTCTTCTATCAGTCCTTTTAGCTGTTGATACTACACGATTCCAACTTTTTCTTTAACTTGCTTGATATAGCTGTGTCTTGGTCATCCCCTTCCTCTCTTTCCATCTATTTTTCTTTCAATAATGTTGTTAATTAGTTCGTCGTGTCCTATCAAGTGCCCCAACATTTTTCCCCGCCTATTCTCAATAATATCTATGATCTTTCTCTTTTCTTTAATCCTCTCAAGCACTTCTTCATTCCTTATTTTATCTTTCCAGCTAATTCTTTCCATTCTTCTCCAACACCACATTTCAATGGCTTCCAGTTTGTCTCTTTCCTTTTGTGTCAATGTCGTCGACGTTCACAGGCATACAAGGCTATACTCCAGATGTAGGTCTTGATAAGTCGTTTCCGAGAGGACTTTGATATATTAGCTCTCAAAAGATGTTTTTTATCATTAAACGCTCTATAATATTTATACATATTAAAAAAGTATTGTTTTATTTTTAGAAGACAGCAGACTCTGACTTCGGTTTAAAAACAACTTTGGATAACACGGCGCCACTAAACCAGATTGTAAAGGACTTGTATAATCGGGAATTCCAGGGCAGAGCATACGGTTTATATTTCAAACTCCTCGGACATAGGCGTAATAATAGAGTTTTTTATAAATTTTTATACCACTCCACATTGCCTGGACACCCTTTAAATGCATTCACAGAAAATTTCGATGGTGATATTGGACCTGAATTTTTTGAGGAATTCACGTACAAGAGTTTAATGCCAAAAATGATAACAAAATTACGCAATGTAGAAAAAACGGATCCAGTTACAGAACTATTGAGGCAAAGAGCAGACTGGAGAAAGAAAATACGTGCGGTAAGAAATGGTGAATAATATTTAAATCTATACAAATAAATTTGTAGTGTTTTTGACAGCAGAGTTTGTGTTATAGGTACTACACAACTGATGTAAATCCTTACATCTACATTTTTTTTTAATACATAGAAAACCCAGATTATTCAATCATGCTCGTGTATACAAATGTTTGTACTGAAGAAAGAATCAAACTTGTGACCACCTGAAGAGGTTTTCTATAGCATAAGACCACCATGGCTGTCATTTAAATCCAACATGTTGCAGTACCACCATCTCTCAGATTAGTCTTTGATTTATTATTGTATCTCTCATCTTAGGATCAACCCTTCACCAACCTATGACCATTCCAATCTGTTGGTTATACTGTCTGAATCTACGGGGAATGTGCGCTGAAAAGCACACAGTCTCTTGGCATCTATAAATGATTTCTACTCCTGTCCCTTCTGTTGTATATCCTATGAAATATGAATAAACTGTAAATAATGTGATGAATTATGTTATTAAACCACTTATACTATATGAATAATATATTTTTTTTTATGGATGATAATGGAATGGTGCACCCGCCTGCGCTAATGGTTTACGCTGGCGGGGCACCAATAGAGGATGATAAGATGAGAATAAGGTCAGGTTAGTTATCAGGCCCATTGTGACAAATTCACCAAGAATTTATCACGATGGTTTCCAGGGGGCCACGCGGTTCCCCCTGACATGGTACGACCTGAACAACCTTAAATGTTATTAGACATACATTGAAATGGTAAAATTCTATCTATTCACAGTACATCTGACGAAATATTCGAGATTAAAAATAGAGAAATGCAATGAAGAAGTTATACAGTGCCCTAAGTATATTGTGGAACTAGCAGAATTGTTGCAGCAAGATCCCGACCCTAATTTCAGAGACTGTTACAATTGGTACTACAGTGGTAGTGGTAATTTACAACTGGTGTCCATTAAATCTGTAGAGTTTTTGTTGCACAGTGAATTCTGTAATGTATGTAAGTATACTCCCCTTTGTACTAAATAAATATTTAAATAATCTTTATTCAGAATAGACTTATTTAAATTTCCAAAGTTTTTTTTTTATACTCATTCTGAATGCAAACTCATCAAAAGAATGAGCAAGAAACTTCTGTTGAAAACTTTCTAAAATATTATATACTAGTATTATATATACAGTGGACCCTCGGTAATCAGGCCCTCCTTGTAATCCTTTATATATAAGGATTGTATTTTTAATATTTCTCTGAATAATTTGTTTATATTTCAATTGACATAAATACTAATTATTTTGTCTTAGGAATCGCGATTTCTATTAAGATAATGTTTTCAGTAAAGCTTCCTCATCACTCAATAAAACTACAGTTGAAATTAATTTCTTAACATCAAATGATATCCAACATATCTATTTACAGATCTGTCCAGTTTCACAAGGAATAATTTAACAATAGATTTCCAGAACGCAGTGTCCTACAGTGTTGATAATGACATATTAGAGACTATTTGCTCCACACAGAACATAGTTGTATTGAGAACAAAATATAAAGTATTTATATTGCAAATTGTTGAACAAGAGGATAAACTATTGTTTAAGAAACTCAGATCATTTCAGAATGAGTTACCATTTACTGGTATCTCTTTTGATAAATATCATAAGAATATACTATATGCGACAACATTAGACTGTAAGTTATCTATCATTAATATTGACAGAATGACTAAACGAAGTCTCGTATTAAAAGAAAATCCTACTCTGGAAGACAATTTAAATTATGTTATTGGAGCTGAACGTGGATTTTTCATGCACATACAAAAAGATTCAATATCTGCTTATGACAAAAGAACAAATAAAGCTGTCAATACATGGAGTGGTCTCAAGTCGATTGTGGACGAAATAACTTGTAATGAGATTAAAGCTGCTCTCCAGCCTGAAGATAGCTATGGGTTGTATTTCACTACCCAACACCACCTATTCCTTATGGACACAAGATTTTATAAAGAATCTAAAATGAAAGCAATACAAAGATGGACCCACGGAATGCATTGTGTACCAACATACATTTCAATTCAAAACGTAGAATTTAACAAGGACTATATATTTTTGAGCAGTCAGTGGTGTGAAGATTTATGCATAGTCAGCAATTACTCAGACAGACTTACAAGGTATTCTGATATAAATGGATTGGCGATACCATACCGCCCACCGAGTATTTTTAATGTTTTGGATGATGCCCAACAGAAACTACTGTGCTGGGATCTTCAGAACCCTATCGTAAAAAGATTACCTACGGCTATAACGGGCAAGGTGGAGGTGCAACAAGGAAATAATTGGGTCATATTAATGCATAATTCTTTGGGTGATATATCATCACATGTTTTGTATCCAACCTATATGGAGAATCTCATGGACGATAATGCATTACAAAATTTACATGAATGGTCCAAAGACTATAAATTTAAAAGAAAAATTTTCGAGGTGACAGGAGTTCATGATATTAGTCACATTTGGAAGGAACTAAGGGAAGTTACAAAAGAGGAACTTGACACATTTCTACACGCAGATCAACCACCCCGCAGGATAATTGATGAAAAGGAAATTTATAGTGCCTTTGAGAAGGAAGAACTAATGCCGGAGCTACTAGAAGTTTGGAAAAATGGTCCAATAAACAATGGAACAGCAGATGATTTACCAAATATTTTAAATTCAAGTGATAGTGAATAAAATTTTTTTTTTTCTGTTTATAACAATTAACTTTATTTCCAAGATATTTCCTATCTAAATGACTAAATTACACTCCCACAGAGTTCAATTACAACATGCACGCCGTCATTGACACATTCCGCATCATAACAACAATCTACAAATATAATTTTAAACTTTTACATTCCAATTTTTGTTGACAAACTCTCAAATTTCTAAAATTTAATAATATACAGAAAAGCCAAGTTTAAAATCACATTCAATAGATTACAACAGAATCATTAGGAGATGTCACCTAAATGATAAGTACATATAAACTCACATTAAAGCTATAATAAACAATAATTTGAGAACAAGTCAAAAAGATTCTTTATTATCTATGTACAAGTATGTTAGGAACAAAATTATACTACTAATAATTATATACATAAAACTTATAATTTGGAATTATAATGCAATTTAAAATATTACAATAATATTTGTTTCAAATCGAAGCGTTTTTTACTTTCAATCTACATTGGTGATACGAATTTTATTCTATTGCTAGTAGGTACATGAACTTTGTTGCATAACAACAAATAAATTGTTATATTACAAACATAAATGCGAAAGTTAGTATGATGGTACTATACTCATTTCATAAAGAACTTAAGACTGCATATCACTTACCACTCTCCAAAATTCTTCACAATTAAAGATTTGAAATTTTTTAATCATAAAGAATTTCAAAAATATGAAATAAACCGGACAATTGCATACAAACAGTGTTAGTATATGTTCAGAAACTTTAAAGGCGCTGAAACGCGGAACCGATCACATTAATGAACAGAATCATTTATACTATCAAATTCATATTCGGTAAATAAATGTGTATAGTAGACATCACATACTCATCATTTCATTCGTAATACATCCACGTATATTATAATTTAAAATAAAACCACTAATGAATCTAAAACAAGTTTTGAACATACTAAGGTCTTAGGACAGAAGACATGTGAGGTCCTATGTCAATGACGAAAGAAGTATCGTGTTAAAGAACCAAAAATTAACTTCTCTTATCGTCTTTAATTTACCTACGACCCCTCTATTCTCACTCCTGACAACCCCTCCCTTAAGAGGGGAGTTTCCTTCCCTAGGTATCGTGTAACAGTTTAAAAAATACTGCAATAATTTATTGCAATTCCTGGCATGAAAATATTCCATAGGCGTTATGAGAACTTTCCGATAAAAATATCATAGAGTTGTCAAAATTCAATGTCCACTCTACATATATCCGTATAGTAAGCGATTGATGATATCAAATCTACGTTCTAATTAATAGTATATTCTATTTTGTATTTCCAGTTGAATCCTACAAAATTGTAGGAAAAGTGTGGATTTTGAATTCTTCACAAACAAACCAATACATCATAGCTGCCTTTACACGGTGTTTAAACAGCGCGCGCAATCGTGTGATTGCTATTTACTATTTTATGAGTGCGTAGCGGTTTCTATGGTATCGTAAATCTATTTAAAACAACATTTATTTAAAAGAGCAACACACAAGTTTCTTGCTCATTCTTCTTGTGATGAATCTGCGTTCCGAATGAGTGGTAGAATAAAAAAAGTGCTTAAAGCACTTTTGAATAGTCACATTTTATATTAAGTTTATTTAAATAAAAATTATTTCTATTTAGATTTCACTCTATCGCGTGTGATTACACGTATGTTTGAAGTTATTCACTTTATTTTAAAATTTCATTTTTAATTTCACACATTTTATTTTCTAAAGATTCAAGATTTAGAATTATCAGTAACACTATAATTATGTCTTTGCTTAATAGTCAGATGTCCGCTATTTTTCAATATTAATTAATTATTATATATTTTTATAATAATTAATTAATATTGAAAAATGGCAAACTATTTAAATTCGTCATTCTCGTTCTTTTTGTCTACATTTACTTCCTTATTTTTCCTGCGTGAACGCCGATTCACGAAAGAGCATATGTGTAAAGGCAGCTATTGAATAAAACAAAAAGGAACAGGACCGTTACATCACTGTTATTTAGAACATCTAATTAGACTTGTGAAGACTTGTTTAGCGATTCAGCCGCAGCTGGTCAGCCTTTTGGTGTGAGCATTTAACGCCTGGTGAACGTTCGGAGCCAGTTCCTGGTGAGGGGCTGGTCTCCGCCGTGGCTCTCCTTCTCCTTCTCCTCCATCTGCTCCATAAGTTTGCGCTGGTTCTCCCTGAAGGCCGCGATGGGATCGTCGAACTGGCTGTAGTACAGCAACACCTCGCGAACGTCGATCACGTCCGACATAGCTATCGCTGTAAATATATGTTTTTTGATTAATGTGGGAATGAGATAATTGTCGACTGTTTGTGGGGACTGATCTGTTCGGGTTACCATTATTTAGATTTATTAGATATATTTAGATTATTTAGTTCGGGTTAGATTAGACTATTTGCTTTTGACAAAATTGCAACCTTACCTTATCTATCTACTGTCAGTTCAGGACCAGACTGCTTTCAAGCTGAGAAGACTGACAAGAAGCTCAGCTCGTATTCTTTTCAAATTACATACATGTTTACTATAATACAGATATTTTTTTAAATTAAAATTTGAGCTAATTTAAATTAAAAAAATTATCTGTATTAGATTTATTTGAGTGATTTGTGAATAGAGTGACCACCACCAAAAGCAAATAGTCTAATTAGTTTTGTAATCTGAATAGACCAGTCCTCACAAGCAGCATCCGTTCACGAGTATGACGGATGAGCCAGCCATTATTGCATTCAACCATATTAGAAAGAGCGCATTAACCCGCCACATGTTTGAACTTTATAGTGAGCATGACTGTTTCAAGTTACTCCACTACGTCATTTATAGTATTTTGGCTGTTGCCATAACATAAGATCTGCTTTGCTTGAGATTAGATGGCACTATGTGAATAGTCCTGATTATTATTAATTAAAAATCTTCACTTTTTTATTAACCATATATATATGCTACTCGCCCCGGCTTCGCATTCAGGTGTACATGTATTATATATATAAACCTTCCACTTGAATCACTATACCTATTAAAAGACCGCTTCAAAATCCGTTGCGTAGTTTTAAAGATTTAAGCATACATTCCTATGTATGCTTAAATCTTAATCTTATTGTTTATCTCTCATAGTATAAAATAATGATGTCAAAAAATTAAAAAATTAACTTACTTTGTAACAAATTGGCGAGATCCAGTAGTGCAGTGTCATCATCGCCACCCTTCCATTTCTTCAGTATGAGCGTGTTTTGTGGGTGGTATTTGTTTGCACCCTTGTTCCAATCTACTACTATTACCTGTACAATATTTATTTATGTATTAAATTATTATTATTATTATTATAACACTTAATTGCACCAACATATAAAATACATGAACAAAATTAAAAACATGAAAAAATAAAACGAAGTGCAAAAAGCGGTTATCGCTAATGCAATCTCTTACAGACAACCTTTGGAAAGAGAGTATTTACAAAAAAAATGAGTAGGTGGCGCATTAGTGGAAACATAAAAATTATATTTACTAGTAATATTCAAAAGTATAACGGCCCCAGTGGTCAAAAGCACACTTCCAATGGTCGCGGTTTCGATTTTAGCTCCATAATGCATAAATAAACCTAACTTCATCCTATCATCCTCTACTGGAGGCCAGGTACTGGTTACCGTAAGCGCAGGCAGGTGAACCTTCCCAATATAAAACAGAAACTGGCAATACTGAGAATTTAAAAGAGCAACACGCAAACGAGACAGGAACAGCAAGTATGTTTTTAAATTTAGTATAAATATAAAAGTTTTTAGATATCTGTTAAGATTCTCGTATATGTACAGGATGTTTGAGTAATTGACGGCCTCGGTGGTCTAGCGGTTTAGCATACAGCTTTTCTTCCGATGGTCACGGATTCGATTTATCGCACGGTACAAATATTTGTATTCAAGAGTATGACTATTTGTATCAGTTTGGGTATTTTCTATATATGAATTTACAAAAAAAAAATCTATGTATTAATATCAGTTGTCTAGTACCCATAACACAAGCTCTGCCTAGCTTGTGACTAGATGGCGCTGTGTGAATTGTCTTGAGTTATTATTATTATATATTGAAAGGAACGGTATATTTGCAGCTTTGATTTTCTCTCATTCACGACAGCCCATATAGTGAATATATTGTACAATGAATTATATACCTTTGACAGATCACGGTTTAGCCCATCCAAATTCTTGACATGCACGCCGTCAATGAAGTGTGTGGAGTCCCGGAACAGTCTGTAATTGATTAATTTATTCTCTGGATCTAGTTTGTCTATGACCGGCCATATCATGAACACATTCTCTGTAGTGAATATGACCACCTCGTAATTAGAGTTCGCGACGGTCTGCAGGAACTGGTCTAGACCGGGTCGCTTTTTAAATCTGAAAACAGAAAAATTACATTATAAAGTTTTGTAAAAGATTTCTGATTATTCTAAAAGGGGAAGAGGTTAATTGCGAAAAATAGAGTCCAATTTAAATTACATTACATTCTAAAAGGAGATAGATAATGAACTATTCTGTAAGATGTGCTTGCTTTTATTTGTAATTATATGCGCTAACTTTTGAATCCTCTATATATGACATAGTGATATGTATATAGTGACAAACAATCATATGGCACATTTGATGGTAAATGGTTACCGTGAAAAACCCCATGCTGTAGTCTCGGGAGAAAACCTATTCTTAAGATATTTAGAGACTTCTTTAGATTTATTATGAGCAAAAAGAAGAAAGTTGCATTGTCACTAATTAAAAACTTGTGTGATATGATGGTAGGCCGTTGACTCGCTGTGGAGCAGTTCCCAAGCTGCCATTTCTTGTAAATTAGATTGCTAGATAACATCACGTTACGACCAATAGTTGCGAAGCTGCAATGAAAAATTATTCATAAACTGGGAATTGTGACGCAGAGGAAGCGGCACGGGTATTTATAAAAATAATAATCTCAGGACAATTCACACAGCGCCATCTAGACGCCAAGTTAAGCTAGCTAAAGCTTGTGTTATGGGTACTAGATAACTGATACAAATACATAGATATTTTTTTTAGTAAATACATACATATTATACGTAGAAAACACCCAGACCGATACAAACAATCATACTCATGAATGTTTGTGCCGTGCGAGGAATCGAGCCCGCGACCATCGGTTGTAAAGCGGTTGCTAGACCGGTAGACTACTGAGATCGTCGAAGACAAAGCATTGTAAGACATAAAAAAATCTATATTGGGCTCACCTCCAACCAGTCTGATAGGACCAGTCAGGATGCACGAGGACGTCAGTGAACTCGAGCACCAGAGTGTACGTGGGCTGGTACGGCGGCGGCAGCGGGTCAGGAAGCAACTTTTCGCGCGACGGTTCCTTTATCATCTAAAAATATCAAATCAAAACATATTTATTCATGTAGGTCTATTATAGACTCCTATGATTATTTCAAATCTACCGTTAGTTCGGTGTACTTTCAAGCTAAGAAGTATTGAAAAGATACTCAGTTCTTATTCTTTTGAAATCTGTTTGTACATGGTTATAGAAATACCGGTTCTTGAGTATGACGAATGAGTATGATGATGACATATTTAGATGTAGATGTTTATGATTATAGAATAGAATAATATTTGTTACTATCACACATCACAACACAACACAACATGACGATGCTCACAGCAGCATATAAATTATTATAACATATAAATAGAAATAATAAATACAATACAAATCATTAAGAGAAAAAAAAGCGAACAAGAAAATCAAACAAAAGAAAATAATATATATAAACACATATACCAAAAACAATGATAACAAAGCAAAAAAATGCGTATCCACCACTGCGGAACATCGTCATCGCGTCACTGTGTACTGATGTGTGTGTAAGGGGCCCATCTCAGCATTATGCCATGACAATAGCCACGACGCTGATTTTCAGTGGAACCCCGAATAAGTGACTCACGGACAAATGTGCATTATAACATATATATAAAATTCTCGTGTCACAATTTTCGTTCCCATACTCCTCCGAAACGGCTTGACCGATTCTCATGAAATTTTGTGAGCGTATTGAGTAGGTCTGAGAATCGGCCAACATCTATTTTTCATCCCCCTAAATGTTAGGGGTAGTCCACCCATATATCTATAGATAATTACAAATTTTTTTATTTTAAGGCAAAATAATGTTTGCAGTTGATCTTAAATTAGAATAGGACAGGTAGTAGCAATATAAAAATGGATTAGATTGGAATAAAGAGCACAAGGTAACTTGTAAAATGGAGGATACTTACTTTTTCATAAAACGTTAGTTCTTTCCAAGTACGTTTAAGATACTGGAGTACTATTGGCATGTTGGTAAATTCATCTTCTATTATTTCTCCATCGTCCCCGCGCCGCGGGGCACCCATCTCCACCACGAGACATCCGCCCATCACAGTGATCGCTCCGCCAAACACGCCAAATCTATATAAAAATTATATTAATAATATTATTATGAATGCGAAAGTTTGTTAGTATGGGTCCATCCACAGGTGTTTCTTACTCTTTCACGCTAAAAGTACTAAACAGATTTTAATGTAACTTTACAGTAATATTATTCTGATGTATATGCACATCAGAATAACACAAAGGCTAAAAATATCAAGCGGGTGCAGCTAGTATTAAATAATCTTGAGTAATACAATCCATTGTATTAAAAGATGTTAAAATATAATTTCCTTAAACACTCAATCCTCAACTTTCAGTGTATAATAATATATATTAATCATATGTATAATAATTTTTTATTTGCCACCTGCTCACTTATCATCAAATAGTTATTATAGCAAAGACAAAAATCAAATATAGTGTAATTTTTTTATGGATGATGGTACACTGGTATGAGCTAATAATTCATGCTGGCAGTACCAGTGGAGGATGATAATGTGAAGTTAGGTTTATTAATATTATTGTGACAAATTTTCTCCTACATCCAAACTTATTATATGTGCTAAACATATAATAAGTTTGGATGTAGGAGAAAAGAGAAAGGAACTTAAGATAGAGGGAAACATTATTAATACAAACATAATGTTGTATGACATTAGATCAACATTTATTTATTTATTGTACAAATTATTCGGAACTCAAATTCAGGAAGAAACTTTCCTGCTGTTCTATAAAACAAATATATTTGAACTTTACATTTATTGTCTGAAATATAAAGGAAATCTGATCATTATGATGATAATAATCAAAGCAGAAAGAACTTGACGAATTTTAGACCCAATGTAGATGAAGGTTGGGAATAGTTTTATTGCTCATATATTTTAACTATTAAATGTAATGTTATATAATATCTAATATTGAAAGATGGGACTGTATAGTGGTAGAATAAAAAAAAAAAGACTATTCAATAGTTAATACAGGTATTGAGTTTATTTAAATAAATATTATTTCTATATTCTATATATTAAATACAGCAGTAATTTTCATCTAATACTCAAATCTATACATATAAATAAAATCGGAGTATTTGTTTGTAATATTGAAATAACTATTTTTTACTACATGCATATGAATATAAATACAATACATATCCAGCTAATCTCTAAAAAGGCTGGACTGATTTTGACAGAACTTTATTGGTAGGTAACTGATGTAATAATGAGTAATTTAGGCTACATTTATTTTATAAATATATGTAGCCTAAATTACTCATTATTACATCAGTTACCTACCAATAAAGTATAGATAAAGTTAAATACCACACAGACGAAGTCGTGAGTAGTTTAAAATAATAATTAAATCCAACACACAATAAGAGCATACCCAATTTTCATCCTTCTCCAACTTTTTTCATTCTCCTCTGTTTTCTCCTTGTTCTCTTTGTCAAATTCCTCCTGTTCTTTTTTGATAACCTGAGCATCATTACTGTTTACGGAAGCTTGTGGAAAGAAACGTCCCAATATGTCTACTTTCTCTCCAGATTGTACATCTTTTTTGTTACCTAAAATAATTATAAATTTAACATAACCATTATTAAGTAGCAAAATACAATCAGATAAAAAAGTGAGACAATTTTTATATTATACTGAAACTCTTCAGAACCATTGTTATTATATCTATATGAAATAAAAGATAGAAAGAAATTATGTCATTAAACTAAGTAATTAGTTTTTATATAAATAAAGGCGAAAACTAAGCCGTGGACCCATTTTTGTAAAATGTATAGTGTTAACATAAAAATTTTCTATTTAATATGACTTCAAGATAACTGGCTCTGAAATTAATTATGACAAATTAGGTAACCACAACAAAAAAAATATTACGTCTGAGTCAAAACTAGTGATGATTTCTGCATACAATTTTATGGAAGAGATTTTTTATAAGAGTAATAAAAAAACTAACCTAAATTTTCGGCAGAATAGAACCTAACTGAGGCAGGTGTAGAAGGTACCGCGAACTTCGTCGTTCTTGGCAAATTTGCAGCTTGAAATTTTGATATGTGAGCGTAGACAGTTTTTGATAGAGACAACACTTTTCTAAGGGACATTATTTTCTTTTATAAAAATTACATTTAAATATTCAAAAGATTGAACAAATGGTGAAGAAAATTCAAGATTTTCAGTGACCTACTGACAGTGACAATAGACTGACAGCGGAGTTGCTATTTGTCATTCAATAGTGGCTGACTGATGACAAGAAGGGAATTTTGGTGAAAAAATGGTAGGAGCGCGGAATGTGCTCTTTGGAGTAGTGAATTTCGAGACTGGTTAAAAGCTAACAGGCCAGAGACAATCTTACGTTCTCATTATTAAAAACCAATTCTTAAACAGTTCACCTAATTTGACGTCACGGTACGATTTTAAGCAGGACTGTTTAAGGCCTGCTATTGAACTGCCCTGCTTAAGGATTGTTTCTTATTCGGTCATAGTAGCCTTCCAGGTGTGTGGAAAAGTTTTGGCGCTTGGGGAGTGTGTGTTTCGATGTGTCGAAATTTTTCTATACGACGAGTTGTCCTGTCTGGGAGACTCTTTGGGGACTGCCATGATGGAGGCGTGTCGGAAACTACTGACTCAATATTTTTTTTGCACTGAACTATTAAGAAACTCGAGAACAGTTTTTGTACTGTGCGACTACATTATCTCAACAATTCAATACACTAATAAATTAAGAAAATTAAGAACATCAAAAGCCATGGCATATAAGAATAGTTCCCTTTGCCTTTTCGTTTAAAGATAAACGGAACAAAAAAATTACTGTTGACATATGATTTGACAATATCATATATTTTCTATAATCTGTGATAGAACTCTACCTACCTTGTTTATCTGTTTCAATCACATTTGAATTTCAATCTAATTTCTATTTTGATTAATTATTGTTTGTATTTTCCTTTGAATTTTAATACTTTAATCAATTTATGTGTAGGTTATGTAATTATTAAAATTAATTTTAGAAGATGGATTTAAAAGAAAAGTACTCTTTATTAAATTTTGTTAAGAAAGTTAGCAAAGATTCATCGAATGATATACGCCTGAGGTTTATTAATTTTTTTTTATGTATACCTGTTTTAATTCCTTGTATTGATGAGTAATTATATAATAAATGATTAATTACAGCACCAATGACCAACAAGTATCATCAGAGAAAAAATCCAAATTTATTTTTAAATCAAAATCAACAAATTCCACAAAGTGTAAGTTTATCTACAAATATATTGTTGTTGTCTCACTTGTACTCACAATAACTCCACTTGTATTATTGTGTGCACGAAATTTAAAAATCCAATTGTGATATAAAGAAACTTAAAGTTTTAAGTATATAAATAGTTAATAATAGTATTTGTAATATCAACAACTTTTAAGTTTCTCTATCATCATCATCGCAGCCCGGAAGACGTCCACTGCTGGACTTAGGCCTCCCCCAAAGATCTCCACGACGATCGGTCCTGCGTTTCTCTATATTTAGTCTAAACTTAGAAAATAAATGAGGCTCAGTTATTTATACATAATGATTTTGTGTAAAATTTAAATAATGTTTTGAATGTTATCCCAATTAACACTTCTCTTTTGATCTTAATATTTGGATTAAGTGAAATTTTTCAGAATAATCAACCCACTTATGACAATAAGTGATTATAATTTGTTAACAACAAATTTTAGTCAAGAAGTGACGAGAGCTGCTTTCTTGTGCTCCTCTCCTTTTTTCAGCTCAGTTTATTAGTTAGAACGAGGTTTGCAATCGATGTCTAGACTGGCTGGTATGGCAGATGAAGTATGTTTGAATATCTGAAAAGAGAGTAGCTATGACGTGGCCTGGTGTTTTGAGTAGTCATGCTCACTAAAATGTCCAGACTTGTGGCGGCGTGGTGGGCTGGGTCATTGGGCTCATTGTGTGGACTGGTCTGCTCTAATCACTATGACTTATTTTTTCCTTATTAATTGTTTAACCAGTTGTTGTATATTTAATGTTTTTTCTATTTTATTATTTTATTGAATTAGTGCTAATCGGTGGTTTGTATTCACACACTGAAACTTAAATTGTAAGTAAGAATAAATTATTTAAAAGAGCAACACACAAGTTTCTTGCTTGTTCTTCTTGTGATGAGACAGAATTCCGAATGAGCGGTAGATTAAAAAAAAAAATGTTATGACTATTCAAAAGTACTTTAATGTAAGTTTATTTGAATAAATGATTTTCTATTCTATTCTATTTCTATTCAGAGTGTGTTTTGTCATCTTGTCTGTCGTCGTATTGATGTATCCGTATAACTTATCTGTATTACTGTATATTCTATTAAATGTGTTTTTATATTATTTTATCTTGTTTAGAAATATATTTTGTTTATCTTATTCTACGTTGTTTACTTGGACACCACTATAGTTACTCTGTTAAAGTGAGAAGTTCAGAGGTAACTTCCCTCACATTATTGTCTGTTTATAAATTGTTTTAATGTATTGTTTTCAGGGACACCACCATTTAAAAATGCTTCAACGGAGAATGTGCCAAAATTTGTAAGTATTCTTTAAAATTATTGTTTTTTTTAATGTATTTGGATCAAGAATAAATGTGTGCAATGTAATTTACCTAACTAATAATACAGTATATTATATCTTATTGTATGACTAAAACCAGCCGCTACATTTTTTATAACTTCACTAATAATTATTGTTAACAATACAATTGGCACATAAAAATTAAAGAAATATAGCAACAATTGCAATAATATTATAATATCAAAAGAACAAGATTATGTGTATAATATAATTTAAAAGAAGAAAATAAGATAATTTTACACCTTCTTCAGGCTATTTCACCAACTTAGGCACTAGATGTCCCTAGATTTGAAGCAGTTCGGATTACTAGTAGGTACTTAGTAACAAGCGTGTAAATAGATGACAGGCAAATCAGACTGTGTGACAGCTATATAGCTATTTCTATAAAACATTGCAGAAATAGGTGTATACCTGCTATGTAGACTGTACTCGCTACATATATATCTATATACCTATCTCTGAAATTTTTTGCATAGATGCTTTATAGTTACATATATAGAAATGTAATTGTAGTGTGTTATATGTATATAAACCAACAACTCTATATAAGAGATAAGACTATATAAAATAAAGTTTTACTGAAATTTCATCTAAAGAAGTCTAAAGACAGACAAAATATAACAGAATGCATCTACATTCTGAGCAGCATTGTTAGACATGAATCTGAAATTGATCAATTCTTTTTATTTCCTTCTTCTTATCTTGCTATTGTCTCACCAATCCTTTAACAGATTTGTTGTGGGACTGTTGACAGGAGATTGAACTTTAATGTTTCTTATCAGTGAATAAAATCCTTTGTGTGATGTGTTTTAACATCACACAAAGGATTCTGCATTTCAAGGGGTCTTGTAGTGTTGTTGCAAGGATATTAGTTTTTTTTTAACACGTAGGTGGCAAACAAGCATACGGCCCATCTGATGGTAAACGGTTATGCAGCCTATGGACGCCTGAAACACCAGGGGTATCACCACATACGCGTTGCCGACCCTTAAGAAACCTTAATATACCCTAGAAAAATTCCATGCTGTAGTCGCTCGAGTAAATCTCGACAGGTAGTTCATTCCACCATCTAAGTTTATGCAGGAGGAAGCTCCTCTGAAACCGCACTGTCCGAGATCACTTAGGTTCCTATGCGCCCTTATACTATCTCTGTATACTCTTGCTCTGTGCTCTATTTCTTCTCTGACTGTTCTCATTCCCGTATGCTCATAGAATTCTGTTGTTCTGATGAATAATGCAATAGGTGCTTACTTTTCAAAAAATGTGAATTAGTCATTAGCAATATGGTGATGCAAATGAAAAAAGTGTCAATAGTAGTCAGTTTGGAAACATACATGTAAAGTTGAAGCAATGCTTTGATATAATAGAAAAAAAAACTGAAATTTATAAAATGCCCATGTTACAATTTTTTTTAATAATTTGAAAGTAGACTATGTGCATTCCATAACTTTTATGTTTTTGAAATGTATACTAATTAAAACTGTATAATTTGTTACAGGCCAGTTCAAAAGAACTGTCTACATCACCAAATGTATTACCAAGAAATTATGTCACCAACCATCCAATTGGAGAACAAATTAAAGCAGACGAAAATCAAAGTGTGTATAACTCCTTTGATGTATTTGATGTTAGTATTATTTTATTATCTATTTATTTAATTTTAATTAAAGCCACAATGTTATAAATTTTCTGTACACGACATATATGCGATAAAAACTATTAGTGGCGGACTTTATCTACATAACAATGAATGTTGTGTCGGTAATAGCCCTCAGTGGTCTAGAGGTTTACCACACCACTGTATTTCTGATTATCGCGGGTTCGATTCCTAACACTGTACAAAGATTTATCTTCATGAGTATAATTGCTTGTATTGGTCTGGGTTTTTTCTATGTATGGATTAGAAATATATCTAAGTATATCTATCAGTTACTCATAACACAAGCTCTAGCTAGAGCTTGTGTTATGTGTAACTATGTTAGTTTATCTTGGGACTAGATGCTGTGTGAATTGTCCTAAGATACATGTATCTCTACATGTAGATGTAATAGATGTGTGATAAGTAATGACAATTTAGCTAACGCTCAGCCTAGCCCTCGTCATAGTAACTATTCTTAGTTTTCGACTCGTGGTGCTGTTCTAATTGATTTCAAGAATTTAGAATTTATTTAATGAAATTTGGTACACAGATAGTCTAAATCTAAACGCTGAGAAAGGACATAGGTTACTCTTTAATTAGAAAAGGGTAGTAAAGGGGTTGAAAGGTTGTATGGAAGTATCGTAATTTTTAAAGCTAAAATCTTTATAATTAGTTAAAAACTTGAAGAAAATGTTTATAAGTTGAAAGGGGAGATGAAAGGTTGTATGTAAGTATCGTTTTTAATTAATTCGCTAGACGCCTGAAACTTAGCCTAAAAAGGCTGTTGATTGAATATAAATAAAGAAAAAGGGTTGAAAGGGGAGATGAAAGGTTGTATGTAAGTATCGTTTTTAATGAATTCGCTAGACGCCTGAAACTTAGCCTAAAAAGGCTGTTGATTGAATATAAATAAAGAGAAAGGGTTGAAAGGGGAGATGAAAGGTTGTATGTAAGTATCGTTTTTAATGAATTCGCTAGACGCCTGAAACTTAGCCTAAAAAGGCTGTTGATTGAATATAAATAAAGAGAAAGGGTTGAAAGGGGAGATGAAAGGTTGTATGTAAGTATCGTTTTTAATTAATTCGCTAGACGCCTGAAACTTAGCCTAAAAAGGCTGTTGATTGAATATAAATAAAGAAAAAGGGTTGAAAGGGGACATGAAATGTTGTATGAAAGTATGTATCGTCATTTTTGAACCTATAAGCTTGAATCTTAAGTTCTTTTTCAAGTATTCAGGAGCTCATACTCCTGAATGTTGAGGTGGAAAAGAATAGTGTAAAGGAGGGTTAACATACGGTAGTTTCTGCGATGACGAATGGGAAGCCACTTGAGTTGTTTGAGAAATTGAGATATGTGGTCGTATTTACGAAGACCAAATATAAACCGTATACAAATATTTTGGAGTCACTCAAGTTTCAATCGGTCTTCTATGAGATTTAAATAGCAGGAATCTGCATAGTTTAGGATTGGGAGTAACAACGAATGTACGAGCGCAGTTTTGGTATCTACTAGCAGGAAGTTTCGTATTCTATAGTATTGAGGCTTCCGATAGACCCAAAACATTTTTAGACTTAATTGAGAAATTTGGTGTGCCCATTATAATTAATGTATAGCTGAAATTAATACCTATGTTTTTTACTTGAACGCTAATCAATATCATGCACATTAAAAGTGATAGATAAAATGGATAAGATATATTATCGCATGGTCCTCGAAAGTTATCGGGTCTCTAATATATATAAATCGTGCCGCTGCATCGACGAACGATCCATATCGTTCGTCGATGCGGCGCCTTGCGCATTCGTTCTTTATCATACCGTTCTTGACGTTTTTTTATTATTATTTAGTCCTATTGAAAAGTGATTGTGTTGTGTTAATTTCGTGCTAAATCTGTAATACGCCATGTTTTTGTCATATAACAATCGTACTACCATAATTAGGGCAGTCGACAGCATGCTCAAGTTATTGAGCGTGAAAGACTTTTATCGTTGACCGTGTTGATAAGTCGAGTATCCAGAACTACGAGTTGAGCCAACGGAGGTATCCACACTTCAACGCCGCATGCGATGAAACCAAATATGTTAGTTACACAGAACCACTCGTGTTGCTTTCCTTCCCCACCCCAAAGCCTCGGGACCCCGAAGACTGAATCGCAGCAATCTTATTGTTAAAATAAAGTAGATAGCTATTGTTAGAAATATAAATGATATAGAATAGGTAATAATTTTAAAACTTTAAGTCGCCAGATTTTGATGGCAACCGTTCATTCCAAAGTGCTATTAACCAATCCTAATTCCGTCGCATCCTTATATAGCAACACATGGGAATATTCACGTGTACATGGTGGTTGAATGCCCGAAGAACCCAGTGGATACATCAGAGTTGTGGCATAATATAGTAATACTGAATTCCGCAGTACTAATTGGTATTATGTAAAGCCGACGACGTTCACTCCAACGCTGACGCCAGATGTTATAACGAAAGGTGTGACCATGCCGGATTCAATACCTAATGAGATACTTGCAGGATGCAACATTTTCGCTCATAGTGCCAAAGTAGTCGCTTCTCTATGGAGCATGGTATAACATGCAGTGCACAGCCTTATTGGAAAGTGCTGAAGAGCAAAACTTAGATGCGCCGATGAAAGAACGAGGTCGCATTGTATCAATTTTAATATAGTAGTTGGAGAGTTTTAAGTGAAATATTGTTGATTTCATATTAAATTTGTAAACTGACTATGTTCTTGGGGTAACTTTGGTTTGCGTTACGAGTTGAGTGACATTCGTTCTAGCATCGAACGGTGTCACTCCTATTGTAGTTATAATTAGTTGTTAGTCATTAAAATGTAGGATTTAATAAAAATTATGTTATTTGTTATTTTTTTTGTTAATTTGGTATATTAAAAACGTTTTAACCTCACATTCTTTTATTTAAACACTTTATAATTAGTGTAGGACTTAATTTATCCATAGCCCTAACCATTCAGGACGTATATAAACAAAAAGTTGCAGATGAATAAATATTTCTAACAATTATTCTTACTAATATTATAAAGGCGAAAGTACCTCCGCCTGTCTGTGTGGCTTTAACGCCAAAACTATTGAACCGATTGAAATGAAATTTTGTACACAGATAGTCTGGACCCTGAGACTGGACATAGGCTACTTTTTAATGGCAAAAAGGGATGTAAGGGGAGATGAAAGGTTGTATGGAAGTATCGTCATTTTTGAAGTGTATTTACTTTAAGTAAATAAAAGCGTTTATTGTTTCCTTAGATTAGAGGTTTCCAAACTTTTGTGTGTCCTAGATCCCTTGCCATATTTTTCGATATCGGGTAGACTCCCCATTCTTAGCTGGTATTGATTTTTTTTAATTTGTAACTGTAGTAAAGTTTAATGTTAAAACATAAAGTAAAAACAACAGAATGACCGCTGTCGTAGACACCTTGCAGTTCGTCATAGACCCCTGGGAGTCGATATAGACCACTTTGGGAATCACTGCCTTACATTAAAATATCTTAATCAAACTAATAATTAATGAATCTTATATCAACAATATTTGTGATATTATTGTATACAAATATACAAAGATTCGATCAATATATATATTTGTTTAATTCAGGCTACTAATGGCCTATATTATAAATACCCTACAAACTAACTTCTTCTAATTAAATTGAATATCAATTGTCTGTGTGGTTACGGCACTGATGACGGCAATCTGCCACGGTAGTGTCGATATACGCAATTCGCGCAAACTTTCCACTTTCTTGCGCAAACTATCCACTTTCTTTCGCAAACTATCCACTTTCTTGCGCAACTCACTAATTATGAGCTCTGACGCGTTGACACGAGGCGTCATATCTGCCAAACTCTTTTTTAAGGAGACGATATCCTTGAGCAGGATGGTAACATCGAATGTGACTGGAGGAGGTTCGTTTAAATCCCTCGCCACAAAAGTCGACACGTCGTCAGGATCGGTCTCCTTCAGCAGCGATATATCCTGCACGCTTTTCCGTGTCCCGTCACATCTACGAGACACCATCTGATCACTTTTATTTAATGTCCATTGTAATCCACTGAAGGCAAATTTTATGGGTTCTTCGTCGTACTTCATACGTTTGCGAGGAGGTGCTCCTTCTTCCATATTCTCATGCTTTCTTTTACTCATTTTTCAATTAAAAAAAAAATAAGTAAATTTATTTTACAATTGAAATGTATAACTTGGTCTGATTCGTATTTTTTATAACAATTAAAAGTTAGTGATTATCTTTATATAGCTGGACGATGTCGGTAATCTTTTGAGGGTTTTGAGGGTTTGCAAGAGCTTGCAAGAGATAGAGAAGATGATAAGGAATTGTTTGTCGTGAATAATGACAACAACAATAATGACGCACAACAAAAGGAATTTTTGTTTGTCGTGAATAACATAACAGTGATAATGTCACAAATAATTCCTTTATTGAATATCCTCAAAATTTGACTCGAATACTCGACTTATCTCTCTACACGTCTTATTGACTGTTGATTATTTAACGATAATAATCATAATTAATTCTCGTTAATTATTTGATTAATGTGTGTTTTGTTGTGTCAAGTTTCTACACGTGCCACTTTTTGTCCTTGTTTCTATCTTTCCTAGAACTCTTATCGCACGGCACGTGTAAACCGCCCGGCAACCGACCCTTAAACCGGTGTTATCTGAGCGGAGTGTGTACGCGACGTGTCTAAATTTGTATAACACAAACACCTGAAACATTTGAATAACACACATAACAATAATAATGACGCACAACAAAGAAATATTTGTTTGTCGTGAATAATGATAACAATAATAATGACGCACAACAAAAGGAATTTTTGTTTGTCGTGAATAATGATAACAATAATAATGACGCACAACAAAAGGAATTTTTGTTTGTCGTGAATAACATAACAGTGATAATGTCACAAATAATTCCTTTATTGAATATCCTCAAAATTTGACTCGAATACTGGACTTATCTCTCTACACGTCTTATTGACCGTTGATTATTTAACGATAATAGTCATAATCAAAATTAATTCTCGGTAATTATTTGATTAATGTGTGTCTTGTTGTGTCAAGTTTCTACACGTGCCACCTTTTGTCCTTGTTTCTATCTTTCCTAGAACTCTTATCGCACGGCACGTGTAAACCGCCCGGCAACCGACCCTTAAACCGTTGTTATCTGAGCGGAGTGTGTACGCGACGCGTCTAAATTTGTATAATACAAACACCTGTTATAGCTGTTGCTAATAAGGAAATTGCTGATGAGGAGCACGGCCTTGTACTTTGTGCCCGTACTTCGAAAAGACGAATCAGCGCCTCACATCTTCGTTGAGCCACCACAGCGCTGGGCAACTGCTAACTCGACATCTTAATTAGTGTTTCCGCGGCTCAGTATTTGTCAATTTAATTCAATTCGGTACCAACTTCTAATAAGGAAATTGCTGATGAGGAGCACGACCTTGTACTTTGTGCTCGTACTTCGAAATGACGAATCAGCTCCTCACATCTTCGTTGAGCCACCACCGCTGGGTCCGAAGACTTCGTCCGAAGATAGTTATAGTCATATTTTAGTTTGTAATATTTTATTTTTAATTAAATATATTAAAATATTTTTTTTTCTTAACTCCTGCGGCTGCGACGTACCTAATTCACCTGAAACATTTGAATAACACACATTAACAACAATAATGACGCACAACAAAGAAATGTTTGTTTGTCGTGAATAACATAACAGTGATAATGTCACAAATAATTCCTTTATTGAATATCCTCAAAATTTGACTCGAATACTGGACTTATCTCTCTACACGTCTTATTGACCGTCGATTATTTAACGATAATAGTCATAATCAAAATTAATTCTCGGTAATTATTTGATTAATGTGTGTCTTGTTGTGTCAAGTTTCTACACGTGCCACCTTTTGTCCTTGTTTCTATCTTTCCTAGAACTCTTATCGCACGGCACGTGTAAACCGCCCGGCAACCGACCCTTAAACCGTTGTTATCTGAGCGGAGTGTGTACGCGACGCGTCTAAATTTGTATAATACAAACACCTGTTATAGCTGTTGCTAATAAGGAAATTGCTGATGAGGAGCACGGCCTTGTACTTTGTGCCCGTACTTCGAAATGACGAATCAGCGCCTCACATCTTCGTTGAGCCATCGCGCTGGGCAACTGCTAACTCGACATCTTAATTAGTGTTTCCGCGGCTCAGTATTTGTCAATTTAATTCAATTCGGTACCAACTTCGTCCGAAGATAGTTATAGTCATATTTTAGTTTGTAATATTTTATTTATAATTAAATATATTAAAATAAATTCGGTTTTTTTAACTCCTGCGGCTGCGACGCACCTAATTCACCTGAAACATTTGAATAACACACATAACAATAATAATGACGCACAACAAAGAAATGTTTGTTTGTCGTGAATAATGATAACAATAATAATGACGCACAACAAAAGGAATTTTTGTTTGTCGTTAATAACATAACAGTGATAATGTCACAAATAATTCCTTTATTGAATATCCTCAAAATTTGACTCGAATACTCGACTTATCTCTCTACACGTCTTATTGACTGTTGATTATTTAACGATAATAATCATAATGATAATTAATTCTCGTTAATTATTTGATTAATGTGTTTTTTGTTGTGTCAAGTTTCTACACGTGCCACTTTTTGTCCTTGTTTCTATCTTTCCTAGAACTCATATCACACGGCACGTGTAAACCGCCCGGCAACCGACCCTTAAACCGTTGTTATCTGAGCGGAGTGTGTACGCGACGCGTCTAAATTTGTATAACACAAACACCTGAAACATTTGAGTTTCATTCCCTCTCTTGAATGTATCATTTGAAGCTCCCAGTTTCTCGACAACGTATTTTAATAATATTATATAAGTACTGCAATACGAAATTAGTTTAGATCGGATTTTGTATGAGTGAAGTGCTAGTAGAGCAGCTTAACTGTCCGAATAAATGTATATGTTCTGATTGATGTAGTTAAGGCTTAGAATTACCTCCTGACATCTTATTAAGGCGTAAGTTTCATCCTGAAATATTGAAAGGCGAATTTTCATAAGCCTATAGATATGGTTACAGATTTTGGGTTTTACACCGCATATTCCACATTCTACATCATCTCCTATTGTTTATGGAGGTGTTCTCGACGAAATATGTCATAGACCCAAACCCTAAAGGGAAGTGTACACACACTGTGAAACCGACGTGATGCGTGATGTACGAGTATATGTGTGAAGTCTTAATCATTAATTGTATTGTTTCAGGGATTGTAGTCAATACGTGATAAAGTTTTAATAGGTTGTTGGTTATTTTTCTTTATATGCTGTAGACAAAGCAACGTCGAGTAATGGTCAGTGCCTGCAGATTCATTCATATCAATCAATACAGAAGAAAAGTGCTTGTCACTTTTCTTATTCAATGAATAAATTAGACTGCACACATATTCTTGACTCAATTCTTGAACAGGATTTTCAGTTAGTCCTTACTGTAAAACTATTGACACCCAGAGAGATTTATGAAAAAATAAAATCCATGGACAACAAAAAGGCACAAGAGTTTGACCTGATTGACAAAAAGGTTCTTGAAGAGATGTCTTCCAGAGTCATAGTGTATCTCATGCAATATTAAGATTTGGACGTTATCCAAACCTGTGGAAAGTATCTCAAATCACAATGTTACACAAACCTGTCATGTCTAAGGTGTTTGTAAATATCCCGTCTACACAGACTTACAAATGTTGTCAAAGAGAAATGTTTTATCCCCGATCATCAATTCGGATTTCGAAAAGAACATGCCACTGTTGAACAGATTCATAGAGTACGCCGAAAAATTTAAAAACTTATGAAAAAAGCAAAATTGTCTATCTGTATTGATTGACATATAACAGGCCTTTGATAAAGGCCCTTGATATATGATAGCGTAGCGGCTTTTGTATTGATTGCCGCATGCATCCTTATGTAAAGTGCGAAAGTAACTACCATAAATTTTTGTCTGACGTGGTCTGTGGAATTGATTGCTCACTAAAATGTATAATGGTCGAGCGCAGTGATGGCTTTGATGAAAGTGCTGTTTGGCTCTTATCACAGACTGATTTAATCTTTTTATTATATGAAATTAAATGTTTACACGTTTCGACTTGTAAATGTAAACTTCAACACACACACATTCTATTTAATATTCAAAAGTCTTAAATTAAGTTTATTTGAATAAATGATTTTCTATTCTATCTATTCTATAAAGTTTGATTAATGAAAATGATCCACACACATGCACATCACAATGAAATGAAAATGATTGCACATCACGATTTTATGAAATCCTTGCAGGAGTACCACAGAGCTTTGTGCTAGAGGCTGTCTAATACATTTTGTACACATCTGACTACGTCATGTTGGTGTTGTAATTTCAGTATATTGAGGTAAGCTTCATAATACTGGAATTACAACAGCAACATTTGCTGATGATGCAGCCTTCCTTGCTGCGAGCGAATATCCACTTGAGGCTTCCAACATCTTACTTGTTTAATTTATAAACACATAATAATCACGCAGCTAAAGTGGCGTTGGGCTGGTCATGTATGCCGAAGCAAAGACAACAGATACAGATCCCTTATGTGGCGACCTAGGATGGGAAGTAGAAGCGTAGGCAGACCAACTGCCAGATGGTCTGATGACATCAGATCTGAAGACGGCAAGACCGACCTGGACAAGACCCGCCACAGACAGACTGAAGTGGAAATGTATGCAAGAGGCATACGTCCAGCAGTGGACAAATATATGCTGAAAGAAAGAAAAAAAAAGACATAATAATAAGTGCTTACTTTTAAAAAATATGTAAAGTAGACATTTGCAATACGGTGATGCAAATGAAAAAAAGTGCCATCTAGTAGTCAGTTTGGTAACATAAAAGTTGAAGCAATACTTTTAGTCAAAAAACATAAAGCATAAATTGCAACCTTTTTGATTTAATATTTAAAAAAATTGTCATTTTTTTAATAACTAGAAAGTAGACGATATGCATTCCAAACTTTCATGTTTTTGAAATGTTTACTGTATAATTTGTTACAGGTCAGTCCAAAAGAACTTTCTACATCATCAAATGATATATACGAACAAATGAACGCAGACAAATATCAAAGTGTATATGATGACTCCATTGATGCATTCCATGTTAGTATTGTTTTATTAACTACTAGCCGTACCCGCGACTTCGTCAGCGTGGAATTTAACTTTATTTTTCTAAAATAAGAGAAATTTTCTAAAATAAAAGTAGCCTAAGATACTCCTTAATACATCAGCTACCTGGCAAAAAAAGTCCCTTCAAAATCTGTCCTGCCATTTCAGAGATTAGCCGGAACAAACAGACAGACAAAATCTGTAAAAAATGGTATTTTGGTGTATGTGCCGTATTTATATTCATATACATGTAGTAAAAAATGGTTATTTCATATTACAAACAGACACTCCAATTTTATTCATGTGTGAAAGCCACAAAGGTGTGTTATAAATTATCTGTACACGACGTATATGCGATAAAAACTATTAGTGGCGGACTTTATCTACATAACAATGAATGTTGTGTAGGTAATAGACCTCAGTGGTCTAGAGGTTTATCACACCGCTTTATTTCCGATTGTCGCGGGTTCGATTCCTAACACGGTACAAAGATTTATCTTCATGAGTATGATTGTTTGTATTGGTCTGGGTGTTATCTATGTTTTTATTATGTATGGATTATAAATGTATGTAAGTATATCTATCAGTTATCCAGTACCCATAACACAAGCTCTAGCTAGCTTATCTTGGGACTAGATGGTGTGTAAATTCTGAGATAGCCTAAAAATCAGTTATTTTCATCCCCCTTTTCATAGGTTAAGAGTAACCTATGAAAAGGGGGAGAATAGAGAAGATAGAATGTAAAAAAAGGGTTGCATTAAAGAGTAACCTATGTCCTTTCTCAGGGTCTATCTGTGTAACAAATTTCATTTAAATCTGTTCACTAGTTTTGGCGTGAAAGCGAGATAGACAAACAGAGTTACTTTCGCATTTACAATAGTAGTAAGGATATAAAGCATTATAATTTTCTATATTTGTTCAAGGATTATGATATGGACTCTTTTCTACATGTATACAAAACATCTACGACATCGCCATTAAAAAATAAATCTATACGAATAAGTGCAACACCTAGTCCTACAAAAAAAATATCGGAACAATACAGTTCGACGGGTAAAAATGTTTTAAAAACGCCAGAGAAAACCAGTTCCGATGAAAAACCTAGAAGTTTAAAATTGGATACGTCATTGAAAGGTTTTTTATTCAACATATCGACCAATCCTGCTGTAAAGAAAACAAAAATGGTATGTTTATTTATTATTATAACTTTGTGAACAGACCCTCTGTTATGATTATTTTTGATAAACCTTTCACCTTGTAGAGTAGCATAACCAAATTACTTTTGATGGCAAAATTCGATCGCGAATACTGGCTTGATTGGATGACTGGCTTGACTAATGGTTAAAACACATCGATGTTCACAGTATTAATATACATGTTGTACATTTTTATTTATTAGGCATTGTATTTTTTTTCACAGAAAAAAAGCTTACAAGATATAGAGGAATGCAAGACCCTGTACATAGAAATATTAGAAAAAGTGTTTAATGCCTTTGATAGAATACCAAATAAAACAAAAGAAACATTACCTGGATATAATAGTACCATATATTCACATCTTAAATTTTGGAGAAATAGATTGAAATCAGCCATAAAACAGACAACTAGTAAAAACACAAGTCCACAGAAGGCCAGGCACCAAAGTGACCAAATAATTAAAGCTGATTGTGACTTTAAAAGAAATTTGTCTGAATCTCCATCATTATTAAACAACCATGAGGATTATGATTTGAAAGATTTTGTTATAAAAAGTAGTCCGATTTTTATTAAAAAATCTGTCAAGGCAGAACATACACAAGCAGACAGAAGTAATTTTAGTTACGATGTTGGACCTAGTAGTTCAACATTATTAGGTAAATCGGTCAAGAAATCGTTGTCTTATGATGCATTTTCACCTTCTAACTCGATCATAAATTTAGATGCAACTACTGAGTCTGATGCTGACAACTTGGATACACCCTCAAATGTTAAAGGAAAGGGCAAATTCGTATTCAAGAGACCATCGCGAATTATCACAGAGGAGTCTAATAACAAATCAATATCAAGTCCCATAATTTCAAGTACCGCTCAAAAACTAAAGAATGCTTTAGAAACTTTAAAGCCTTTAGTAGATCGAGAGCCACCAAAAGTGTTGCCAGTAGCAAATAGTTCTGTAAACTTCCAGCCTCCTCAAGTAAGTAGAAGCTCCTTACTTTCTACCAATACCATTGTAGATGAACCACTTAATGATGATTATCCCCTATTGGATGAAGAGGAAACGGATGTATATTCAGTACCAGTTGATATAGATGTTGATGTTGAATTTACACATGGCTCAAGTGATTCTGTTGTTATTGAAAGTGATCATAATAAAGTTGCGGAAGTGGTAAACAATAAAGAGATACCAGTAGATGAAGACGGTTGGCCAGAATACAGGATGGAAGATTTTGAGGATGGTAATATGAATTCGGATAGCAAAAAATCAGAGGTAGAGGTTTTTATGGACACATCATTAGGGGAAGAGGACAATAAACCCAAATACGAGGGAATGGGCGATTTCATTGAAGGCACTAAAAATGATGGTATCACAGGTAAATAAATGATGCATTGTGACATAATAATAATATTATAATGACATATAATGTTTTTTGGGGCGTAAATTCTGGAACCACTTTATAATTTAAGAAATTGAAAGTAACTTGTACATGAGTGTTTGAACCTATATATTATGTGTAATTATATGTTTCTAGACATCAGTTGATTCATATACATATGATTTGTTTCGCATACACTTCCAATACTTACTTCTTGATATTAAATCAAGAAGTATTGGAAGTGTATTGAATTAAGATCTAAGTACAATTAGTTATTTTAAAATTGGATTAATAGTTCACTCAATGTTAAAGTGTAAACACTACATCTACATTCTTTTTTGCGTTTTAATGCTGTTTCGCTATAGCTAGCCTTTACAGCTTCACCGAACGATAGGGGGCGAGTACAGATAGCACTCCAAACCCGCAGAACGACTTATGGAGCGGCATAGACCCAATTCCTTCTGGACGTATACGATTTTAGTCTGTCCAATCCAATAGCATACTTTCATTAAGCAATTCTTTGATTTATAACTGTTGTATCTTGATAGATTATGTTGATTTTTTATATTATTATTTTTCTAATGTTAGTTTTTTTTATACCCATAATTTTTTTTTTATATTAAAATCTTAAAAGTCTATAAGTGGCTTCTCTGTTTCAATTATGTTTATTAATCTGCCTGTAAATACTCTTTCAAATATCTTAATAATCGCGAAAGTTTGGTTTTGGTCTTTCACGCAAAAACTAACTGAACTGATTTTGATGAAACTTTACAGTAATATAGCTTATGCATCAGAATAACATATAGGCTATATTTTTTATAGAAAAATATTGAATTTAACGCGGGTGAAACCGCGGGCACAGCTAGTAAATAAATGATTACCATCTCATTATTGTCAGGTGAATTTGATGGTTTGAACTACCCACACTCGTCGCTGATGATGGAGGTGTTCAAGGAGAAGTTTGGTCTGAAGACATTTCGTCCCAACCAGCTGCAGGTGATAAACGCGACGCTACTCGGACACGACTGCTTCGTTCTGATGCCCACTGGAGGAGGTTACTATACTGACCCTTTAATATACAAGGAAAAATATCACGTGTAGTGGTATTTATTTAATAATAATAAAAATAATAATCTCAAAGAAAAATAAAGTTAAATTCTACGCGGACGAAGTCGCGGGTACAGCGCAGTAATAAATAAAAGTATAAAATTATAACTCACTCCAAAGTAGGAGAATATCCGCAAAGCACCAGTTTTATCAACTGCAGTCCGGCCGGCGTTCGTTCTCGTGATTAATTCTTGTCATACGTAATTAACAAAAAAAAAATGCCCGTCCCTATGTGAAAATTAATTTTATCAGTGCGGTCGTCAACGTGTTAAAAAAATACAAGGATAATATAGAAATATAATGTGAGGTTGTTGTGGTTTAATGCGAGTGTAGTACCGCGAATGTAAAAGGAATCGAACCTGCGACAATCGGAAATAAAGCTGTGTACTGAAACTCTAGACCACCTAGGCCTTCATTAGAATTGAACAGTAAAAATTGAGATGCTGTGTGTATACTCAAATACAACAGCATATCATTGGTTGAAGATATATGAATTGTTTTGCAGGCAAGTCCCTGTGTTACCAACTACCTGCGATATTGACCCCAGGCGTGACGATCGTGATATCGCCACTCAAATCGCTTATACTGGACCAGGTCAACAAGTTGCTGTCCCTAGATGTGAGTATTTAATTGTACTACGTAATAAATTTATAGATATTTTTTTTCTTAGCTCTCGACGTTGGAAAGAAAAGAAAGAAAGAAAGAAAAATATTTTATTCAGTGCAATGTAAAAAATACAATATAAACAACAAACGAAAAAAACGTTGGCACCTTGATTTTCCTTTCTGTATTAATGAGGATGATGAAAGTGAGACGAAGAAATTTCCTTACAATAATTAAACAAAATAATATAAATGCAAAATGGACTTCCACAAAGCCGCTGCTCTTTCCCTCGCTAGATCGCTTTTGAAAGAATATGTAGTATAATAATTAAATAAAAATAACATTTAAAAAAAATAAAAACTTCTTTCTTGTCTATATATGTAAATTTTCAGCTCATAGGGCTTAAATCTAGATCTCTGGTGGTTTCAGCCACCGTAGTTGATATTGGGGCAACGGGGCTTGCCCTGAACCTGCACCCGTTTATCCGGTTCATTCGAAGAACAGTCGGCATTCGCCCTATTGTATAGTATAATAGAGACAAAACGAACGACCACCCCAGCAGTACGCCCCGGTAAAGAGCATAAGGCTCGAGGCCTGTACCCGGCGGCTCGCATAAGGTTTCGCGGAAGATGCTCAACACATGCTCGCTCGAACATGTCTAATGGCAGCTAATATAATTTTTCAGATCCCGGCAGCGCACTTGAGCGGCGACATGAGCGCTGCGGAAGCAGACGAGGTGTACCACAAATTGTCAATGCGCGAGCCGCTACTGAAGCTGCTATATGTCACCCCGGAGAAGATCAGCAGCTCACCCAAGTTCCAAGATGTCCTCACCACTCTCTACTCGAGGGATAAGATCGCTAGGTAATCTAACAAAAAATGAGATAATGTAACCTAAGAATACACACACAGAACCTGAAAAACATAAACAAAAACATAGAAAAACATAGGTCAAAAGAAAGCGAGAGATATTTTTTATTATTCGTCCTTTGATAATTCACACATCCATCAGCGCCATCTAGTCCCTATGCAAAGTATGTGTTATATAAATACATATATACTTTTTTTTAATACATAATAATATATATAGAAATCACCCTCCCAGTTAAGAACTTCTATAATGGCTCGAAGAACCATTGTATAGTTCTGGATAGTTCGAATAAAATTAATGGATAAAACTAATATGATGTATATTGACTGTAATATATGACGGCTCGGTGGTCTAGCGGTTTAGCACATCGCCTTACTTCGATGGTCGCGGGATCGATTCCTCGCACGGCACAAACAATTGTATTTATGAGTATGATTGTTTGTATCGGTCTAGGTGTTAAATGTTACTTCCTGGTTGTTTAAAATTTGCTTTGGACGTTACGCTAGGCCTCCGCAAGAGCGAGGCCCCGGGCGATTGCCTTGTTCGCCACCCTCTAAAGTCGCCACTGCATGAGATTACTATATAATTCATAGTGTAGATGTTGTTGGCCGCTCAAATAAATAAAAGAGTGAATAAACTTGTGCAGGTTCGTGGTAGACGAGGCACACTGCGTGTCGGCGTGGGGGCACGACTTCCGGCCCGACTACAAGCGACTGCACGAACTGCGGCGGAGGTTCCCGCGCCCTCCCCTCATGGCGCTCACAGCCACCGCCACGCCGCGCGTGCGCATCGACATCCTCCACCAGCTACAGGTACCACCGCACCGACATCCTCCACCAGCTACAGGTACCACCGCACCGACATCCTCCACCAGCTACAGGTACCACCGCACCAACCTCCGAAAAGGTTCACGCACCCACCGCTCATGGCGCTCACATACCCAAACTCATAAACTTTACATTTTTGTATTACTATGTAGATTAAGGGGGTCTTCCTATGTGATGGGTTGAAAAAATCGATTTTTTTTTTCATAAATTGCTCCCTTAACATGTCTAGAATACGGTAGTAAAGCGATTTTAGAAAATTCGAAGTCGTTTTAAAGATACAGCAGGTAAAAGAAAGAGCGGTTCGGAGCGGTGAGTTGGCAGTTAGAGACCGGGCCTATTGTGTACCGTCGGCTTTATACCTGGCCTCCCTTTTATTAATATATTTGTTTATACAAGTTTAGACACGTTTCTACAGACTTAAACAGGAAAAGGAGCAGGTAAACTTACTGATAAAGTTATCCAAGAAATTACAAAATTCTACGGATTAGCAATTCGACGCCATCCAGATTCGCTTGAAGATATGAGAAAGGAAGTTTGGGCAACGTACTATCACAAATGTTCTTCTGATGAAAACCCTCAGCATCAATTTTGTCCAGAAGGCGAAGACAGTTGGTGTAAATGGCGTAAGGCTGAAGCTAATAATGAACTGGACCAATTTCATCACGATAAACCACCTCTAATTCCGCAAGTCCAAGAAGCTATCAAACCGGTTTTCGAAGATTTATCGAAAGACGAATTATTAATTCGTTGTTTAGGAGCAGAGACACAAAACAATAACGAATCTTTGAATTCTTTGATTTGGACTTTCGCTCCTAAACATCTTCATTCTGGTCCCAAAGTTGTTGAAATTGCTAGCTACTTAGCAGTTATTATGTTTAATGAAGGTTTTCAAGGTATTTTAAAAGTTATGTCGATTATGGGATGCCCTGTTGGTCGTGAAGCCCAAGCGTATGTTGAGAAACGGGATGAAAAGCGAATCTTACGCTCTGAGCGGCGCGTAAGTGATGTCGTTAAACAAGCCAGGATTGACTCAAGAGCTGAACAATCTGCTTTAAAAGAGTTTCACGAGGAAGAGGAAGGAATACTCTATGGACCAGGCATCGCCGATTGAGAGTAAGTTGATATTTTAATAGTTTTTAACGGACTTGAAACTTTAAACGCGTTTTTCTCAAAACTGTGTTTTTCAAACTTTCCTCCTTTGTATCTCAGAAACGGCTGGACCGAATTACTTGAAATATACAGGGCACACTCAATATATGTAAACGCATGGAATGAACTATTATCAATCGAAAATTTTCAAAACTTCGATTTTTTTATAGCAAAAAACAAAAAAAAAAACGCCTAATTTGCAACTTTTATTTCAAATGTCTATCAAAAATCCAATTTTTTTTATATTCATTTGATTATAGGTCATTCCGTGCTTTTAAGCCTACAAATTAAAACGCCGTTTTTTTTTTTTTTTCAGATAAGCCGATCAGCCGGAATCGTGGAGGAAGTGGGAGCTCTTTTTTTCGAGGCGGGGGTGTTCAGAGCGCTGTAACTCTAGTTTGACTGAATATTTTTAGCTGAAATTTTATATTTATACTGTCCAAATATGTGTTAATAAATGATAAAAAACTTGAAGCTCTAAATATTTACTGGTCGTAGAAAAAAAATCCTAAAATATCCCTGCCGTCACATAGGAAGACCCCATTAAGCCAATTTTGTCCCTACAACTAAAATCATCTTGTATATTTATGAAATTGAGTATTTGGAATACGAAGATTATATATATTTAAGGAATAGAATATAAAAATGATCTCATAGTGAAGTTGGCTCTAGGTGACCAAATGCAAATGGTTCATGTCCAGCTTCAATCGGCCGAACCTCATATACAAGATACTGAAGAAGAAACCGAAAACAGTCAACGACGAAGTTGCTGCGGTTATCAAGGAGAAGTATTTCAGGTAAGTTTGGAACTTGTGTATATACTACAGCACTTTGGAACCGTTTCGCTGTCTTAATTCTAAGTAACAGAACATCGTACCATTATACGGTTCTATTTCAAAAACAGAACATCATTTGGTGTTCTATTTTTGAATCAATCAATTTCTCTTTAGCCAATACCTAATGGCTTTTCTTAATGTCAGTAGCGTTTTTTAATAGCCAGTTCCAATTATTGACTTTGTAATATACTTGACATATGAGAATGCAATACTGCATAATTACAATGTGATGTATGGGATTTACTTGATGATATATTATACAGACAGTCGGGCATCGTGTACTGCCTGTCGCGCAAGGAGTGCGACGAGCTGGCGACGTCGCTGCGGCGCGTGGGGCTGCAGGCGGCCTCCTACCACGCCGGGCTCTCCGACAAGCAGCGCGGGGCCGTGCAGGCCGCCTGGCTCGCGGACAGGCACAAGGTGGTACGTACGGAAACCAGGTGGTACGTACTGGTACGAGGTGGTACGTACCGGCACAAGGTGGTACTTACTGGTACCAGGTGGTACGTACGCAGCCCGCAGCGTGCCAGGCGGCTGTACGTGACGGTGCAGCCGCCTGGCACCATCCATAATAGTCTAAATAAGTAACTTCACCTGTTTCCCCAGATCTGTGCAACGATAGCGTTCGGCATGGGCGTGGACAAGGCGGACGTGCGGTTCGTGATCCACCACAGCCTGCCCAAGTCGGTGGAGGGCTACTACCAGGAGGCGGGCCGCGCCGGCCGGGACGGCGAACCTGCACTCTGCCTGCTCTACTACTCCTATGGCGACGTCGTGCGCTACCGCCGCCTGCTGGCCAGTGAGTAGCAACCCACACTAACGTTGCCTTTTGGCCAATGAGTCTACCTCCACAATACACTAAGTCTCGTAAAACATTGTCATGTCAAACATAACGACACGCAATAACATAACAATAGAAAAAAGAAAAACATATATTAAATCCTTTTTAGTTATTCACAATAGAAATAAACGAAATATAAAACTAAGTATATATATTGTTCACGTTACTAGCGACACGGACGACTTTGTACAAAGTGTGGTGGTGTTGATGTGCACTGGAGCGAAGCCCTATCATTCCGATAGACTAAGGTGTCACTTGTCAAATAATTGTACATCACTAGCAGTAGTGTATATCACTAGAGTAGGGAGCGTGGATTATGTAAAACTGTCATGATGGTTAAGAAATATAATTTAGTAAAATAAAGTGTGATTGTTCATAATAAAATTGAAGTATTATTAATAATATACATAATTGATATCGCTCTGTAATAGTACTACTTTATCACACCATTCAATCGTAACAACGTATAAAGCGCACTGACGGCTTGTAAGTCTCGACGAGCGAGCTGCTTAGCTGCTAGACATGGGTGAGACTGAGGTACCGACATTGTACAAAGTATGGTGGTGTTGGTACAGTGGAACGGAACACGACTGCGGCCGCACGGCGTGTGCACGAGGAGAACCTGGCGCGGATGGTGGAGGTGTGCGACAGTGTGGCCGAGTGTCGCCGCGCGCTAGTGCTCGGCTACCTCGGGGAGCGGTACGACCGCCGACACTGCCTCGCCGCCGCCGCCTGCGACAACTGCCGCGCGCAGCATCGGTTCAAGGTACCCGGTTCTATTCTCCACTCGCCTACCTCGGGGAGCGGTACGACCGCCGACACTGCCTCGCCGCCGCCGCCTGCGACAACTGCCGCGCGCAGCATCGGTTCAAGGTACCCGGTTCTATTCTCCACTCGCCTACCTCGGGGAGCGGTACGACCGCCGACACTGCCTCGCCGCCGCCGCCTGCGACAACTGCCGCGCGCAGCATCGGTTCAAGGTACCCGGTTCTATTCTCCACTCGCCTACCTCGGGGAGCGGTACGACCGCTGCCGTCTGCGACAATTGCCTGTCTTAAATATATATCATTTCCGATTCGTTCATATCCTACTCGAAGGACCAAAAACACTATGAATTACATCTGTATTATTCTACTTAACTGTCGACATTACAAACGTCACATAGACTAAAAAAATGAGCGATGCCTATTCAAAAGGGCTTCAATGTAAGTTTATTTAATTAAATGATTTTCTATTCTATTCTATACTATCAGCCGGTGGACGTGACGGAGGATACGTGTGCGATCGTGAGCTGCGTGCAGTCGTACAGCGCGCGCTACACACTGCTGCAGCTGGCGGACGCGCTGCGAGGCTCTCGACAACAACGGCTCTCCGCGCTCATACAACATCCCATACATGGACGGTATGACGGTTTTTTAAACCACGAAAGTGGTGTAGGTGTGAAAGTGTGTATTGTGTAAAAAATATATTATGTTAAATAATTTATCTTTATATAGTCTTAAAGTCGCTGTCGTCTGTTCACTTATATCTTTTAAATTATGCAACTGATTTTAGCAATAGATAGAGTGATTCAAGATGAAGGTTTATATGTATAATACATGCGTGTTATAATATAGAACAAACCGAGAAATTTTATATTAAATCTGTATAACGTACTAAACGTTATACATGTTACATGTTTTTTGAAACGATGTCACACCTTTTTAGTTGACGCGCTTTTCTGTGTGCCGTGAACTATTTAGCTGATGGCGTTCGATTCTCTCTCTACCCCGTAACGAACTAGCGAGAAAAACAAAGATAGATATAGGAGTTATAGAGCTGGTGTCCCCACAGATGCAAGTCGTGGAACGTGAGCGACGTGCAGCGCCTGCTGCGACACCTGGTGGGGCGCGGACTGCTGCACGAGCGGGTGGTCGTCACCAACGACATGGCCAGCGCCTACCTCCAGCCCGGACCGCACGCGCACAAGTACCACCTCACATCTATATATACATATAACACGGTTTCGATGGTCTAGCGCGTCCAGCACATCGCCTTACTTCTTATAATCGTACGGCACATTTGTAGCATGAATACAATTGTTTGTATCGATCTGGGTGTTCCCTATGTATTTTTTCTATGCATTTGTATCAGTCGTCTAGTACTTATAACACAGCAGTATACATTTAAAGCGAAAATGTTCCATTTAATAAAATAAAGTGGTGTTCTGGTAGAGTGATGTCGGAGGGGCAACGCGTGGTGTTCCCGATGAAGTGTGAGGAGAAGACGAGCGACGACGGCAGTGTGGCGCGCGGCGGAGACACGGGACAGTCTCCCGTACACGCGCTGCTGCAGCGCATACAGGAGCGGTGCTACGCCGACCTGGTGGAGGCCTGCAGGTTAGTGTGCGTGCGTATGTGCGTGCGAGCGTGCGTGCGTGCGTGCGTGCGTGCGTGCGTGCGTGCGTACGTGCGTGAGTGCGTGAGTGCGTGTGCGCGTGCGTGTGTGCGTGCGTGCGTGCGTGCGGACGTGCATGCGTGCGTGCGTGCGAGCGTATGTGGTTGCGTGCGTGCGTGCGTGGTTGCGTGATTGCGAGTGTGCGTGCGTGCGTGCGTGCGAGGGGCGTGGGGTGACGCTGGCGGCGGTGCTGCAGTGTGTGAGTGTATGTATGTATGTGTATGTATACAGGGAGATGGGCGAGGCGCGTGGGGTGACGCTGACGGCGGTGCTGCCGCAGGCTGCTCTGAAGGCGATGAGTTCTCGCCTGCCGGAGACGTCGGAGGCCCTGCTGTCGTTGCCGCACATCACGCGCGCCAACTACGACAAATACGGCGCCGCGCTGCTAAAGATCACCTCCGCTTACGCCATCGAGAAGTTGGGTGAGAGAGCCGTTCAATTTATATATTTATTTTTATTTTATATATTATTTTCTTTACATGTCAATTTAACTTCTTATTTAGGGGTTCTTATGCAGTACCAGGATGAGCTGGAGGCGAAAGAGATAGCCAAAGAGGAATCTGAAGAATCTGAGCCGGAGCCGAGCAGCAGTCGCGGCTCGTCGTCCGCGTCCAGTTCTCGAGCCAGGAAGACCTACCGCGGCGGCGTCAGGAAGAAGTGAGCCCTTTGAACTCCCCAAAAGAACTATAGAATATCATTTACATACCCACGAATATACTTCTCGTCCAATTAATTATTAACCGCCGGGTAATAATTGGTTGCCAAGACCGGACCCAATATAGTGCCTTGGGAGAGACCTAAGTCCATCAATAGACTGATGATAATGCTTCTTCCAAAATGGCAACCCATGAATAGTATCTCGGGATTCACATGATAACGTGATGTCTTTGGTACTGTTATATATACATATATGATAGGCAAATGATAGGCGTTTAAGTTTATACTAATTATTATTAGATAGATAGATAAAATCTTTCTTCGTCTCGAAGATATTACCCTCAAATGCTACAAACAAATATGTCCGAATAAACGTGCGAGAATATTATATAAACACAATACACTTTAACTTACATGTAAAATGAAAACAACGACAATAACAAAAATACTAGGTGCCACAGGGATATAAAGGCTTGAGCTACTCAGTGAACAATTTGCTCAACGAGCAAAACACTTTCAGTAGCAACAAACATTATTACATGTAACATACATCGTTACACTACTAACAAGTGGACTGTCAACATGTTTCACATTCCAGTTCAGTAACAACTTTTTACAGGTACAAACGCAAGCAAACGTCGGCCGCGAAGAAGAAAGCTGTAAGAGGGGCCTGGGGGGCGAGCGGCAGGGGGCGCGGGGGCTACGCAGCCGCTACACGTACGTACACGTTCGCTTTTAATTATATTTATCTATATATAATTTAACTCGTAAATGAACAAGTCTTGAGTCATTGTAAATGCTAGTAGTCTCTACAATCGGCTTCGGTGGTCTGAGAGTTTAGTTTACTACACGTTCGCTTTTAATTATATTTATCTATATATAATTTAACTCGTAAATGAACAAGTCTTGAGTCATTGTAAATGCTAGTAGTCTCGATTATATATTACAATCGGCTTCGGTGGTCTGAGAGTTTAGTTTACTCATAATGGTCGCGGGTTTAAATCTTTTATTCTGGCATATTTAGAACAGACTCTGGCAGTTTGTTTTAAAATCTTACGCAATTCTCATAAGACGAAATACATTATTATTTATTGTCGTAATAAGGATCCGCAATGGACAGACGTGAATAATGCCGGTAAATGCACAGAAATGCCGCACGTTCTTAGAATATAGACATAGAGTCTAGCGTAAATGATACGACACTGGTGATAGGCGCACGTTAACATTCTACTACTATTGAGAACCCTGTCTACTAAAAATAGATCGCTTCAAATCCAAATCTTATCGGATCTGTGAGGAAATCTTTTTGTGGTCACTATTGCATCTTTGTTCCAGCGAGCCCGAGCGGCAGCAAGTTTGTCAACAAGCTCGGGACAATGCCGATACCGCGGACTAACATGGCCAACGCCCGGCCAAACGTAGCCAACACCCGGCCTGGCGTGACCAACACACGACCCGGCGTGTTCAATCCCTCACGTCTCAATCTCATTTAAACTGCATACAGTATTTAATTAGCAATAATTCAATTATTACATCTCCAATATTGTCTTATACCAGCAAGGATCGTTTCATTTGTTTTACTAGTTTTACATTTACATCCATTTTTTTCATTAAACTATTAAGTACGCCCCAAACATAATCTTACATTTTGCAATTGTTTTCGTTCTAATACGGTATAATTATATAGATCAAATTTGTTACAATTTAACAGAGTTTTATTAGTTTTTGTATACCCCGACCAATGGTCCATCGAGCCGGATTCATAAAATGAATATGCGATATTTGCTCGTTTAAGTCTTATTTGTATTTTGTGATGTCCATATTTTTGTATAGGTCAAGGTGCCTATAAGTAGTTGCATAGGTCTTCAATTGCATCTGCAACTGTTACAACAATAAGATATTAGCAATACCTCCAAATGCAGCTGGCTGTGTGATAATAGATTTGTTAATGTCATTGTCATATTGTTATAATTTATTGAATTATCATTATTGTTATTTAAAAGTCTGATGTTATCCATTTTTAGTAGAGACATGCCTTGTTAAGATGTACTGCCATAAATAATTAGTTGTAAATAATGAAATTATATTTTGTACTTTTAATAAAAATGTTTTTTTTTACATGTACTTCACGAATTACTCTGCCAATCATTCCACCAGGTCATCCCTCCTATCCCCCATATCATATCTTTAATTATTGGATACTGCTCCGCCCGCTTCGGCGGCACCGGAGTGCTCATAACTTTGTGTTTTGTTATGTTCTAACATTGCATAAATCTGTATCAATCTGGAATGTTGTACCGTTAAAACAGTGAAAGAATTGCTCAAATCGGTGCAGTGGTTCCATAGTCTACTTGCTCTTGACAAAATACACTGTTTATCTCATAATATTAATACAGATGTTAAACCTTCATGTTTTTTTATTTGAAGAGATCATTATCTGGCTGTTGTGTACGTGACCTAATATATAGTCCTTAAAACTTGTATATATGTACTATGTAGCTATAAATAGGAAGCGCTCTATATGTCTGTCTGTTTATACTTTTAGAAATAAATAAATATCACATGTCATAAATAAATTAAGTAAGTAACGGATTTTGATGTCTGGACCACTATTATATTTATTTTTCTGCTCAATGTTTATGAGTTTATATTCTAATATATGTATATTCCTAATCAGGGCATATACCGTTGTAACTGGTTAATCTATAACCAGAGCAAAACCGGAATAATCTACTAGTTCAGTACACAATAATTTGCATAACCCAAATATCATATGTACAACTAATACCATCAAAAACTCATTAGCAAAGCAGATGCCCTCAAACACCATTGATAACAGTGCGTGCGAAATGTTATTTAAATTACATATTTATGTAATGTTTGTATGCTTTGTATCGAGCAAAACTGACAGTAATTTCTCGCCTACCAACTTATTAACGACCCGGGTCGGACCCTGTCCCGATGTTGGGAATACAGTGGTCTCAGTTTCTGAAATGAGTTTGAGTACGAGGCTCCACGACTCGTCATTGAGTGGCGAAGTGAATATTTCACGAAATATTGAAGATGGTTGGACAGTGAAGGTATTGTTTTTAAATTATTGTATACAAGAGGTTACTCAGCAAGGATATACTAAGTGTTATATATATATTTAGATAGGTATAGAATTGTATTACAGCGATTGCTCTAGATCTGACGGCCGCTTACAATTAATAAATCGTGTGCTTATAGCAGTCATTTGTTTCACTTGTGTCCTATAATACTCAACACTAAGCTGCAAAGAATGAAAGTACTCATGGTAACGAACAACTTTTGTTCTACAACTTTCACCAAAACCATATTATTTGAGATGTAGTTTAATAAAAAAATAAAAGTACGTAGATACATAAACAACTATCAAAAAGTCTTGTACTTTAGGATAACCAGTGCTCATTCCCTATAACAATAGAGTGACAAGGAAAATATATTTATTATTGAGCAGTATTAATTCTTGATAAAAAATTATTAATTTGTATAAAATATACAATATATATAACAAATTCTACGAATACCTGCGTTTTATCTCTCGTATCAGTCTACGATTATATACTAAAAAAGAAAGAAAGCTAAGAATGACGGTTTCCAGGCGCTGATGCAGAAATGTCAGGACATCCGTAACTTGGACACGTGTGACTATTTGAAGTCGTTTCCGGTGATAAAGGACGGCTGCAACCATAACGACGCTGACAGAGTGGAGTTTTATACATTGCTCTTCAACCGATCTCGACCAAGGTGCATTTTAAGACTTAATTTCCCTTTCATAGCATACTATAATATGGTACAACTATGTATTAGGTGTGACGGCCTCATAGCCTAGTGGTTTAGCACGTTGTTTTACTTCCGATGGTCGCGGGTTCGATTCCTTGCACGGTACAATCAATTTTATTCATGAGTATGATTGTTTCGGTCTGAATGTTTTCTATGTACATTTATTGTGCATGTTTTTAAAAAAAAGCTAAGTATTTATATCAGTTTTCTAGTACCCCTAATATAAGCACTGCTTACCTTGGCACTAGATGACGTGTGATTTCTCCAGGGTATTATTATTATCGTTCTAGATAAGAGAATCGTGAGTTTGAATCCTGCCAACACCAAAAATCGTTGTCAATTTATACATCTTAGACCTACAATGAGATTCACTGGCAGTTTTGTATATTCTTTTATCCACATTTAAAATAGACATATTGTTTTTATATAAACTTGCACTCTGCTATATTAAACTAAACTTTTTCTATCATTACTGATTGCTATGTCTGTCTGTCTGTCCTGTACACATACTGCATAATTATGTTATTCGCGCTCCCAGCCGTATACAGACCTGTATCTTGGGGACTACTGAAAATTATATTAGAAATTAAAAAATATTGTAGTAAATAAATAAAAAGTATAAAAAACTGAGAATTAAAATATCAAAATTAATCGATGACACTATACTAGGCTTCCCCTCTGCCACGCTGGAGTCAAATGTACCCAGCTGAATGTGGATATGTTATTTTTGCGTTTACAATTATGTCGACAGTTGACAATGCCTCTAGTCTAGTCACTCCATTTGAGATAACAGTTGTGAAAATTTGTAACAAGGTAACTTTGTTGACAGGAGGGAAGTGGATTGTTAACAATGTGGACTCATGACCCCATTACTAGCAATGTACTATGTCAGGTCGACCTCCACGCGGTTCCCCCTGAAAACCAACGTGATAAATTCCTGGTGAATTTGTCACGATGGGCTAACTGACCTGACCTCATGTTCATCTTATCATCCTCCACTGGTGCCCCGCCAGCGCAGGCGGTTGCTCTATTCGATTATCATCCATAAAAAAAAACTTTGTCGACAGCATTTCATGTCCAATAAAGGCGGGTATTTACAACATAACGGACTACCCTATATTTAATCAAGATAATTACTTAGCCGTGTCAGAGGCGAAGATTTCCACCAGCATCTTTGGGTACACGTTCCGTTTGGAGGGGTTCAGCAAGTCAATAAAGGTTCTTATATAATAATATTAAATTATATTTTGTAATTTTTTTATAGTATTCAACTACAAACAAACTAGCTTTTGGCTCACCTGTTGGTAAGTGATAATTGCTGCCCATAATCACCCGCAACGTCAGGGGAATTGGAATGGCAAGCAATCAGTCGATAAATCTGATGGTTAGTGGTATCCGTCGCCTATATACATCAACAGCACTACGGACACTAGCGTATGTAGTTTTTTTTTCTCCTTTTATTTGTTTCGCTGTTTTTTTTAACGTATATATTTTGATTTATTTTAAATCTTAGGCTCCCGCTGCGATTTGATACAGGGGAAGTTTTCACTGTAGGGATATATAATACATATTTTCTTAATTACACATATATTATACATAAAATATTATATTAAAGTATATAATAGATTTAATACTTAAATATAAAATTTAATCATAAAAAGTTTTCGCTTGTATGTAGTGTACACTTATGTATGTAGTTTGCAACTGCGTTATAAACTAAAGGCACTATCATTTTCTTAATTGGATGGCCTCTTGATACATTCGTACATACACAGGGCAGGGTAAATAAACATGCACCAATAATACATAGAATTTATAATAAGTCCTATGAAAATATCAATATATAGGTAGGTATTTTGACCGATTTCCTTAGACCAAAATGGCGTACACATTAAAATTTGAGCGAACAAAAAAAAAACTACTCGTACCGAAGTCTTAAAATCTGAGTCTTAAACCTAAGCCTTAAAACTACCGGTGTAATAATAATTTTAAAAAAATTCGCCAAGTGTGGCACTACGTTTAGCAAGTTTTTCTTTTTTGGGGATGATAATGAAATGTTGCACCCCCCTGCGTACGGTTTACGCTGGCGGGGCACCAGCGGAGGATGATAAGATGAGTATGAAGGTCAGGTCAGTTAGCCCATCGTGACAAATTCACTAGGAATTTATATAACGATGGTTTCCAGGGGGAACCGCGTGGAGGTCAAACTGACATGGTACATTGCTAGCGATAAGATCATCAATCCACATTACTAACAATCCCCTTTCCCCCACGTTTAGCAAGTTAGGTTCAGCAGTTTAAGTGTACTCGCCCTAGGCTTTAAGGTTGTTGCTCCCGGAGTTGATGCAAGGGCAAAGGGGTTCACCTTCACCTCCTTAGGCGGGTGGAGATGACCAGTGAGTCAGGGTGTAGTAGTATGTATACTACTGGAGGTAGTAGGTTATGTCTACAGACGAGCGTTGCCACTTCCATAGGTGGATTATCATGTTTACCATTTACATACATAAAATTATTCGTTAACTGTTTGTAGATGTTTTGCATAGAAGCTTACCTACAGTTGGTGTACATCAGGGAGCACAATTTTGACCACTTCCGTGACGTTACTACCGACGAGCCTTTCAGTGAAGAGGAGCGAGTGGGGAGTGACGAAAAGTGATTCTCAAGATATTTATCAAGAACACGCTATTAACGTTCTTCAAGGATAATATACAAATATTGAACTAGAGAAAAATATATATATATATATATATAATTTAACCTTCTTATGCGGGTAAAATGTCCCACTATTGTTATTTATTTATGATTATATGAAATTGATTTGAAAAAAATGTATCTATGTATTTATATCAGTAACGCAAGATCTGCATATCCAGAGTCAAAATAGCGTTGAAAAATAATCATAAAATAAAAAAAAACTAAATTATTATATACATTTATTTATTCATCCCATCCCCAGAGACCGTGACTTTCTCTAATCGTCTCCCTATTATCTCTCCTCGCTCTGGTCACCGCGCTCGCTTCTCCTTTAGCAACTGCTTTCTTCCTCTCCATCTTCTGACGGATCTCTAGATTTTTCTTCACCTGTTGCTTCACCACTTCAGGTGCTATCGTACTCGCCGACGTGTATGAGCGCATGGATCTAACATCTGATAGCGCCTTCTCTATCATGGCTAATCGGTACTTCTGCGAATTTCTGTCAAGCTCTGCGATATTCTCTTCTACTACAGGATTATGTCCTTCTGCTGGTACAAGATTGGGTATTTCTTCGTCTTTATCATCGCTTATATTTAGGTTTACGGTTTTATTTGTTATATGTTCAATATGTGATTTTTTTTCGTCACTGTTTATTGATGTATCGACCTGAAAAATTATATAATTTTAGTATACACTAACAATTCAATTAGTTTCTTTTAATTTATATATTTATTTAAGTCTCTGATAATAGTAAGTTACCGCATTCTTGTGATTATCTTTATTGAAGTTATTCTAATTATATTATATTTAATCAATTTTAAAATCACCATATTTCATTAGTAACATTCTCGTTACGATTACAGACAATATTATTAGGCTTAAATGCATTTTTTATATAATCAAGTATTACAATGAAATAACAGTGAAACCCGTATCAAAATATTCAGAAGTTAGTGGTGTAATAAATAGACAGACATAGATATAACTGTTTCATACCATTTAAAGAAGTAAATATATTACCTGTTGCCTCAAAGCAGCCAATTCTTCCTCCGTGTATTGTGTACTCCGTTCTGATTCCTCGTGTTCATTATCAGAGCTGCCTTCATCGTCGCTTACAGCCAGCACAATGCCCATTTCCTATAAATATATTCAATCAATGGAAGAGGCAAAGAAGCTCAGTGTCAATCAGGAAATAATACTCAACCAATAAGTAACCCATGTTGGTTACTCTTTATTAAGGCCAAGCAGATAAAGTCATGAGTGAAACTAGAAAATAGTAAAATTATCATCCATTAAAAATACATGTAAGAACATTTAAAATCTGTCTACAGCTTGTATTATGGGCACTAGACTCTAATAGAATACTTGAATACATTTACAAACATAATATACATAGATAACGGTTTGTACTGTGTAAGGAATGGAACCCGCGACAATCAGAAGTAAAGCGGCGTGCTAAATAGCTATACCACCGAGGTCGTCAAAATCAGTTTTCAAATGTGTCAAGTATTTTTTTGAGTTTATCCATTGCAAGTAAGAAATTATTTTTCGCCTTTTTTATACTACGATGGTGGCAAACAAGCATATCGTTTAATATCCTATCTGATGTTAAACGGTTACCGTAGCCTATGTACGCCTGAAACATCAGGTGTCACGTGCGCGTTGCCGACCCTTGAGAAACTTAATATACCCCACTCGAAAAATACCATGCTGTAGTTTCTCGACAGAACCTCGGCAGATTATTCATTCCACAATCTAAGTGTACGTGGGAGGAAGCTCCTCTGAAACCACACTGTCCGAGATCACTTAGATTCCAGTGTTTAGGGATGAAATCCCTGTCGATGGCGAGCGGTAAGATGGTAAAAGATAGCCGTGGGCATCATGTCGCAACAAAACCTTTACCTCAAGTAATTCGTCGTCGACATCCTTCGCCCGCTTGTACCCCGAGCAGGCGACCTCCGTGTCGAGTTCGTCCTCTCTCTCCAGGTCACTGAACTTCGGGTATGTTTCACTTTCGTATCCGAAACGTTTCTTGAAAAACTCACGGACACACTTCACGTCGCGATCGAAGTATCTGAAATACAAATGTAATATTTAAAGAAAATCAAGAACACATATCAGAAAAACAAATAATAGGGTAGGCCTCCCCCAAAGATCTCCACGACGATCGGTCCTGCGCTGCTCGCATCCAATGACTTCCAGCGATCGTGACCAGATCGTCGGTCCACCTTGCTGGAGGCCTTCCCACGCTGCGTCTTCCGGTCCGTGGTCGCCACTCGAGGACTTTACTGCCCCAACGGCCATCTGTTGGGCGTGTGGTGTCGCCGTAAGAATAGCACCACCCCCTCTCTTCCCGTGGGTGTCGTAAAAGGCGACTAAGGGATTCATCGACCAGTGGACGGGCAGCAGCGTTCTACTGAGTAACTACCATCACACTGCGATCGCCAACCCGCATGCCAAGCGTGGCGATTATGGCAATATCCCCCCAAAGAGATTATTATTTATACAAATAAATAAAATTGAGTTCGTATTTTAAAATTAATAGCTTTTCACTAAATGCATATGAAAGTACAACCGGCACTTATAATATATAAAACATTAATATTACATAACTTTGTCTATCTAGCTAATCTCTGAAACGGTTTGACCTATATTGACGGGACTTTCACTCGCAAATAGCTAATGTTATAAGGTACTCCTTATAACATTAGCTATCTGCGAGTGAAACTTTGTAAGTAAGTGAAGTAAATTAGGGTACTTAGTAGGGTATATTAGAAATTTTATTTATATTAATAAATAAAAATTCCATGTGGATGAACTCCCAGTTAACACTTACTTAATAATAATAACTCTTTATCCTGCACAAAGAAAACAATAGAAAAACAGTATGTAAGAAAGTAAAAACAAAAGGAGGTCTTATCACTATAAGCAATTTCTTATAGACATGGTAGGGTGAAGTTATGTACCTATACACATGTTTTTCCTTTTGCTCTATTAAATTTCAAATTACATTACATTACAGTAGTATTTATATCGAAAGATCAATAGTGAACTTCTGTCAATCAGTGCACCTAGAAAAGTAAATTTTATTCTATTTGCAAATAATGGTAACCAAAATCATGTAATTTTTGGTTCCCACAACCCCTAAAAGCAGTTCTATTCTTGAACCTATTGCACTAGTGGTTGTATTTACTGTACATATGTTGATTATAAAAAATTATATACACTATTATTAATTTATTTGGGTTCTTTTTCAAATTAGTCCAATAGTCTATAGTACACTGCCAGTAAAGATTTATGGTGAACTCACAACTCAGCATTGGGATGTGAAGTGGACACCATTTGTGGGAAGTCAATGATGATGGGGTGGCCGTCCTCGTTAATCATGATGTTGAACTCGTTGAAGTCGCCGTGTATGACGCCGCAGTTGCCGAGTCTGACGATGAGGTTCATCAGCTCGTCGTACAGAGCCTCGGGGTCGTCGACCGATGTCACGTGGGTCCTGAAACATAAATATATTTTGGTATTGTGGTACCTTTTTAATGGATACAGTTATATGCTATATCTATAGAGGTAAACTTTGTATAACAACTTGTATGTGGGACGACCTCTGTGGTCCAGTGGTTTAGCATAACGGGTTATGTCTCATAGCCGCGGGTTCAATTCATAGCACGGTGCAAACATTTGTATTCATGAGTATAATTGTTTGTATCGGCCTGGGTGTTTTCTATGTATATTATGTATATATTTATAAAAAAATATCTAATTATTTATATCAGATGTCTAGTGCCTATAACACAAGCTCTGCTTACCGTGGGACTAGATGGCGCTGTGTTAAATGTCCAGGTTTATTTATTTATTTACAAAAAAAAATGCATCTATGTATTTATATCAATTGTTTCCTACCCATAACAGGAGCTCTGCTCAGCTTTGTGAGTCATCCTAAAAATAGTATATTATTATAAATGTCGGCAATGGCATCTAGCGGTTTAGCCGATGGTCGCGGGTCCGATTCCTCGCATGGTACACACGGTATTTTTATTGTAAGATTGTTTGTATAGGTCTGCGATCTTTTTTTTTTATGTATTTGCAAAAAAAATTATATCTATGTATTTATATAAATTGTTTAGTACCCAAAACAGGCTCTGCTAAGCTTAGGACTGAGTTATTATTATTCTCAGTGAACCGTTTTTGACGTTTATTTTTTTATATCATAGCTTATAATATAGTTCCATATTTATAATAATATCTATATATATATTATAAATGCCAAGCGTTGCATTCTCCACAACATAGACAGCTGAAAGTACCTCTGATTATTCAATGGTGACAGTAGATTGTATGTTGTAGATAACTTACATTGGTCCTCCTCTCACCAGCTCCATCACAACACAATGTCGGTTGAAGTCTATTGGTTTTGGCACTGGGAAGTCTCTGTCGTGTAGTGCCTTCATGTAGGCAAACTCCTTCGTGGCTGAGATCCGGGACAGGTAGAGCCAGGAGGCACGGTTACGGTGCGCGTGATAGTCTCGCTTGCCTTTAATGTTCCGGAAACATGTTCGACCCAGTCTGGAAACATTTATTTATTTAATGGAATAGGTTTCAAGAAATTATGTAGTAGTATATAATACACAAATTTACATATAGATAGATAGATAGGTATATTGTTTATTTGTTTGTTACTAACCTATATATACATACATATAAATAAAATTGGAGTATCTGTTTGTAATGTTGAAATAACCGTTTTTTACAACATGCATATGAATTTTACATATGGTACATACACCAAAATAATATTTTTACAAATTTTGTGTCTGTCTGTTTGTTCCAGCTAATCTCTGTCCGATGCTAGCTAATGGCCCGCTAAAGGACCGATTTTGACGGGCCTTTTTTTGGCAGGTAGCTAATGTAATAAGGAGTAACTTAGGCTACTTTTATTTTAGAAAAATAAAGTTAAATTCCACTTGGACGAAGTCGCGGGAACAGCTAATATGTAATAAAAATGTCTGTCTGTACGTGGAAGATACCTTTATCTACATAATTTTACTTTTCCGGCTAATGTCTGAAATGGCTGGACCGATTTTGATGGGACTTTTACTGGCAGGCAGCTGATATAATAAGGAGTAACTTAGGCTACTTTTATTTAAGTTAAATTCCATGCGGACGAAGTCGCGGGTGCAGCTAGTATTATAATATATGTTAAACAAATATACATATACACTAGAAGAAAGAAATTTTTGAAATTGCTATTAAAAACAGTGCTAGATGCGAGTAGGGTAAAAATTTAGGGTTGTATGTATTTTTTAATGTTACATTATAAAAATAATTAAAAATTGGTCCAAATAATAAACAAAAGTTTGGAGTGGTGGTGGTTTCATACCCTAAATGATAACCCTTATCATTTAGGATATGAAAATAGATAGTAGTCGATTCTCAGTCCTACTGAATAAAATTTCACAAAAATCTGTCAAGCTGTTTGGGAGGAGTATAGTAACTAACATTGTGACATAAGAATTTTATAAAGATTTACATCATACTAAGTGAGTTTTACAGTTTCCCAACATGTTCACTTAGGATGGTTATACACACATCTTATTAATATTATAAATGCGAAAGTTTGTGAGTATGGATGCATGTTTGTTACTCTTTCACACAGAAACTACTAAACTGGAACTTCAAGGTTGCTATTACCTGTGCAGCTTTAAGCATAATGGGTTACGATCTTCATCAGCTACTGTGTAAATATTTGATTCCTTGCCAACTCCAATCTGATTACCGAATGAAGCAATAACTTTCCTGTTTGTGAGGGCTTTGAGTGCGAGGTAGTCATAACCACTGTTTGTGAGCCTATAACCATCATCTGAAGACAAATTAATTAACATGCTATTAACACATTAAAGACCGCATGCCCACCAGTGGGTCACTCTGCAATAAAGTAAATTTACATATTGGGACTGGGAGATCACCCGTGGGCTCTTTAATTGAAATATAGGGTTAAATAATATCTACCTTAAATTATTGTACACTAAAACATATTATAAAATTATATATGTAATTAAGAATAAAAAAAATCATATGTGAGAAATAACATTATTTTATGTGGTCTTTAACATGTTAAGAATTTATATTCTCCTCTGGATCTTCTTTTTCTTCTTTATTTTAAATGGCTGCCACCAGTTTTAATCTGTGATTTTGCCAATGTTATGGTTTCAGAGACCCTATAATTTTCTTTGAGATGTAACAACAAAAGACACATTGGAAATGACATTGGAGTCCAAAAAAAATTATGGAAAAGTAAAATTCCGTGTATATAACAATAATATATAGCCCATATGCCACTCTGGAATAACATACCAGTTACTTTTATAATTTCAAATTATGGAAGAATTTCTCAATCTGTGAAAAGGTTCCTGAATTTAAGTTCCTCATAACAAAAACCGCCCTCTCTCGTTATAATGTTAGTGTATTTATAAGATAACAGTGTGATATTTATATGTACTCACAGTGTTTTCCTCGTTCGTAGGTTAGGAGTCGATGTTTACACAATTCCTTCATTAATTTGTGAACTCCGCCATGTCGGAGATTGGCAATAGAGGCTACCAGCGCTCCGGGTACTAATTCATGATTTTTCATACCCATTTCCACCTGGAAAGGAAAGAAACGTTCTAAATGCAGATTATAACCTATATTGATATTAATCATTCAACTTTGTGTATTCAATAATTAACTTACCGCAGTTAGAACACGAAAGTCCTCACTGGTCAAGTACCGTAAAATAATAACGTCTAGTTTACCCATATTTGATTACAAATTAATAATATAATTCCTAAATCTTAACAAAACACAACATTTCAGCTGGCAAAAATTTTATAAAGAAAGCAGAGTTAAAAAAAAAAAATATAAATGTCATTCAGACAAACTACTGACAGCTTTATATTAACTGAATGACTTCCGCGCAAAATACCGATTTCATGAAAAACACGCAGATATTTAGGCTTTATGAGTGCAGTTCTCTTTGCCTTTGCTTTAAAGAACTACTTTTAAGATTAAAAAAATGTTATATTTTTTGTTTTGCTTATATATTGTACTTTAAAGGAAAGGCAAGAGAAACTGTGCCCAAACAGCTATGTGTACATATTTTAAATTTCTTAATTTATTTTTTATTTTTTGTGTGTGCATTTTACAATTACATTACCTCAATTCAATATTGAGGTAATGTAAATGTAAAATGCAAAAATTGTTCTTAAGTTTCTTAAGAATCCATAATGAGAGACTGGGATAATGGGACTAGGAAAATTTATAAGAATAAGTTTTCTGAATATTTAAATATATTTTTTTTATATAAAGTTCAAAACAAGTAAAAGATTGGGCGTTATTAAATTTGTTTTTTTTAATATCGAACTTAAAAACTGTATTCCGATCCAAAACCAAATCATGTGCATAAAAAAAGTTGCTAGAGTCTAAATTAAACAAAAATTGCCCAGTACAATGTTATGATGAGTAAATATTTCTTATTCTATTCTTAAATCCTACTTCGCAAGAAAAAAGCATAAATCGAATGTAACATTTTAATTGTTAGGATGTATAATAATTTTCATGGCGGCACCACTCTCGGCGAGTTCCAAGGCTTCTTTAGACTTGGCCAGCGGGAAATGGTGCGTGATGAATGCTTTCAAGTTGATGCTTCCGCTTGAAACCGCAGCCAGCGCTGCCGGGTACCTAGCGAAATATACCAACATTAACACCCTTCATAAAAACTAAAGTACATGATTATCGTCGTCGTCGATCTCTTATTGTATTAATTTACTGGTAAAGGCTTTAACAGAATAGCAGAAAGGGTGGACTCACTGCCCCCACTGAGTTAAAGACCGTTTTGTCTCCTTCATTGCTTTTAAATTTTATTATTGTATGGCCAAAAATTGTATTAGTTTTTGTTTGAGACAAATAAAGATGATGATGATGATGATTATTATTATTATTACTTTCTTCAATTATAATAAAATGTCAAAATACTCAATATTTTGACATTTTATTATAATTGAAGAAAGTCATATTAATATTTTTTCCGTACCGTCAAATTCAGTATACAGATTCATTTTTATTTATTTAAGTGTGTTTATTTACTTTGTGATATGAATCTGTTACAATTAAGAATTTTCCACAACTGCGTTACATAATATAGATATAGACTGTATACATACGTGTTACATATCCTGTAGGAACCTCTGATGTCCACTTCCCGCAACATCGCGTTAGAGAGTGGCAGCTCCACTGTCTTACCACCGATACCAACCACCACAACCACGCCACATGTTCTAGTAACCTGACGATTTACGTTAAATATTTTTAATTATGTTTATATCTCTCCCAGTCAACCTTTGGGATGACTGGGAGAGATGCTGCACCAATTCCCGCGTCCTTAAATCGTGACTGCTTTAGCGCTTTTTTATAATAATGAATTCCAAAATGGCGGACACCTAATGAATATCATGAAGCAATATTTGCTTTATGACATGCATTTTCGTATTCTGTGGCATAAAAACACGCGAATGTGAAATGACGTGAAAATACACGCTATCAAGTGAACAAAGAAAAAATAAAATACAATCACTCACGATTACGAGCGCTGGCTTTCCCGCGCTAAATCGCGCGCTCTTGATCTTGATCGCGCGTGAAAGAACGTGTTGTGTAAAGGCTTAATGGGCCTGACTTACATTATGGGCATTTTGTCCATCCCACTTACCAGTAACGCAACTCTCTGTGCGTTGGGGTAACCACAGGCGTCTATGGTGATATTAGGCCTACTACCCAGTATCGTAACAATCTTATCCACTGTTTGTTCGTCGGACCAATTCTTCTCAATACAGAGTGTGTAGTTAACACCCATACTCTTCGCCGTGTCTAAACGAGACTGCACCACATCTGAAAAAGTCTGCATTGTTATGTTTGTACTACTGGCAGAGTAGTATTTAACTTTTAGCTTGAAAGGTAATACTGTGGGAGTGAAATTACAAGTTACGAATGGACATAATAACTTAATCTTCAGGAAAAGTGACTACTCTTAGCCATGTATTTAGTGAGATATTTATAAAAGTATTTTAGATAATTTCGTTCACAGTTATATAAAAAAATCTTTAACAAAAACAGTTCACAGAAATTGTATTTTATTAGACAGCACTGTGAAGTGGATTTCAGGATTTCAAGAAATCACCAAGTTATTGAAAATAATTGGTAATAATATTTATTTCAGCCGCATATTCAGTTAAAATTTCATTTCGAAGTGTTTCCATCACTGGATCATCCATTATTCATAAATATAAAGAGATTCTATTCTATTCTATTCTATTCTATTCTATTCTATCCAGATTTGAAAGACTCTGTTACTGACCTATACTTACACTCAATAACTCACTACCAAGATACTACAGAGGACCAACAAATAAAGAAGCGACAACTCATCACAAATAACGGTACACTTGAGGAAATACCCGTGATGCTATATAAGATTGATTAAAATACCTGTTATCAGTATTTTGGTGGCTCCCATAGCTTTAGCAGTCAAGGCACATAGAACACCAATGGGCCCTGCCCCTAATATGACCACCTCCGACCCCAATCTGATGTCTGCCCTGTTGCACGCGTGAATAGCAATGGCAAGAGGTTGTATAGCCGCTCCCTCTTCCATCGATATATTATTTGGAAGTCTACATAAAAAGTAAAATACAAGTCATCAACAATTGAACTCTTGTATTGTTGCTTTTGAGGTAATCGCTCTCGGAATTGAATGCTGTGGTAAAGGGGATCGCCACGGGGCAACCACCTCTATTCTCCTCAAAAGAAGATCATATTGACATAATGTGAAATTACATGTTCCATGGAGAAGAACAGCCCTGGCCAACCAGGTTCCTATTACTTTCGCATTGAGTCTACTCAACATATAATTTAATGAATTTTAGCAGAATGGTCACGGATTCGTCTCCTCGCATGGTACAAAGTTTTGTAGTCATGAGTATGATTGTTTGTATCGATCTGGGTGTTTTCTATGTACTATATATTAAGTATGTATTTACAAAAAAAATATATATGTATTATATCAACTGTTGTCTAGTAACCATAACACAAACTCTGCTTAGCTTGACTTGATAGCGGTGCGAGAATTGTCCTGATGTTGAAATAATAATATCTCAGGACAATTCACATAGCGCCATCTAGTCCCAAGCTAAAAACTATTATCAAACTTTACATTACTTGTGCAAGAAGTGGGCCTCGTGTTTGTAGTAGCGGGTGAGATTCCCATGGGTGTGCGTGGTGCAGCAGTAGCGCGGCTGCGAGCACAGGTTGTACTTGCCCAGCTTGCACAGGTCACAGGTGCGGCACGGCTGTGTTGGCTCGATGGCCACTCGATCGCCTACCTTCAAATTCTCCACTTTGGCGCCAATCTGGATATTTTACAATAGGATTGGATTAAGTAGTCGGGAAACTATGGAGACGCACCAGAGAATTGACTACTTAGTTGTTATACTTGATGGCCTCGGTAGTCTAGCGGTTTAACACACCGCTTCCTTCTTCCGATGATCGCGGGTTCGATTCCTCGCACGGTGCAAACATTTGTAACATGGGTTTTTTACACATGATATGTATGTATTTACAAAAAAAATATCTACAGTCTTTAATCGTACCTTGATAACGACTCCGGCGCCCTCATGCCCCATGACCAGGGGTTGAATGACCTGCTCAGATCCGCATTTCCCGTCGGTATAAAACTTCACATCTGATCCGCAGATTCCCACGGAGTCTACCTTCACCAGCACCTCTGTACACATTTTTTACTGTAACTCTTTGAATGCAATAGGTACAACCTCACGTGATGAAAGACATGTGGTAGTAGAGAGCATCGACTTTGTCGTTCAACTTTTACATTATTCGTGTTAAAATAGTACCTTTAGAAATAGAAATAATCTTTATTCAAATAAACTCATTGCAGCACTTTTGAATAGTTATATTTTTGATTCTACCACCCATTCGCAATGCAGATTCATCAAAAGAAGAATGGGCAAGAAACTTGTGTGTTGCCCTTTTGAATAGATGTTTTTTGTATATATAAATAATTACAGTAAACATATTTAAATAATTTCATAACAAACCGCATCGGTGATCTAATGATTTAGCTCATAGCTTTAATTCCGATAGTCGCTTTCTTTCCGGGTTCTGACCCCTGATAAACATGTGTTGTATTCATCAGTTTTTTGTATCAGTCAGGTCGTGTCTGTGTTTTGTATGTATATTATTTATGCATTTATAAAAAATAAGTGTAGGTATTGTTTATCAGTTGATTATTACTCATAACTAGTCATAACACAGCTCTGCTTAGGTTGAGACTAGATGGCGCTGTGTGAACTGTTGAGATATTATTATATTGGGTTTCCCTACATAAATAATCTTTAGTTCATCCACTTGAGTATCATTTATGTGATAAAAATCTATTTTTGTACCAAAAATAATTGAAATTGTACATTTCTTGAAATTATGTAGATTGTTTCAGGCACATACCTATATCGTTTATATCCGGCATAGGCCATTGTACCTGAAAGAAAAAAAAGGTAAATAACTGCAATAATTACATCTTCTAGCATTTCTACTGCAGCCCCTGAATCCAGCTTCTACATGCCTCTTGAACATTAGTAATAAAAGCACAAAATGTCGTTAAACTTACTTTTCATCGATTTGTCTTATTAAATTACACCATCCAATTAAGATTTTTAAGTAATACATTAAACAAAATGCTACATATAATAGAATAAAAATAAACTTCATTTAAAGTAGGTACTTTTGAATAGATTTTTTTTTATTTTGTCGCTTATTCAGAAGAGCAGATTAAAACACTAAGAATGAGCAAGGTAAGGTGATATAAAAAAATTACGTACATAATTAGCAAAAACAACTAATAAATATCTTTTGACAATGACTTATTACTATTATTATTGTAATAAAAATTAATTATTACTTACCACCCTAAGATCACGGGGCCCATAAAGCACGGCGGCGTAGTTTTCCGTCATTGAAATTAATTAAAATATTTATGTATATATTACAGATTGAACAAATAATCAATGAATTGTTTTATAAGCGATATGATTGTTACGCGCGTGAGGGTTCAGATTGCATAATCATTTGACCTCTGCATGTAACTGATATAAAATTACATAAAAGTCTATCAAATATTTATAACTATAAGTAACCCTCGGATTCATTTGCCGCGGCGCCCGTTTATTAAACGATATAGCGGTCACACTCGTCCACCGACCAAACCCATCTCATTACCGACTGTGGATTGGTAGCAAATCAATCTTGTATATATTAACATACAAGCTGTGCCCGCGGTTTTACCTGCTTGAAATTTATGGCCTATATGTTATTTTGATATATAAGATATATTACTGTAAAGTTTCATCAAAATCCGTTCAGTAGTGTTTGCGTGAAAGAGTAACAAACATCCATTCGTACTTACAAACTTTTGCATTTGTAATATTACTAGCTGTGCCTGCGGTTTCACTCGCATTAAATTTATAGCCTATATGTTACTCTGATGTTATTACTGCAAAGTTTCATAAAAATTCGTTTAGTAGTTTTTGCGTGAAAGAGTAACAAACATCCATCGGTACTCACAAAATTTCGCGTTTATAATATTAGTAAGAAGTAAGGATTGTGTATGTAACTGTATTTTCGTGAGAGGAACATTAAACAATCCCCTACCCCCTCAATACGCCCATTTGATATGTCGTCAAATATTTTAATATATGTCCGCGTAGGTAGGTAATATTATACTTAAACAGTTTGGTTCAGAAAATGAAATAGAAATAGAAATAATCTTTATTCAAATAAACTCATTACAAGCACTTTTGAATAGTCATATTTCGATTCTACCACTCATTTGGAATGCAGATTCATTACAAGAAGAATGAGCAAGAAACTTGTGTGTTGCTCTTTTGAATAGATGTTTTTTTATGTAAATAATTACAGTATAACAAGTAAGAGGCATGCGATAAATCAACATATAAATCGCTACGCACTCATTATTAGTGTAATCAAATAATATTGTCAGCGCTATGAATTTTAAATTTTTCTACAAAAACACTATTTTCGTTAACGAACTCTTCAATTTTATAGTAAGCTTTTTTATTTGACATAGAAATCTTTTTTCTGGCAGATTTATAACAGACTCTGGTATTTTATTGTAAAACCTTACGCAATTGCCAAAAACGAATTACTAACTTTAGCCAAACGACATTTAGGTAAAATCAGTTTGTTATTGTTACGTAAGCTTTTATTAGTGCAATCACTAACTCTTTTGAGAACTGTCTATATTCTCCCTGGCATAGATGATATTTTCATAAATGTATTGAGAAGCAACGGTGAGGATATTTGATTCCTTAAAATGAAAGACATAATTGAAAAAATAATTTTATAATCTTTATTTTAATATGCAATAAATCATATTTACAATTTGTATATTGTATTTTAATTGGTATCATTAACAAATGATGCTCATAACTATATTGGTAGTTTATTTGTTCCGTCCTTCCTACTCTTTAATACGATAAATAATTTCTTATTTTAAGAAATCTTATACAGAACGCTAAATGGTAGTGAAATAAAAATGAGACAAAATAAACATAATTTCATGTTTATCTGATAATATATTGAACTAAATTACATATATAATATGAGTCTGTTACAAACAAATATTTTTTTATAATTTTACCCTGTTTGAAATTAAAAATATAGGCCTAGAGAAAGAAGATTCAACTTTATGTGCAAGTAATAGAATTTACTTTGAATGAACTTCAGGGTTTAATCAAGTAATGCCGTTTGCAGTAATTCTCAATTTGTAATGGATTTTAAAATATATCTACAGTTATACAATTGGTAGAAGCCATTTAGAAATTGCAGTAAATCGGCCATACAAAATTAAAATGAGAATTGTCAGCATTTATAGCATCAGCGTTACGTAATTTAGGCCGGATTTCACCAATCGCAGTATAAACTAAGTTCAAGGAAACTGAGTTCAGCGTAAACTAGTTTAAAGATCTACGTTGATCTCGTTTTACTTTAAATGAAATTCACCAGAATTATATAGATCGTGTTTACCAAAACCAAGTTTAGATTTTCATTCGTTTACAGTGTTACACGCTCATAAAATAATATTTGATGCAATGGGTAATTTAACTAAAATAGTTTTAAGAAATATTTGAAATTCAATCATGTGATAACTATACGTAAGTACGTAATAAGTACTGTTAACTATAAAATATATAGCAATAACCTTCAGCTATAAACACGGTAATATTTTACCTTTATTGAAGATTTTTTTATAGTTATTCTCGATAATTTATTGTCAAAAATTTGATTGATGACTATTTGACAAGTGACAGCTGCTTTAAATCGTTTAAGGTTTTCAAATTATCCGCAGGAAATCGGGCTTCAGAAAACTTAGCGAAAACTAAGTTCATATTGTAGCGGTGAAATGCAAAATGAAGTTTCACACTCGTTTAAACGTTTGAACTGAGTTCAGTTCGAAGTAAACGCGATTATTTTCTTTGGTGAAATTGGGCCTTAGTCTCTTAGTATATTTTTTTATACATTACATTCCATAATGTTAAAAAAGGTTATCTATAATTTGATATTTGAGTTGGAACTTTACTATAGCAAATCACTAGAACTTATTCGGGTTGTTAGCGTCTCTGGGTTGAACGTGAATCATGACTTTGATCCCTGTACCCCGGCGGGCGATCTCGTACGCTTCTAAGGTCTCCTCTATGTCGAAGTGGTGGCTCACCAGTGGTTTCACGTTCACTTGACCAGTCGCCACCATGGACAGCGCGATCGGGTACCTGTATTAATTTTTTTTTAATACCGAATAGTAATAATATAATAGAATTTGTGAATAATCGTCTGTGTTACCTACGTTTTTACGAAGCCTTGATCATTTAAGATGTGTTTCAGTCTTAAGGGATTCGGGAAGTCGTAGTGAAATTATGGATAAGAGGCATGCCTTCTTATTCCTCAGGAATACTAATGTATGAGTGGTCACAGTAGTCACATTAGAATGTTCTATTATTATTTTCACGACTTTGGTAGTTTAGCCGTTTAGCAAATCGCTTTACTATAAATGTTCGCAGGCTCGATTCCTCGCATAATGCAAACATTCGTATTCCTGTTTTGGTCTGGATGTTTTCTATGTATATTACATATGTATTTACAAAAAATATATATTCAAGTAGGTATTCTATCAGTTGTCCACTACCCATAACATCAATTCTGCTTAGCTCGGGACTATATGGCGCTGTGTGAATTGTCCTAGGTTATTATTATTATTATTAGATGGGCTGTCAGTTTGTTTCTCAAACCAAAAAGATTCTTCTAACAATAACAAACACTACAAAAGTAATTGCGAAATCGGTCTAGCCGTTCACGCGTGATGCCGTAACCAAAGATTCTGTTCGGTGACAAGTCAATACTAGGCTTCCAAGCTATATCGGAACATTATTGCCTGATGGTACCTCGTTTAGAGGGAGAACAATATACAATAAACAAGAGAATAACATTCGGAATTTGTTCACTATATGTAATATTATATTATCTGTGCTAATAGAGAAGGACATAACGCTTCTAGTAGTGATAGTCAGGTTTCTGCACTGAATATTTGTGGTCTCACACATGCTAATGGTAGCGGCATTAAACAAAATAAAAATAATCTCAGGACAATTTACACAGCATCACCTAGACCCAAGTTAAGCTAGCTAAAGCTTGTGTTATCGGTCATAGATAAATGTGAATCATTATACATCATACATAGATTTTTTTTCGTAAATACATTCATATTATACATACAAAACACCTAGACCGATACAAACAATCACTCATTTATATAAATTTTTGTCCGTGCGACGAACGGAACCTGCGACCATCGGTAGTAAGGCGGTGTGCCACATCGCTAGACCACAGGCCATCATAATATAATATAAATTAATTAAATGATAACTATATACTAACTCGTTGACGTATCTGAAGATACCCTTGATGTCGACTTCCCTGGCGACCGCCGCTGCCAGTGGTAGAGTCAATTCTGATGCTCCCATACCAACTATTACAACCGTACCACCAGACTTGGTCGCCTGTGAACATATTTTTAATATTAAAAAAAATATACAGGAGGTATATACACTAAATACCAATCACACGTTTGACTATTACGGTAAACTTTGCATATCTACAAACTGGGAATTTCTTTTTATCTGCGACGAAAAATTTACACTCGATCTGAATGTGTAGTTTTGTATTAATTAATTTAATTTAAACTCCTCATTTATCTCTAGAAAAACCGTTTATTTAGTAAATCTATTTTTAGTACACACTCAATGCTCTATGGGACCGGAGTCGCCATAGACTATATCCATATATTCTTTTAAGTCGTTTTTCACTAATACATTACATTACACACTGAATGGCTCCAAATCCAATAAGTATTCTACCGATTTTAGCTCAAATGGATTAGAGTTCAAATTCAACATTCTATATTTGTATAACACAAATTTTAGTATATGCCATGCCATATGCATAAAAATCCAATATGGGTGTAGATACAATAATGCTCGGAATTTGATCACTAATGAAGAAGGTCGTTACGCTTCTAGTAGCGGTGGTCAGGTTTCCGCACTGAGCATTTTTGGTCTTACACATTCTAATAGTAGCGTATAAATCAAATAAGGATTGAAATGGACTAACAGAAATTAACACTTAATATAATTAGAGAAAGGGGGGGGGGGAGGGGGTAGTGATTGGGTTTACGGAACCGATTTTAAAAATTCTTTTGGTGTTGGATAGTCCATTTATCGATGAAGGCTATCGGCATAACATCATCTTACCAATAAGAGCCTAGCTGCAATGAAAAATGTAGCAAAAAAACGAGGAAAAGGTCACGCAGAAGAAGTTTCACAGATTAAGTAGTAAAAAATAAATGATCTGAGAATTCTGAGACTTAAAAAGTGAGACAACTAAAAATACTTCAAAGAAATAATTTTAAGGAAATAATGAATATGAAACTGACCAGTAAAGACAATCGAGTGGTGGCCGATACACCGCACGCGTCAACAGAAACATCAGGGTGATTTCCAAGCAACTCGTGCACTTTCTTCACTAGGTCAGCCTCGTTGGAGTCCTGTTTGACCAGGAGGGTTGCGTCGGCGCCCATCTTCTTTGCGAAGTCTAACCGTGACTGAAGAACATCTGCAATAGACGATTGGATATCAAAAGATCAACATTTATATATGAATATATAAGGTGGGTGGACCATGAACGACTATGCTTTTTGTATGGCTAATTACCAAAAAGTCGTAATTCTAATAATTTACCTAATATTATAATTTATTATATTAGCATCATGTTCCATGGTCAACCTACCTATATGAATTTCGACTGTTGAAAACTCTAACAAAAATAAGAACTAAAACTTTTAAGTATTTTATTTTATAATTTTCAAATAGAGAACTATGTTTGTTGTGTGTTTTTTCTTCATACTATTTTATACCACTGATTATACAATAATATTCAAAATATTGTAAAATTTAATTACAAATACGATTCAGTACTTTTAATAGTTTTCTTGTATCATATCGGCCTCTTTGATCTCTAACAATTTTTTATTATTTCTTTCAATTATAGCGCGTTGTTACAAAATGGCATATAAATTTATACCATTCAGTTTGATATTTTAAAAACAGACATATATGGTCATAACATCCGAATGTAACATGGGCTTTAGATATTGTTTTACTATTTGAACAGCTTTGAAAAACAGGCTGAGCTTATTATTCACTCATAGTTTATTCCATGTGAGTATGTTGAACAATATTGTACCAAAGTATTATTGAAATGCGAGCCATTCGTCTGAACATCCAACATTCCAGCTATCGAAAGTGAGTGACATACAACACAGCAACACATTTCCCATTTTGCGAATCTTGTTATATGTATTTATTTAATTATGGATACGTATCTTGAGATGTCAACTGTTTGACCTTGTAAAGAAATAGCCAAATATAAATAAACTTCGGCATCACCAACAAAATCAGGTGCGACATTACATTCTGGCTCGAGATTTATTATACTCGTATAACTATAAAACGCGCGTCTAAAAAGATGACACATTCTTGAGAAAAGGTACTAATTACTTAATGGATTTATATTATTTTGTCTAATTCTGCTATCATTATCAAGTCAGACACTACAAATATTCAGACATCTATTCAGTTTGAAAACTTAAACACCATTATTGGAAACGTTACGACCTTCTTTATTGGTGATGAATTTCCGACCATTAGGTATTGAGTCTACACCCATATTGCGACACGTGTTTCGCCTCTGAACTAGGCATCATCAGGCATTGAATAGACTTCGGATATAACTTGGAAATCTAGTGTTGACCGTTCGACACTGTTTGGTCGCAGAGATTTAGCGTTGGTTAGGTTTCAAAATTGAATATTTGCGTTCTCACACATACTAATGGTAGCGTAATTAATAGATTAGAACATACCTGTAATGAGAACTTTGCTAGCACCCATAGCTTTGGCAGTTAATAATATCATGAGTCCTATTGGACCGGCACCGAGTACCAGTACGTTGTCTCCAGCAGTCACTTTTCCACGGCGGCAAGCGTGGACTCCAACTGACAAGGGCTCCAGAAGAGCGCCTTCTTCCATAGTAACATGATCGGGGAGTCTGTAATAATTTGTTTGCATCATGTTTAGGTGGAGGCCTTCCCACGCAGCGTGGGAAGGCCTCCAGCAAGGTGGACCGACGATCTGGTCAAGATCGCGGGAAGGCATTGGATACGAGCAGCGCAGGACCGATCGTCGTGGAGATCTTTGGGGAGGCCTATGTCCAGCAGTGGACGTCTTCCAGGCTGCGATGATGATGATGATGATGATGTTTAGGTTTTACCAGAAATTAAAATAGGTACCGCGCATATCCTATACTTTCTAACAGAAACATTTTATTTATTTCTAGACGTTGTCTAAAAGTTATAGTTAGAAACTTTTTTAATGATGATCATTTCTTTGTCTACGCTGCCGTGGCACCAGTGAGAGAGGATTCAAAGAGAAAGACTGGGGAATTCAAAAATAACTGTGTACTGGTGTACTGGACAGAATGACCCTATATTTCTAGCAATGAGATTTTATAAACTATTCTAAAGCTGTTGAAGTAGCTGGCCTTTACAGCTTGGTCGAAGGATGAGATGCTAGTGCATATAGCATTTCAAACTCGCGGAAGAACTTATGAAGCTTTTGCAGGCCAATTCCTACCTGATGGATATACGACTTTAGGCTGAGCATTTCTATCCTTTTTAATTAAATGAATACCTATAATGTTTATAGGCCATGTTTACCATTTTCCATCAGGTGGTTTATCATGTACGTTATTATTAGAGCTAGAAAGGTACTATACTTGTAACAGAAGTCTGCGGCATGCTTGTAATATCTGACGAGGTTCCCGTGTACCGGCGGCGTAGCGCAGAAGATGATGTCCGGACAAAGGTGGTAGCGTCCCGTCTTGCAGAACTCGCAGTACCGACACGGGACGCCAGGCTCAATTGCTACCCGATCGCCCACCTTCAAACTCTTCACTTTAGAGCCGAGCTGTAACATTGAAGCATTTGCTATAAAGTGAAATGGTCTTATTATTAAAAACACGATCGAATGAGGTTCACAAGAAATTATAATTCTTCTGAAACATGTAAATTAACGTTAGTCGCGAAACTTTGTGAGTATAGACGTTTCTTACTCTTTTACGCAAAAACTACTGAACGGATTTTGATGAAACTTTACAATAAAATAGCTTATGCATCGGAATAACACATAGATTATATTTTATATAGAAATTTAACGCGGGTGAAACCACGGGCACTGCTAGTTATGTTGTAATTTGAAGTTAAGAATTGTGTTCGTAAAGTAAAAGGATCTGAAATTAATTTTATTAACGTATTTGTCCAAGAATGAAAATCTGTTTTTACAATCTAGTGAGTTCGCTTTAGAAAATATGTTTTATTGTAAATTAAAGTTCATTCTAAATTACATAATATAACATAAGGTAATTAAATTTTAAATCTACTAAATACATAGAATCTAGAGAGTTCGCTTTTTAATAAAATGTCAATAAAATATGAAACTATTTTACTTTCAATATAATGTCTTTTACACACATATATCAATAGAGTATACTTAATTGCTGTAGTTTAAACATTGTATGATATGGATCATAGTTTTTATGGATCTGTTTTTGTGATTATTTCGCTCATAAAAACTAACTTTTACTACTGTAGTTTAGAACAGTCTTGTATTGACGTTACATCTGATTAAATACATATAATAACTTACAAATATAATAAACAGTGTATATATCTATATCAGTATATAATAATAACATGTAATATATTATGTAATCGTTGATAAGTATCTATTGACACAACATATTTTTTTTCAAGCACATTATAATTGATATTATTTTGCTGCAATTGTATAATTTGAACTTTATGATAAATTGATAGCCTTGTGCGTCTGTGCGTACTGACCAATAAATACGAGTACATAAGTATTTACTTATCAAATAATATTGGTAAACTATAGCTGATATCTTATGAGATGTTACCTACCTACGTTAAATCATAGAAAAAATATAGTTACCTAAACCTATTTTTTGTTTCATATTATGTTCAAATTACAATGACAGCCTCGGTGATCTAGTGGTTTAGCAGACCTCTGTTGATAATATTGGCTGGAAAGGTCATAGACAGTTTATATATATTTTTGACATTGATTCAAAACTTTTCTTACTTCTTTGCTTTCCATCTTTCTAACAACCTCTCCTCACCTCAGTCTCTACCGATGACTTACTTTTGCAACTACTCCGGAAGCCTCGTGCCCCATGATCATGGGCTCTTTGAGGACGAAGTGTCCGCAGTGACCGGTTTGCCAGTAGTGAACATCAGAGCCGCAGATTCCAACGCAGTCCATTCGCAGCAGAACCTCTGCACAGATAGAATATTGGATTAAAAATTAAAAAGTTAGTAGATTAAAAAATAATAATGGATGATTCGATTTGACCACAGATAATAAAAATTACGTACATAAAAAAAATAGTAAGGTTAAGATAAATAATAATGAAAGTTTTGAACAGCGTCATGGTCTCAATGAGAGATTACACTATGGGCAGACATCAATATCATTACATAGTATAAAGCAAAGTCGCTGTCGCAGTCTGTCCGTCCCTATGTATGCTTAAATCTTTAAAACTATGCAACGGAGTGATTCAAAAGGTAGGTTTATATATACAATAAATGTGCACGCGTGCGAATCCGGGCGAGTAGTTGTACGGTTATAATTTTTTTTTTTTACGAATTTTCGATGATAGAAAACAACAACTGATTGCCTGTGAGGAATAGAACTCGCGCCCAACGAAAGTAAGGGATACCCCTTACTTTCCTGGGTCGCGGGTACGCGTTTCGCAGATCGCGGTCGCTAAACCGCTTGAACAAGAGGTCTTTTCAGATAAAATTATACAAGATTGTACCTACAAGTTGACAATGCCTCTACCTACCTCATCTGGGATTATAGTCGTGAGCATATTTATTATTTGATAATTAATTTATTTTCCTTTACCATTCTATATTTTTTAATTCAAAATACTGATAGCTTGTTTACGAGTAGCGTGTATTTACGATATTGTGTAACTGGTGTTGATAACAAAAAAAACATGTTATTTATTACACCACTAGTTGAACCCGCGGCGACTTACGACAATACACAAGTGAAAACGTCACAAATTGGTTAAGCTGTTACTGATATTAGCGTGTACAAACAGACATAAATAAATCTTAATAATATTATAAACACGAAAGTTTGTGAGTATGGATGGATGTTTGTTACTCTTTCACGCAAAAACTACTGAATGGATTTTGATAAAACTTTACAGTTCAGTAATAACACATAGGCTGTAATTTAAAAAGATAAAATGTAAATTGAGTATGTGTAACCACAGATAGTATAATATTACATAGTGTAATGTAGACGAAGTTGCACGGGTCAACTAGTAAATAATAAAAAAATATCCCTGCACAATTAACACCCGCCATCAAGTCCCAAGGTAAGCAGAGCTTATGTTATGGGTACTAGAAAACTGATATAAACACTTATATTATATATATTATATATAGAAAACACCCAGACCGATACAAACACTCATATTCATGAATACATATATTTGCACCGAGCAAGGAATCAAACCCGCGACCATAAGAAATAAAGCGGTGCTAGACTGCTAAAAAAATAAATAAATAAATGCTAACAAACTTTGTTTTGAATTCTATTATGTAGATAAAGGTATCTTCCACGTACAGACAGACATTTTTATTACATACTACTGTTACTGTTCCCGCGACTTCCTCCGCGTGGAATTTTATTTTATTTTTCTAAAATAAAAGTAGCCTAAGTTATTCCTTATTACATTAGCTACCTGCCAAATAAAGGCCCGTCAAATTGGGTCCAGCCATTTCAGAGATTAGCTGGAACAAACAGACAGACAGACAGACAAAAATTGTAAAAAATGTTATTTGGTGTATGTACCGTAATTATATTCATATGCATGTAGTAAACAATGGTTATTTCAATATTACAAACAGACACTCCAATTTTATTTATATGTATAGATATCTATATAAATGCCACGTGAATGTTTGACATTATTTGAACAGGCTGACTTACTTACCATCGTCTGATATTTCTGGTATAGGTGTTTGTACCTGCGAATACAATGTTTGATTAGGAGTTTTATTCTTGTTAGTATAGAGCTCATTTCTATGTTGTTTGTTTATATAACACTACTATTATAAAAATATTCACGTTCATGTATAACATAATTATAAAATTTTCTGGTCACTCAAGTGTACCTCGCAAGTAATCATACCCGCGACCATCGGATGTAAACCGGTACACCACCGAAGCAAATACAGACAGTTGCGGATATACATATATCTTGATTAAAAAAAATAATCGTGTGCAGAAGCGGAGGCTTCGCTGAGGATCTTCTCTCTGCCTACCAGACAAGAGAATTAGCATAAAGGTAAAATGGAAAGTCGCGATCTTTAATTCAAAATGGAGACTTGCTCACATATTTAAAGATTTAAACCCCTACTAGAAAATAATTGTACGCGGTAAACAAGCGCGTAATATTTATTCTTTCTACTGAAGAACATAGCTGCTGTATGATTTTAAAACTTTCGTTTGCCTAAGTATATTGCAAAATTGGAAAACAACAACTTTATTGTTTATTTAATATTAATAATTTGAAATCTAAAATCGTGTTATATTTATTTTATTTTATATTAACTTTTGATCTAACAAAATGCATAATGGACTTATCTGTATGCAATTTCTTAATGACATCCCTATAATTCAAAGATCAATAGTAAAGAAACCAATACATGAAAGTTGTACGGCCCTGAAAACTAATGACTATTGTAGAATCGATAATAAAAACAGTGTTCTTGAAGTTACTGGCCAGAAATCAATTAAGTATTTAGTCATTACTATTCTAAATTTAAATAACAAAAAATATATATGAAAACACAGATAACAACAAAACACGAACATGAAAATCGAATAGAGAAGTAATAAAAATAGAACCGGCTTTTTAAAATTTCCATAGACAACGAGCGATCGTTTCAATAAAAAAAATATCTGTTTGTAAAGCGAATAGGTAGTTATGAATGGAAAATGTAGGAGTACTTGCCAATTTAAGATCCTTTGGTTTGTATAGAAGCGCGGTGAGGTTATCTTTAGACATGTTGACGTGTAGTGAGATCGATTGTACGGTCACAACTGTACTGTGAGTCGGTGTCGGCTCATCTGGCAGAATAAATCAACAAATGGTTCGGATATTCGCGTAATGAATGGACGTTGAACCAAATTGACATTACAAGGTGTATATATGTATATACAAGTGGTTTATAGTTGATAATGACCGAAGCCAGATCCATTTTTATGGACAATTAGAGATTCTTAAAAATTCACGTGTCACAGAGTTGGTTTCCATACTCTCCGAACGCTTTTACCGATTTTAAGAAATTTTATATGTATACTCGGCAGGTCTGAGAATATATTGTTATCTATTTTTTTACCCCTAAGTGATAACGGTGCCCCGCTCCATTTTTTTTTAAATGATATTGCATTAAATTTATACTTCTTAATTTTCATCCCCTATTTTTTAATTGCAATGTTTGTTTATATGGCAAAACATTGTTTGCCGGGTCAGCTAGTAATAGTATAGTTATAATAGAAAAAAAAATAATGTCTAGTTCATGATGGTAAATGTTCACATTACCTACAACACGCGCGTAATATATTTTAGTATTTTTTTATACTTTGTAGGAGTTTTTTTGGAACAAAAATTTTGAGTTCAAAACTTATTTATTAGTAAATTTGATAAATACAGAAAACCTAATAGCCATTTTAACATTTACAACGTCTGTTGTATCAGTTAGTAGGTACCTATTCAATATATTTTCTTTAATATAGAACCGAAAATATTTATTCTTAGAATCTGTGTTTGACCGTTTGAGCTGATTTGTTTTAGATTATCTTTAACCGCAAATAAATGTATATGTCTAGCCTCATGGCAAATGTTAACAGTACCGTACAGGCAAGGCCTTACAACACGCGCGTAATTTTTTTTTAAGTTAGCTTATTGACGCTGGTAGATTTTTTGTTTTATATTGTGAGTAAGGTGACGGCACACCTGATGGTAAGCATCAACCGTTGCCTATATGACCACTACGGACATCACATTATCATGTGTGCTATCATACAAGCATCGTATTCATCTTTGTCATCAGATTCATCTGTTCCTGTCATTCCACTGCAATTTCTTACCGTAAAACTAAAACACAGTTTACAAAGTAAGCTACATGTCGACTGGAATACTGAGACTGACGACTTTTTTGACACTTTAAATTCCTTAAAAGTGTGTACTTGCTTGCGTACGTACTATGCTTTAATTACTATGTTTTAAGTTCTTAGTTAAAAAAAATTTACAACATTTTTCTGAAATCATTATGTTGTAACACAACGAAAAAATTACCAAAGTAATAATTCCGTTTCACCATATATAAAAAGTTTGTACGGAGAACCATACCGGGTTTATAAATCGGTAGATACAAAAAAAAATCACCCCATGACCCACTGGCCACGTGCCTGTTAGAGTGACAGGGCAGTGAGCGTTGCATCTGCGGACCACAGCAGCTGTCCGGCATGCGCCTGCGCATATTGTAAGGCAGATATTTTTTTTCAAATCCGGTGTATTGAGTTGTTGACCTATTACTTATATATTATGAGAACATTTTAAAATATTTTGTAATTATAATAACAATAAATAAAGTATTTATTTGTACAAGGATTAACATCATGTTTATAAAAATACTATCGCAAATAATGCATTCCTCCTCTCTGGACATCTGAACGGGTCAGACGTGTTTTGTGTTAAAATTAAATAACGTTAAATAATAAATTCGTGACACAAAATTAAATTATAAATAATAGGAGTCCATAAGTGCAGTGTACCTCCTATTCGCTGTGAAAAGAAACGTCTTCCTAGTGTGAGTGCATCTTATCATGAACTAATCAAATGTAACTATCCTTTTCTAACTTCAGTAATCAGCAACTGAATAATTATATGGTTATTCGCTCATTAGAATTTTTGCACCGGAGCTCTTGGCTACTTGGACGGATCCAATTTTTGTATGAAATTGTCGATCGGTGTCCATTTATATTGACCCCTCGGTGTCATTTAGAAATTGAGGTGAATATTTTATATATTCCTGGTACTTTGACTGGCTAAACAGTATTAACATGCCTCTAAAACGAACTCCGCCATTGTCACAGTCGCAGTCCGTAACTACTGCGAATGTGCAGGTGTCAACCGTTGAAAATATTTTAGATGGACAAACTACGTCTATACATTCTATGCACCATTGTGCTTCTGAACCAGATTTAAACGTTACACCACTTAACAATGAAACTTACAATACAAATCTTGGTTTAATTCACCGCTTTAAACGCAAACGGAGTGATTGTATGGATGAAAGGATGTCGGAATACATGACCGAGATGAAGGCAATGTTTTCAGAGATTAAGGCTCGCCAGGAGACACATGATCTTAAAATGGAAAATATTTGTATGGTTATGGAAGAGATCAAAACTCAAAATAAATCTATTCAAAATTCAGTTGACTTTTTGTCCGAACAATATGAGTGTATGAAGATTCAAGTAGAAAAATTAGATTCTGAATGCCGTAAAAATCAGTCGTATATTACGTCTCTGGAAGAAAAATTGGATAAGTATGAGAGCAGAAATCGCTCGACTTGCATTGAAATTAAAAATATTCCTCCAGCTAAAGGCGAATCCAAACAAGTACTTTTAAAGAAAGTAATTTCTATTGCACAGAAAATTGATAGTAATATTGAATCATATGAAGTAAAAGATGTCTTTCGTGTAAACACACATGATCCTTCTATTAAAACTGTAATTGTTGACTTCACTAGTGTACTTACTAAAGAAAAGCTGATCCATAAATATAGACAGTATAACAAAGGGCCTAGCAAATTAACCACAGAAAGTTTAAAAATTAATGGTCCCAATAAGCCAATATTTATATCAGAAAATTTATCACAAAAAATGAAAAGACTATTCTACCTTGCCCGTGACTATGCCAAATCAAATGGCTATGCATTTTGCTGGGTGTCAAATGGAAAGATTTTTCTTCGGAAAACTGAAGGTGCACCACTAAATTTCATACGCAATGAACAGGACATAAAGAAATTAACAGATTCTATGTGACTAAATTTGGTTTATTGTTGGTATTTTATTTGTAATCTTTGTAATAGTCATATGTTTATCAACTTTGATTATCATCATCATCTGAGCATAATATGGAATAAATCCTCATCACAAACAGGTTCAAACATATTAATATGTACACTTACACACTTACATGAAACCCACACAAACATTTTATACTTCATATTGCATACATACTATAATACATATCTCAGAAACTTAATATCACATTTTATAATTTACTATATTGTATTATTGTTCTATATGGCAATTAGCAATAATTTATATCGGTTTCTAGAAACTCAATTATTTATGCTGTCAAATAACAATATAAAGAGTAACTCTGAATATTTGTACATTTTGTTAAATTCTTATAATTATTAATCCTGGATAACATAAATAATATACAAGTAGCGGAAGAAATTGAGAAGTTGTCTGTTTCGGAATCATTTATTTGCACGGCAGAAAATTGTTATGACTACATTTCTAGTTATGTAGACCATATGAGAATTTTTCACGTCAATATACGAAGCATTGGTGGTAACTTTAATGAGTTATTAGTGCTGCTAAAACGAACAAACGTAAGTTTTGATGTTATTTTGTTGACAGAGTGCTGGCTCAGTAAATGTTCGCTATTACCAGAATTACCGGGTTATGATTCATTTAAATCTAATTTCTCTAATCAAAATGACGGGGTGGTTGCCTATGTTAAGGTTAATTTACCCTGTTCCATCACTAAGCTAGATTTTTGTGAAGCTAACTGTCTTACTTTGAAGTTCGCCAATGATACTGCTATTGTTGCTCTTTACCGTTCACCATCTTACAGAAATATCCATAACTTTATTGATTTTCTGGACGCCACCTTAAGTACACTAAAGTCTTTCAAAACTGTTACAGTTGTGGGCGATGTAAATATCAATATATTACCTGACTGTCAAAGTCAGGAGTGTGATCTTTATCTAAACATGTCTGCATCTCATGGTTTACTTCCAAGTCATCAGTTTCCAACGCGAAATGGTAATTGCTTGGATCATATTCTATTAAAAACTAATTTTTCAGCTACTACTTTAGTGCTTGACTCTCTGATAACTGACCATACACCACTGATTCTTTGCTGTAGTACCAAACCAACGATCCGGAAAACATCTCATACTCTCACACGTTTTGATGTGTCATCATGTGTAGAACAAATTGAGAGGATGGATTTTTCGCTGGTATTATCAATTGCTGATCCAGAACAGGCAGCATCTAGTCTAGTAGACTTACTATCTTCGGCCATTAAAAATCATACAACTATTAAAACAATTTCTAATAGAAAAAGAATTATTAAACCTTGGATTACCCCTGGCCTTCTACGATGCATAAGACACCGTGACAACCTATACAGGAAAACAAAAAAGGATCTATCTAATCAAACTCTTATGGTCAGTTACAAACGCTACAAAAGTTATTGTAATAAATTATTAAAATTAGTTAAACGTAATTATGAGAGGTCTGAATTTAAAAAGGCTAAGGGTAATCCAAGAACTACATGGAAGTTGATTAAGGATATAGCAAACTTGAACTCTAATACTACTTCTCTCAATAATGATCTCTTGTCTGTGTCTTCAAGCCCTTCATTGTCTGTTGACATGGTAAATAATTACTTTGGTAATATTGGTGCTTCACTTGCTGCTAAAATGGCTACACATGCAGAAGTTGATACTTCGACAACTAATGATAGTTTCGATCTCTTTCAATCTATGTCTCACTTAAACTCCATGGGACTACTGAATACTGACGAAGCTGAGATAGAACATATTATTTTAAAATTAAAAAATAGCTCACCTGGATGGGATGAAATCTCAGCATCACTAATTAAAGCTGCACGCCATGTGATGGTACCTATTTTAACTTATATATTTAATTTATGTTTTTCTTGTGGAGTGTTTCCTAAAGTTTTCAAAAAAGCCATAATTCATCCTATACACAAGGGAGGGGATAGAGATAGTGTTAATAATTATAGACCTATATCAATTTTGTCAACCTTCTCTAAAATAATGGAAAAAATTTTAAATCATAGACTTCTTAATTATCTAAATAGTAATAAATTATTGGCTAATAACCAATTCGGTTTTCAAAAAGGACGATCGACTGAGGATGCTTTATTGAATCTTTGTAACTCTGTTGTTAATGGTTTAAATAATAAACATAAAACAATAGGTATATTTCTCGACCTATCCAAGGCGTTTGACACTGTCTCTGTTCCTACTCTTCTGTATACATTAGAGAAAATTGGTGTTAGGGGTATTGTACTTAATCTTTTTGAAAGCTATCTTAGTGATCGGACTCAGAGAGTGAAAGTTGGCAATCATATTAGTGGGGATTTACTTCTTACATCTGGCGTACCTCAGGGTAGTGTCCTAGGTCCCACCCTTTTTTTAATATACGTTAACGATCTTTGTAAACTGTCTATACCAAATTGTAATATTTTATCTTATGCGGATGATACTGCTCTTTTAATCAAAGGTAAATCTTGGACTGAGGCCAAGCAGGCTGCGGAATTTGCAATGCATATTCTTGTAAAATGGCTTGCCAAAAATCTTTTAACTCTAAATTTAAATAAAACTAAATTCGTAACTTTTTCTGCTAATATGGCGTCACAACCAACTCAATCATTGTCTATCATCGCCCATAGTTGCCAATTTACTACTCCTGTATCCTGTAATTGTTCACCTTTATCACGTGAAAATAGTATAAGATATTTGGGAGTTCTCATTGATAGCGTTATGAGTTGGAAACCTCAGATAGATTCTATTATTGCCCGTACACGTAAATTGATTTTCGTTTTTAAATTATTACGACACTCTGTTGATGAACAAACCTTAAAAATGGTATATTATACTCTAACACAGTCTATATTAACCTACTGTATAACAGCTTGGGGTGGCGCAGCCAAAACTTTGCTTCTAAGACTAGAACGAGCTCAACGCGCTGTTTTAAAGGTATTATTAGGTAAACCTATTAGATACCCAACAACTGATTTATATGGCAAATGCAAAGTTCTAACTGTCAGAAAATTGTTTATTATGAAACTAATTTTGCGTAAACATTCAAGTATGGTATTTGACCATAATTTATTTATGAACAAGCGCAGGACTGATTATATTTGTAAACAGTTTCCAAGTAGACTCAGGCTTGTGGATCGACATTTTTGTTTTATTAGTTCTAAAGTTTATAATCGAGTGAATAAGATTTTACAAATATACTCCCTTAATCATCGCGAATGTAAAATTAAAATAATTAACTGGTTATTGAACCTCTCTTATGATGAAACAGAAAATCTAATAGTTTAATTGCTGTATTTATAGTATGTATTTACATAAAACTGATACAAGTTATGCTTGCGAATACAAAACAAAAAAAAATAATAATAATAAAGGAATACATAAAACGCATACAGAGGTGCAATAAACACACACAGACACACACACACACACACACACACACACACACACACACACACACACTCACTCACTCACACACACTCTTGTTCTAATGCTCATAAATTATAAATATCATTTGTTTTATTTTATATACTTTGTCTTTTTCTAAATGTTCTTAAGGAGTAATATTCATTTAATTCCATTTGTTTTTATTTAAATTGTATACAATGCTCTGGAGATGGGCGCAAATAACTGCAACACAGTTTTTTTGTAAACTAATGTAGTTGTTTACGTTTAATATGTTATTGTTATAACTTTGTTTTTGGTTTAAATAAATTCTTTAATTCTTTAATTGTTTTAGAAGAAATTTGATTACCATAAAAAGTCACATGGACCCCTCCGATCGATCCCCCGTCCAATTCAAACGGGGATCGATATTACGACGGCCTGAGCCGAGGTTCGAACCCGTAGTGGTGCCCTCAGACTAAAGTCGTATCCGTCAGGCACGAATTGGCCTTCAGCCGCTCCATAAGTCCTTCTGCGGGTTTGGAGTGCCATCTGCACTCGCCTCCTAACGCCTGGCAAAGCTATAAAGGCCAGCTGCGGCCAACAGCATTAGAGTAGCCCGAAAAAAAAAATGAGCCAAATAGTCCCCAGCTAAGCAGAGCTTGTGTTATGGGTACAAGACGACTGTTATAAGTAGTATATATATTTTGTAAATACATACATAATAATAGAATAAAAGAAAACAACCAGACTGATACAAAAAATCATACTCATGAATACAAATGTTTTTACCGTTGAAAATAAAGAGAATTTTTAAACCGTAAGACCACTGAGGCTGTCTAGTACTTGCATTTTGAATTGAGGATTTCAATCATGTTTTTTTACTATATTTTTGTAGAAGGTCCGGAACAAAAGTATTTCAGTAGTTATTCTTTAGAAAGAGTAACGCACAGCGCGCGAAAAACGATATAACACTAAAATTATGTAATTCGACTTGTCGCCCGCTTCTTCCCGTGTACCCATTACCTCATCACGCACTGTTCACGAGATATTCGCTTTGTTTCAACCGTCCACCGTTACTATCATGCCCAGTCTACCACTCTACCCTATGTATAAAATATTTCAATAAAAAAATAAACGTATTTTTTTAACAATAAACAACCAAATGTTTCCTATTCCTATACAAATATTATTTTACCACAGATTATAAAACATTATTATATAAGCATTGTTCAAGGATTCTCTGGTTAGGTAATTAACTAAAAAGTAATACAAAACAAAATTAAAATTATGATAAGTATAATCTTTATTGCCCAGTTATGACACTTGTAGTTTCCACTGTGCTTGTTAATACCTTTGTTTGGTATTATTATCTATAAACCTACTTACGTATATATGTATGTATGTAGGTATTTATCTTTTTATTGACTCCCAGTTCATGCTTACCTAATCGGTGTATAGATATACTATATAACAAATAATCTCTATTTGCCTTGGTCATGATATCAGCGCTCCCTATTTCTCATTTTGTTGTGTTAGGGAAAGTTACCTATGCTAGAAAAATTAATAAACTTGCGTTTATTTCTTTTTTATTAATAATGCGAGTTCAATATTCATAGTTGAGACAGGTCAAAATCAGCTAGTAGGCAGTATTAATAAGTCAGGACAATTCATACAGTGCTATTTAATAATAAACTGGTTATATTTAATGGAATGGTATACCCGTCTGCGCTATCGGTTTACGACGACAGTACACCAGTGGAGGATGATAAGGATGAGCATGAGTTCAGGTCAGTTAGCCCATCGTGAGATATTCACCATGAATTTATCAAGATGGTTTCCAGGGAAAATTGTTTGGAGGTCAACCTGGAACTAATGACCTCTTTGCTACCAATGTATACATACATTAGTAGCAAAGAGGTCGTCAGTTCACATTACTAACAATCTTCTTACCCTTTCTACTGTGGGTAGGTACTATACAACTGAAATACCTAAATAGAAAGCAGTTGATAAAAGAATTTCTGTATCTTGGCAGAATTGAACCCGTGAAGCTCGAAAGTGAGGCGGTTTGCTAAATCTCTAGACCACCAACGCCATAATATTTTCCAGTATATTTTACTGTGTCTGCAAACATAACCATCGTGGCAAATTTTACGAATGCTAATAGTAGTAGTCTGACTAATAATGCATTATGATGTGTCCGACTTGACAACTTGAAAATAAAAACAAACATATATTATTATATCTCCTAAATATTTATTAAAACAAGTTCTTTGATAAGAAATCATAGCGTGAACTTAGAAGTCAACAAGGGTCAATTCAACAGTTATTATGTCAGTGGACAAATGAATGATATTGATGAAACGATCGGTCAATTTGTAGGCCAAATGTCAGTCATTGTCAAACAAATCTTGAATCGCAGAATTCATTCTGTTAACGTAATAGTTCTCTAAATTTTAAGTAGTCTGTGGTGTTGTCAAATAAAGTGATCTCAATTACTCGAATAAATTTTATTATATTTTATTGAGTTACGAACTTACGAAACATATCGAAATAATTCTTTTCTACGTATTTCATTTCTAATTTTCTATTTCATTTATTACTTATTCTTTTATGTTAGTTACTATTATAATGATCATTGTCTAAAACAAATTAGTTGAAGGCCATGGATATAGATACTGAATTTTAGCTGTTTGTTCTAAGTTCTAATGCACAGCAGTATTTTATAATTAATACTGAAAAAAAATGTTGCATTCTAAAATGGAAGCCGGTTTCAAGAATGGTGTGATAACGTTAAATGAACCAAAATCTGTTTATTATGCTGGTCAAGAAATATCTGGAAATGTACATTTCAAATTGGACACTACCTTGACATTTAAAGGTACCTATTAGTATGATGAAATAACCCATCGACAAATTCTTATTACCTTTACGTTTTATGTATCATCAACTATTCTTAGTACAGTCTCACTCAGCTAAATAAATTTAGTTACCCAACCACTCCTGTTGATTGTGTATTCATTATTTTGACTCTAATGAATTAGTGCTAGTTGGTAGATTGTATTCACACATGGAAATCAGTTAACAATGCAAAGTTACAACAGTTATTTAAAAGAGCAACATACAAGTTTCTCTCTCACCCCTCTTGTCATGAGGTAACTTTATAAAACAGCAGTAGATTAAAAAAATAGTGATAAGTATTCAAATGAATTTAAATTTATTTAAATAAAGAATATTCTATTCTTACTTCACTACATAGTATAAAATAAGGTCGCTGTCTGTCAATTTGTATGCTTAAAATTAAATGTTTAAAACTGTGCAACGGAGTGGATTTTTTTAATAGGTAAAGTGATGCAAGAGGAATGTTCATATATATATATAATAATAATACATGTAAAATCTCGCGAGGCCAGGGAGAGTAGCTAGTTATTAATAATTTCAAGTATCTTTCAGCTATAACTCTACAAATAACTGGTGCAGCGAGAGTACTGTGGAATGACAATGAGACAGTCAAGTACCATGACAAGAAATATTATGGAGAAGTAACTTATAAGGGAACGGAGGAGTACTTCAATGAAGTTCGGATTCTATGTGGGGGTAAAGGTGTGTATAGATAGATAGATATATTTTTTATTTATATTAAAGGCACATACACACGAGTCACTAATATTAACAACAAAAACAAAGAAAGTAGATACACAATTACATTGGTCAGTCAACAAAAATAACAGTAACATAGTCTGTGTGCATAACCCATATGGAAGAAGGCAGCACCTCAATGTATTGTTTGCAGCATATAAGAAGTGACTTTCAACAACCACTGATTTTCTGTATAGCTTACTGTGACTCATTATACATATATTGTATAGTCACTGTAGGGAATTTAGCCCTACACTTGTGTGATAGTGATAAAATGATAATGGTAACATTACCATTAACATTGATATAGGGGGATGATTAAATTAAATTAAATTTTCCAGGGATATTATTATTATTTATTTTATTTATTGCAGTATCACAAAAACATAAAGCAGATGCATACAGACTGTGATTCAGGTATTACAATTATTTTGTAACACCCTGAAAGGGAATGGCAATATTGCCTATCTACAGGACCTAACAATATTATATTTATATACTTAAAATTATTGTATCTAATGTTAAATATATATCAGTATTACCTTTACTACTACATACTACGTTACCTTACTACCTATAAATCTTATTATTAACAATATTATAAATGCAAAAGCTTGAGTATGGATGGATGTTTGTTACTCTTTCATGCAAAAACGACTGAATGGATTTTGACGAAACTTTACAGTAACATAGTTTATACATCAAAATAACATAAAAAATTGACGCAGGTTAAACCACAGGCTCGGCTACTAATAAATTATTATTTAATTTCAGGAGCATCTCAACTACAACCCCAGAGTTATACCTTATCATTCAAGTTCCAAATACCACATACAGTGCCATCTTCTTTCAAAGGGAATAAAGGACAAGTGTTGTATAATATAGTGGCTTACATAGAGTTTCCGGACCCTCTGATGCCCTGGCAAGAATTGACAAAGGCATTCACCGTCATTGCACCTTATAACTTGTATAATAATCTACCCAAAATAAATGTAAGTTATACTGTTTCTTCATACGTGATGAAAGTCACGGTGTCAGAGAGGTTGAAGAGTAATCGTCTATCATTGTATGGACATGTAATGCGTAAGATTGAGGATAATATTTTAAGAAAAGTGTTACATATGAATGTGGATGGTTATAAGGGCAGAGGAATGTAAGAAAGGAAGTGATGGATGTAAAAAGAGATCGATGACTGCGAACAGGAATGAATGGAGTTCAAAAACATATTACGCCGACCACAAATAAATGGGATATGATCTTCATTCCTACGCATTACATGTCCATACCACGATAGACGATTACTCTTTAACTTCTCCGACATCAGTGCCACTTTCTTAATAGAAAATACAATGTAAATATGAAGTATAGAACTATATGGAAAAACGAGCAATAAACTCCTGTGTTGCTTTTTAAATAATCATTGTAAATTTACATTTTTCCATTCAAAACGTGTGAATACAAAATACCGTATGTATCGTACGTCTGTATATTGTTCACGAGTATCACGGATGAGCCATCACTGCGATCGACCATATTTTAGTGAGCCTATAGCCCAATGACCCGATATATCATAATACTGTTGTTTTGTCCCCAGGAACCGTTGAAATTGGTTTTTGATGAGACACTTACTAGTGGCTGCCTATGCAGTCCAAGACCTCTGAACATCACCATAGAGTTACCCAGGTCGGGATTCTGTCCCGGCGACACCATTCCAATTCGGGTGAACGCAGTCAATGATTCTGATGTTAAAGTTTTGTCTATTATATTGAAGATTGTGGTGGTAAGTTTTTTTAATTCCAATTAATTTAATATAATTTTTTTATTATTACATTATTATCGTATCGTATATAAAAAAATATCTGAAATCAAAATAGCTTAAGTTACTTCTTATAACATTAGCTATCTGCGAGTGCAAGTCGTATCAAAATCGGTCCAGCCCTTTCAGAGATTAAGAACAAACAAATGGACATACAAAAACTTTTTTTTTAATTAAGAATTACTTTCATAAATTTAGTCATAGCTTTTTTTTTATTTATTTTGGACATTTTAGTTTTAAACATTTCAACCCCATTATAACAAACTAATCTTAATAATTCTTAAATATAATAAACATAATTAAACAATTACCAACTTAGAGTGATCTATTTATTAAATTACTTCAAGAGTCAAGGGTTATTTTAAAATTTCAAACAGACACTACAATTTTAGATTTGATGTTGTCAGGTAAGTCGGTACCGCAGCCAGACTCCTCGCGCGGAGCTGACGTCCCCGGAGTGGCTGCTGGTTGAAGGTCGAACAGCGCCGGTGGCGGCACACTCGCGGAGGTCCTTCGTCTGCGACCTCATACTACCACGCATGATGGTGTACGACCTCAGCAAATGTTCCCTCATCGATGTGACCTACTATTTCAAGGTAAAGGATATACCATGTTGTTAACTCTTGTAGGATAAGTAAAATAATGAGCGGCCTGTAAACTATTATATTTTACTAGCTACTCGCCCTGGCTTTGCATGGGTGTACACACGTGCGAAGCCGGGGATAGATAGATATATTGCTTGAAAGGTTTATCAAAATCCGTTTAGCAGTTTTTGCATGAAAGAGCAACAAACATCCATCCATACTCACAAACTTTCGCGTTTATAATATTAATAATAAGATTTTCATATTTCATCGTTTCAGGCAATACTCAAATTATCAGCTTGGAACGGTAAGCGCGAGCGATCCTCTGAAATAAAACTGGGAATGATACCAACGGATAAGACTACGGTGACGTGGGGTGCTTCGATAGCGGACCAACTCCCCAAGAATCCTCCACCGGCCCCTGGTGCCCCAACGGTTCCAGGCATCACTACATTTGACCCAGGTTTTAATGTAACACCAGGACCTAGAATATCTTGGGCTTTTCCCGCTCATGTACCAAGTATGGTGGAAATTGGGTTTAGAACGTCTAACGGGGAACCAAACGCGAGTTACGGCTTTAAAGCCCCATACCCTCCAGTGGAGCAAGTCGGTATGTATTTACCAACCACTCAACCCCCTTATCCATTGTCAATGCCGTCAGCGCCATCTATAAAATAATGAGATAATGGAAAATATTAATTTATTTATATTATACTATCCCATCGATAAATATAACGACACGAAATAATTTTCAACCCACTTTCTCGTAAAGTGTATCTATTTTCACCGGTTTTCGATATATAAAGCTCATAAAACATACGTGCATTATAAACGTAAACAGTAAAGTTATATTCTGTAACCGCCGCGCGGCCCAAGACAGCAGGCAGCGCGGTGATTTAATCGGCTGGAAATCCGTATCACTATCAAACTACAATATACTAAAAAAACATTCGTATCCAAGAACTATTTTCCCCTAAAATTTGGGAAATCCTCCAATCTATGGATTTCTACATTAGGTAATCTTATTATCACACAAATCTAGTATGCAGCTAATTTTCCTCCCCAGATTTTTACTATAAGCAATAGTCTTGCCGCGCTATATTCTCTCTAAGAGCTAGTCTTTCCCTAAATCCGGGTCTGATTTTATTATCCCCTTCATTATATAATAATATCATTTAAAAAAATAAATTAGGAAAGAAATCTAAATACTAAACTTTTCTAAAAGCTATAATCCTAGAGATTGTCCAATGAGTTTAATTAAACTGAGAATATATAAAATATTTTTTAAGAAACAAGAGACGTCATTTTTCTATATGTTGAAACATCAGTGCAAATTAAATGTTAAATATTAAGACGAAAATGCTATGTAATGTCAACCATATGTGTTCTTTAGCAGTAAATATATTTTATTTTATTTAAATACTCTTCGGGCTACTGGTATACAGTCGGTCAATTTTCAAGTTACTCGAATAATAAAGTCTATATAGTTTCTGGTTGGCAAATTGGTTGCTGCACTTTTTTAAGGTGGAGCGTATAGTATTCGAAATGTCGCATTAGGACGACCTGACGACTAACCGACAGTATGCCAGCAGCCTTACACTGTACGTGTGTATATAATCGAATAATAGCGTATACGGTTAGTTTTCTTTTTCATAACTTTACGTCATTACTCCACAATAACATCCTACGCTATTTATATAGGCGTGTATTTTCAACTCATTGCACTCACTAAATTTAATATAAGTAACGTTAATTAGGAGAAGGTAGTGTAAGGTTGAGGTATATACAGTACGAGCTAATCTTGTTTCAATGTCATTGTTACCTGAAATATAATATTAAAAAAGAAGCACCATGTTGATGGTATTTAAGTATACATATATGATTATTTTCATAAATAATTCTATATTATACATATAAAGAGGCTTGTTCTGGCTATAAATAATTAAGGCAAAAAATATTTATATAAAAAGTAATCAATTATATTTTTTTACCTAAGTATACTTAGTATTAAGTCGTTTGTCATTTGTTTAAGAAGCCAAGTAGCTTGCTTTTGTAAGTTGTTATTCAATTGATGGGCATATACGGAAAGGATGCATATCATCGTAGTCATAGGAAATGGCAACACGTGAATAGTTATGTAAGCGTCAAAAGATGACGTGATATCCTGGATGTAATTCAAGTCTATAGACAACAATTGCCACTTATCATCAGGTGAGCTTATTTGCTCAGCTTGTTTGCCAGTCCAAATACGTACAAATAGTAATCATAATTCGCATGGAGGCAGTCATCTCAAAGGCAACCAGTGTTTGCTAAACTGGAGTCTATATTAGTATTTAGCACATGAGTGGATTTATAACCTCAATCCAAGTCAATAATAATTGTAACGGTACATATTATATTATAATTTAGTATTGTATTTTTGATATGCAATAATTTATAAGTACTAAACATATTTATATAATAATAAAACTCATATTACCTTCTAATAGATAAAATGAGTTTTAATAAATTTGACAACAATAACGGAACCAGTTAAGTTCAGTTAACAATACTAACTGAACTAGTTCAGTTGGCATTGCCAAGTTTATACGAATAATTTTATTGAATTTCTAAAACAATTACAACACAGATGAATAACTAAAATAGGTCTAATATGGGTAAAGGTTAAAATTAGTTTTAATAAATTTGACAATAATTAACCGAATCAGTTAGCGATACCACAGATAACATAATATTACAAACTGAACTAGTTCAGTTAGTATCGTCAAATTTGTTTAAATGAAACTATAAGTAAATTACAAAGCTGAAGAATAGCTAAAATGGGCTTTTTGACTAATAGGGCTAAAGGTTAAAATGAGTTTTAATAGATTTGACAATAATAACTGAACCAATCAGTTCAGTTAGTGTTGCCAAATTCATTAAAATGTAACTAATTAATTTGTAAGAAAGTACAAAGCAGATGATTAGCTTAAATAGGTTCTTATTACTAATACGGGTAAAGGTTTTTGCAAATTTTCTAGTAATTATTCAAAGTTATTGAAGCTACCAAATTTTGCCTTTAGTGTTAAGAATTCCGTCCGCCTTCTCGGGCATCAAATTCTATTTTTTACATATTTACAATGTTGTGTACTATTGTACATAAAAACAGTCAATTCCTAACGTAAAGCCTAAGTTAGCCTTAAGGTGCCATCAATATCTGAAGGTCTGCTCTGGAGACTAATATGAATATCAGTTGCAATTAAATCCATTTCTTTCGAAATGTAAACAAACTGATAACTCGAGAAACAATGTCCGTTGGTTATTTCATTGAACCGAGATGTGTTCATACTTAGCTACGTGATGTTAATACACAATTCAGAGTATAAAGAGAGTTCGCTCTTTCACGCAGGAATAAATGTGAATGTAAATGTAGGCAAAGGGAACGAGAAAGATCTCACGCGCCGCCATCTTGCTTATTACTGTGACTTTTAAACTTGCTTTAGTGTCTTTTGCAATATAATAATTAATTGTCATTGCAAAAGTGCGGACATCTGACTATAGAGCAAAGACATAATTATAGAGTTATTGTTTTATTTAAACGTGTCTTCGGAAAATAAAAAAAAAATCTGTGTGATAATTTAAAAGAACGTGAATTACATGATATAGGCGCGAAAGAGGGATCATAAAAATAGTAAAGTACAAAAAATGAGAGCGCGCGAAGGATTTCACGCGCTAAATCGTGCGCGCTCACGATTACGTGTGAAAGAACGTGTCGTATAAAGGCAGCTATTGCATCGAAATTAGTTTCCAGAGTAGACAGACAGACTACTTACAGAACTGAGTATTTCTATCCATGTTAACCATCAAGTGCCATTGATTTCTGAACCTAGTATTACTATGGGTGGGTACCATAGAGTTCAAGTTCATATGTTGATGTTGATTTTTTATGTATGTAATTGTGATGCCTCAGGAATGTCAAGTACAAACAAAGTACAGTCGTGGATGTTATAAATAAGTGCACTGAAAGCATGTACAGCAGGGATGTTATGGATATGAAATTTCGGATACGGATAGGTTTCGGATATAGGAATGATTATTATACCGGATACGGATACGGATGCGGATATGAAATTATTTCGGATTATCCGTTAGTTTCAGATAATAATTTTTCAAGGAAACTCAAAAGTAAAATACAAACAGCTAATAACATGATTACATAACGTGGCTCAATTAGGCTCTGCCCCTATCCGATATTGTGCGAAACTTTGATTTCGGATTCGGTTACGGTTACGGATATTTTTTTATATCGGATATCCGATAGTTTCGGTTACGGTTACGGATCTCCTTAACATCCCCGATATACAGCTTGGTCGTAATGGGTCCAAAGACACGTAGAAAACTGAACAAAATTCGCCAAGAAACAAAGTAGAATGTTTAATACAAATGTTGATGTTTACTTTTATTGATTACGTGATCGCGCAGGTTGTATTAAGGTTATAAAAATTGACACTTTTTGGATTGGAACGTTGTTCAGTTTTATCTTATTATTATTTAGTCCAAGTACAACTATAAACAACTGTATATTTACAGTTTGTTTAAAATAAAATTTATATACAAGTTTGTTTCGATATCATTACGCGACTGTACAAAGATAATAGAAATAGTTGCCAATAGAAACTATTTATTTATAAATATTATGGTTGTAATTTTATAATTAACTCTGTGATTTCTACCTTTTGTAGTACTCCAATATCTGAAGCATTTTTTTTAATAGCTGTGTACAAATAGTCATTTCTTCTTATTTTTATATTAGTGTTGCCGCCCACTGCCAACTGTAGCTGTATGTAGATTGTATTGTTCAGAATGTTTTTCTTATAACTACCATAGATGTGTACCACAAACATACTTTAAGGTAGGTACAGAAGTATAAAAAAAACATCTACAAGTTTTCTAAAGAAGCGAAAAGAATATAAAAAGCATCTTTTTGAAACCGTACAAATGACTAATTTAGTATGAACTCATGACTAATTTAGTATGATAGATTTATTTTTTATTTGTTATTTGAGGTTCAATCTCATGAGTGATCTACACGATTTTTGTGAAAAGAGATTGTATTGTTTAGAATGTTATTCTTGTATTTTTCTACCTCTAGTACGTCTACACAGATACCTATAGTAGGTACAAATAAATAAAAAGAACATACAAGTTTCCCAAAGATGCAAAAAGAATATTAAAAGTACTTTTTTGAAACCGTACAAATGCAGTCTCATAATTAATAGTATGAAAGATTTTTTTATTTTTTGTTATTTGAGGGTTAATCTCATGAGTGTTGTACCTGGATTTCCGCTTGATGTACCCTTGAAGTTAACTCTGTGAGCATATTGACCAAACATTCACGATCTTTAAAAAGCTACGGTAACAGTTTACCTTAAGATGGGCCGTATGCTTTTTTGTCACCAACGTCAAATAAAAAAAAAACCTATATAAGATTGTAACTGGGTGTAATTATCTTTACATAGTATAAAATGTCTTCCGCTGTGTGTTCGCTTAGATCTTTTAGTAATAGGGAGTGATTCAAAAGGTATAACACATGTTCACCCGTGCGAAGCCGGGGCGGATAGGTAGTTAAGTATAATTTATTAATGTTAATGTTGTTGTTTTTTGCACATTTATTGTACTCATGATTGTTTTATTATATA